AGCCCCTGTTCCTGCCCATTCCTTTATGAAAGCCAATTGGAGAGTTGGCCCGAGCTGGATCACAGGAAACTCGTCTGAGTCCGCCATAACTGGAACCGGTGTGAACTGGAGTACCTGCATAACAACAGCTGAAAGTGTACTGTTATCCCAACATTGTAACATATAACAGGTTGCGGTGGAGCAATTTGGAAAAGTCATACTTGTGGTGTTTATGGTGGCCAGGGAGAATCCCCATAATATCTCCTGGGAGTATCCATCCAGGGGGTCACAGGCGGTAAACTGGAGGACCCTTGCCCAGATAGGGGTGCAGAAGGATCCCTGGGGCCTCCGAGCTGGCGCGCCCTTAATCGCGGCGGGCTCAACTTAGGCCCCCTGCAAGATGCGGGTCGGGAGGTAGAGCCGTAGGTCTTATACGGGGCGGCCCTGGGATCCCGTACTCGCTTTCATTGACCCATTTCTCTGAGAAATCCTGTGTTGCAGCTTATTTATGGCCTCAGAGTAGGGCCCTCTCGACTGCGTGTGTGTGACTTCCCCTCTTTCGGTGGTGTCTGCATCCACCATTTTGTATACTTTTTCTTCCTCCCCCTCATTATCTGACGAGTCCTCTGTTTCTGGGTTGGGTGCGGTCGCCTCGCCTGCAGCACTGGGCTCACGAGATTGCTCGCGGGAGGATTCTGCCTGATGGTAACCAAGCGCCATGGCGCTAGCCCTTATATGGTCACGACAAGAGGTGTCTGCAAGGCAGCTTCTCACCACTGCCCAAAGGGGTCTGACTCCTGGCTCCAGGAGGCCATTTTCTGCTGCAAAGTCAAGATCTCTCCCTAATTTATCCCAGCTGGGGATGGTAATGGACCCCGTGGGACCAAACCAAGGTGCTACCTTATCGACCTGATCGAGGAAGTTTTGAATTTGTTCTCGTTTCATTTGTAATCCCTTTTCTCTCAGTAAGTCGCCCAAAGTGACCGACAGCGGCTGAGTAGCGGTGTTACCCATGTTAACGGGAATTTCAAGAGTTTCTTTTTATTTTTATTTTTGTTTCCTTTTTCCTTTTTTTTTTTTTTTTTAACAGGGACAGCTTAGTCCCCGCGCCCCTTTACGGCGCCCCCAAAACCTGCCTCTTTACGGCCCCCGGAACTCTCTTTACGAGTTCCTGACCCTTGCGACGCGTCCGCCCAAGGTTGCCCGATAGCCCCCGCCATCCAGCCCGGCAGCACTCAATGCCTGTTGCGTAGCACCCGCTACCAACGTTGAGCAGTTTAACCTGTCAGCCCCCGCCCGCCGAGTAGCCCCCGCTATCGGCGCTTGACGGTTTTACCTGTTAATGTCTCTGTTCCGTCGGAGAGAGAGGTTCGTTCCCCATACTGTCGGAGAGAGGGTTTCAGCGCTCCCCGTACGGGCCACCAGTTGACCGGCGCAGCCCCCCAATGAGACAGGAGACAGGAGACGCTCTTGTGGGCGACAGTTAACTGCTGCTTTATTTACGCGGGCTCTGGTTTATATATTTGGCCATGACCAATCACAGGCTGCCACGAGGAAGCAGGGCGGGAATGGGACGCAGGCTCTGGCTACCATATCCAGCTGTGGCCAATCAGGAGTTGCCACAGAGTACGGAGTGAGCACGAAGTGCGCACGGGTTGGCTAATTTAAAGAGGGACGTAGCGCATTGCGGAAGCTGGCGTGGTCCTTAGTCCCGGGTGGGGTATGGTATGTTGAGCGCCTGCGCCCAACAGTGTCATAGTCCCTTATATGCTGCCATGACAGAAGACCACAGAGTGGGTGACTCAGAATGGAAAGCTTGTCACAGAGAACCCAGTACCATTGGGCCTGCAGCTGGTGAGAGCCTCCCACCCAGGCCACCACCCAACACAGGGGACCACACAGCTCCGAGCAGTTGGTTGGGACCAAAAGCTGGTTTTAATAGCGCATCAGTTCTCGCGATGACTAGCCCGCTCTCACGAGAACTGTATTAATCCGGGAGGGCGGAGCCCTGATGATTTAATCAACTCTTTTTAAGAGCGTCACGAGTTCAAACCCAGCCTGGGCAATTCAGCAACTTATCGAGACCCTAGCTCAAACTAAATGGGGCGTGGGGTGGCTCAATGTGAAGACCCTCGGTTCAACCCTCCAGGACCCCCTCACCCCACCCCACAAAGGTCCTGGCTCCTAATATCAGCACAGGAGCAGTTGTCAATATTTTCGGTGGTGTTCAAATCCAGGTTCGAATTACAGCTCTGCGGGCCCACCCATGGGAGCTGGGGTCACCCCTGAACTCTCCCAGCCCCCTTTTCTCCCTCTGCACTGTGTCTCAGTGGCAGGTAGGTGTCTGGGTGACCTCAGAGGTGTAAAGTCTGTAACTCGATGGGCGCACACACTGTCTCCCAGGGAAGGCCTGCTGTAAACAGTGCCTTCTCCCAAAGAGGAGGAAAAATAACGAACAAATCCACAGCAAAATGTCATCCGGGGCAGGAGGGTTGGTGAAGGGCAATGAACTGAGTTGGTCCTGGAAAATGGTGCTCCAGTGTTTGAATTTTTTCCCACTTTGCAAGATATAAAATTGCTTTAGTGTTTAAAAACTAAGGATGGGAGGCCAGGCGTGGGGGTGCACACCTGTAATTCCAGCACTCAGGAGGCCGAGGCAGGAGGATCGTCTCAGGTTGGAGGCCAGCCTGGACTGCATAGGGTGACTCCATAGGGAGACCCTGTGTTCAATCTTTGGTGAGAGAGAGAGAGAGAGAGAGAGAGAGAGAGAGAGAGAGAGAGAGAGAAGAAGAAGAAGAAGAAGAAGAAGAAGAAGAAGAAGAAGAAGAAGAAGAAGAAGAAGAAGAAGAAGAAGAAGAAGAGAAGGAAAGAAAGAAAGAAAGAAAAAAGAAAAAAACCAAGGACCGGAAAAAAACCAGTGGTTCTCTGCTCCAGGGTCTCCCAGTTCGAGGGCCAAGACGCTAGAAGCTCAGACAGGGAAGGGTTCGTGCTTGTGCCAGCTCGTGTGGCTGTTGCCTAGTGGTCACTCAGTTTTTGCCACAGGAGCTTCTCCCTCAGGGCAGCTTTCTTTATCAAACTGCCAGAAAAGAGAGCTGCGTAACATAAATCAGCCTTTTAAAATCTAATCATGGAAATGACATCCTGTCACTTTCACCTCTCTAGAAGTTTCTCTCCTTCATAAAGAGAAGAGAAATAATATCTCATCTCGGAAGCTTGTGATTACTACTGGGCCAGCCAGGAAGAGTCAGAAATGCCTTCTTAGAAAAGGAAACTTTTGAGGTGGGTTTGGAGGTATGAATAGGAGCCCGACAGATGTCACAAATCATCTTTTCATTGCTTTTTCAGGCACAAACCTCTTCTCAGGCATGCTGTGTTCCAAATCTTGTGCTAGGAGGTCCTCGGGACCTACTATCAGTCTAATCTGACCTTTTTGGAGCTGTCAGCTCCAGGATGAGTCAGACCTAAGCCCTATACTCCAGGGCCTCCAATCTGGTTGGAGAGGCAGAGAAGGATTCAGGGTGATCATGGCTGATAAAAGGAGGACAGAGTGGACAGTGGACTCCTAGAAGGTCAGCACTGAACGGGGCCTCCTTAGCGATGCAGACCTGGCCCCTCGCAGACCCTGCACCAGGGCACAGCCCAGCCCAGCCTGCTCAGCCCTGCAAACCCCTTGGTGGCAATGCTGTCGTAGACTTCTACCATCCCAGAGACCTCTGCTCACTTCTCATGCATGCTGTGTCCCTTTGAAGGCACTCCATCCCACAGGCCATGAGGGGCTGTTCAGGCTGGGTCAGAAGGCACCGGCACACTGACCTTTCCAATCCATGTGGCCGGAGCCTCCTCAGGTCAGAGGAAAAACCGGCAGGGCCAGATGGGAGTGGGTGAAACCAGAGCCCTCTGCACACCCAGGCACAGAGGGGGCTTGTGCAGTTGACCCAGGGCAGACAGCAGGCAGATGGCACAACATGTGCAAAGATGTGAAGAAGAAAATCCATCCATCTGTCTGTCTGTTTATCCAGCCATCCATCCATCCATCTGTCCGTCCATCTACCCATCTAACCATCCAGCCACCCATCTACCCATCTGTCTGTCCCTCTGTCCATCCATCCATCCATCCATGCACCCACCCATTCATCCAACCATCCATCCATACATCTGTCCATTCATCTACCCATCTAACCACCTAGCCAACCATCTACCCATCTGTCTGTCCATCTGTCCATCCATCCATCCATCCATCCATCCATCCATCCACCCATTCATCCAACCATCCATCCATCCATCTGTCCATCCATCTACCCATCTAACCATCCAGCCAACCATCTACCCATCTGTCTGTCCATCTGTCCATCCATCCATCCATCCATCCATCCATCCATCCATCCACCCATTCATCCAACCATCCATCCATCCATCTGTCCATCTATCTACCCATCTAACCATCCAGCCAACCATCTACCCATCTGTCTATCCATCTGTCCATCCATCCATCCATCCATCCATCCATCCAACCATCCATCCATCCATCCATCCATCCATCCATCCATCCACCCATCCACCCATCCATCTGTATGTGCATTTGTCCAGTCATTCACCCATCCACTTGATCATTCATCACTGTGTGTCCGGGCTTCCGTCCATCTAACCATCCATCATCTATCCATCCACCCATGCATCACTCTGTATCTGTGTATTCATCTGTCCACCTGCCCACCCATGTGTCTGTGTCTCATCTGTCCACCACTTAAGCTTGAGCTGCCTGCTCCATCCGCGTGCTCGCTTTGGCATCTGCTCAGCATTATGCCTTCTGTTCATCCTCACACCTGTTTGTCCATTCAGATGATCACAGCCCCCTCACCCATCCAGCCATTAATCCCTCCACCAGTCACTCACCTGTCCATTCACTCATTTATTCATCAATACAAACTGCTGATGCCCTTTCCCCAGTGTCACCCACTATGTCACACAGATCCACCCCAAGGTCACCTCTTCAGAGAGCCTTCCTTGACTCCCCTCTCATGTTTTTTTTTAAAGTTTTTTATTTAATTATTTGATATTTGAACCAGAGACTTATTTTGTCCAGGCTTGCCTCAGACTCCTGGTGATCCTCCCGCCTCAGCCTCCTGCATGCTAGAATGATGAGCATGCCCGGCCCTCGTCCTCTCTCTAAAATTGCATCCTGGTCTCCTGCCTCTGCCCTCCTCTGCTTCCCTCTCAGCACTTAGCCCAGCTCCCTATACCCTGTCCTCCTGTGGTCAGTGTTGACCCCAGGGCACAGCTGTTCACTGGACCAGACAGACAAGCATCCTTGCCTACACAGAGTTGCCCTTCTAATGAGGGCATCGCAGTACATAATGACCCTGAATGTCCAGGAGGCAGGAGGATGCAGAAATTCTGCAGTAAGAAGGCACAGAGCACGATGAGGTGTCAGGGTCCAGGGGAATGAATGGCTTGCTGAAACTGCACAGAAAGGAGGGTCAGGAGATGAGAGGTCAAGTAGAGAGACTGTGCAAAGGCCCTGTGGGAGGATGGAGCAATGAGGCTGGTGTGGCTGAAGCACTGTGAAAGAGTGAGGGAGGCAGGGACAGAAGGGGCTGGAAGATGCACAGATAAGGACTTGTGGGCCATAGTTCAAGTTTGCTTTCATGCTGAGTGTGGCTGGAATTACAGCAGGATTCTGAGCAGGGGAGGAAGAGGTTCTGACTTTGGGGTGAACTGCATAGGTAAATCACCCTCTGGACTTCACAGGAGCGGGTCTATGTCTCTGTACCTGCTCTCTTCCCAGTCCAGGGGTCCAAGGACCAAACTGTCCCCGTTGTGCCAATAAAGTTTTATTGGAACAGACCTGCTCATCCTTTACGCCTGTCTTCGGCCACTTTCACCCTGCAGAGGCAGACTGAGCACAGAGCAGGTGCTGCCAAAAGCCTGCAGAGCCGGGACTCTTCCCCCTGCCCCTTTACAGGAAACTGCCAACCCCTGTCCGGAGCAACACCCAGCTCACAGCGGGCAGGGAACCAGTGTTTGTTGTGGCAGAACTGTGCCTGCCACTCATCATGACCCACATGAGGCCAGCAGCTTGCCCTTGTCTCACAGCCAGTTCTATCTCCGAGTCACGTGTGCAGAAACAACAGCCCAGTGGCCAAAAATAAAATGCTGGAGTATTCATGTCTTTGCCACAGGGAAAGCCTCAGGCAGGACTCTGGCCAGGGCCCGAGGTGAAAATCAGCAGCCTGCTTTTCTCTGTAAAGACTCAGGCTCTTGGTCCCCGCCTCGCAATCTGCCACAGAAGCTGCCCCCCCAATTTGTTATTGTTGCTGAAACAAATTCCAGCCAGGCCTGGTGGCCCGCACCTATAATCCCAGCACTCGGGAGGCTGAGGCATGAGGATCTTAAATTTAAACTCAACCCGGACAACTTAGGGACTCAACAAGACCCCGTCAGAAAGTAAAACTGTTTCTTAAACTCTCTTCTCTGCAGACAGCAGCCCTTCCCTGCTTTTCCTGTCTTCTTCCCTTCCAACTCCAACATTTCAGCATTCTTCCCTCACTGCCTGTGCTCCTGCGCACACCTGTGCTGGCTACTCCGTCTGCTCGGGCACTGAGTTCTCCCCGAGGGTGGCTTAAGGGGCGGCCTCAGGGCCGCCAGGGCTCACAGCTGACAAGGGCCAGCTCGATGGGTCCCCACAGGAGCAACTCCGGGCTTTGAGGCTGCGGTCCACTGACTGGGATGGAGCGTGGATGGATGGAGGCTCAGAGGCCAACTTGGTAGCAGCCCCGGCCTTGGCTCTCTGGGTCTCGGCCTCTGTCATGGTTTCATGCAGTGCTCTGAAGCCAGGCAGTGCTGGTTCAGATCCAGGCTGCAGCTGTGTCTCAGTGTGGTCACTTGTAAAGTGGGTGTGATGACACTGTTTCCCCTGCTCAGTCATGGGGAGGCTTGTGAGACCGACTGCAGAGAAAGAAGGGCTTAGAACTGTGTGAGCGCTCAGTAAACACTGGTGATGATTCTAATGCTAAGAGCAGCATGCAGATCGCAGAAAACCTTTAGCAAAGGGAAGTGATGTGGTCCATTTCTCCATAGATTGAGCAGAATAAGTGTTGCCTGCAGTTACCAGGCAAGTTGAGACGCTTGGGAATGATGACATCACTAGTTGCCAGGTGGATTTAGTGCTAACTGGGGTTGATGACATCACTGGTAACCAGGCAGATTATGATTAGACTACAGATTCCAGAGCTGCCTTTTCTATTTGAAATTCTGCTGTGTGCCAGCTCACACTCTTCCCTGATTCCCTCATGCACAGGATTTGCAAAGAAGTGGGAGGTGGCAGAGGCACTGGGAGTAGACACTTGAACAAAGATCCTTGTCTTCCTGGGACTTATATTCTGGTGGGGAGACCTGACACATAAATAACAGTATCAGTGTCATGAGGAAAACAAAGCAGGGCTTAGCAGAGATATCGAGAAGGGAGACTTTTGTAAAGGTCATCAGCCCAGTTGGTTGGTGCAGAAATAAATCAGCGGGGCTGGGTATGTAGCTCAGTGGCAAAACACCTGCCTGGCAACTTCGAGATCCTGAGTTCAATTCCTGGTACAAAAAGGGGGAAAAAAAAAAAAGCAAGTAAATAAATAGAAAGAAATAAATCAGCGATCTTAACAAGGGTCAGGCCCACACTGCCATCTGGGGGGTGGGTTCAGAGGAGCCTTGGCTCTGTGACCTTAGGCTGTTTCCTGTCCCTCTCTCATGCCTCAGTTTTCCCATCTGTGACTTGGGAACCATTGCACCACATTTGGGCGCAGCATAGTGATTAAAGGCTCCGATGCCAGAGTCGGACCAAGAGACGCCCCACCCTTGGCCTGCAGCACGTTGGCTCTGAGACTTTCGGCAATTACCGCCCTCCCCTCAGCGTGGGTTTACCTCATCTGCAAGATGAGGATCTTAATGGCACCGATTGCAAGGGGTTCGGTGAAAGGGTTAAATGAAATCATGCAGGTAACGCATTTTCCACAACTGCTGGCAAACAGCAGGTGCTCCATAAATGACCGCTATTACTGATAGTATCGCCGCCCACGCCTCCCCGCGGGAAGAGAGGCTGGGACAGTGCCTGACCCACGGTTGGCGTTCGACAAAAGTGAATTCCCTCCCCTGTCTCTCCTGCCGCCGGCTCTCGGGGGACCCAGGCATTCCGGCCTCCAGCCGCCCCCCCACGCCGAAACTCACAAAGGGCCCCGTTCATGCGCTGCACACAAAGCGTCCCATTCACTCAGTCCGGGTGGGCCTCCTGCTCGCGCCCGCCCCTCCGCGCCTCTCCATTGGACACCTTTGATGCTCGTCAGGCCTGGGGTCCCGCCCACCACCCCAGCAGCCGGCCTCCGCTCTCAGGCCAGGTTCTTTTCCCACGGCTGGCATCCTTCGGCAACTTCTGATTGGCCTAGCCTAGCAGCCGCTCTTCTTGATTGGCGACCGGTGCCCCCGTGGGCGGGGCCGTAGCTTGCCGCAGCGGGCCCCGATTGGTCCCCGGTGCGCTTGTTGGGGCGGGCCCGCGCTACGGCCCCGCCCCTCTTTCTCCCCAGGCCGAAGCCTCCGGACAGCCCTGGACGCCGGTGAGTGCCAGGGGTCCGCAATCTGCCTGCCGGGGCCGTGGCGCAAGAATCGCCCCGGGGAGGCCGGAGCCTGGGGGCGGCGATCAGGGCCCTGGGGCCCAGCGCTAGAGACGGAAGGGGGCGGTGACGCGGACACTCACCTTGAGCGCGCGGCGGGCGGCGGGCGCGGGGTGTCGGGTGGCCACGCGCCCCCCACCCCGAGTTCCCACGCGGGCGAGGCCGGGTCCAGGTCCCGGCTGACGTCACCGGGCCTGCTCCGCAGGCAGGGAAACTGAGGCTGTCTTTGGGACCTTGGGCAGTTTAATACCTGAGTCATGGCCTGCAGGCCCCCGCCCCCGGGATGACAGCGTCTGTGTCCTCCTGAGTGGAACCGCGGGCCCCAGGGAGGAGTCGTGACTGGCAGAGACAGGGCTGGGGAGGGGACACGTTTGAACACCTACGATGTGCTTGGACGCTTTTATTCTTTTTATTACTACTAGTATTTAGTTTTTTGAGACAGGCCTCAAACTCGCAGCAATCCTCTTGCTTTAGCCTCTCAAGTGCTGGAATTACAAGCGTGCGCCACCATGCCCGGCATCAATGCTTTTATTTTGTTTTATTTCATTTCATTTTATTTATCTTTTTGATACCGGGGATCAAACTCATGGCCTCATGCTTGCCAGGCAGGTGCTTGTGCCGCTGAGCTAAACCCCCAAGCCCAATGCTCTTATTTTTGTAACTAAAATCATTTCCTTCCGTTATCCTATGAAATCGGGTCGGGTTATATTTTACCCATTTTACAGAGAGGAACAAGGGTAACGGAGGCAGGGGCCACAGTGGCACGAGGTGGGGAACACACGGAGAATAAACCTGTGCCTTCTGGAAACCTTCTTAGTCCCGGAGCTGGCCCCTCAAGAAGGGAGTGTCGGGGCGGTGTAGACAGGGAGGTCGGTTGCAGGTACCACTTGGTGGGAGGAAGGTGACATTTCTGGGGACCCCCTTATGATACGTTGTTCCCAAGTGCGGTCCCTCAGAATGGCAAGTGGCAGTCTGGGCTCACATCCCAGTTGGCCCTATTACTGGGTGACCTTGAGCTCGTTTTCTGGCCTTTCCGCGTCTGTTTCCCCACTAGAGAAATGCAGCTTCCTGTCATGTCAGAGTGCTCGTGGCACTCCATCTCCTTATCACTCATGAGCCTCAAATCAGACAGCCAGAATGACTTTCTGTCATCTTCTTTGGTACTCCGTGGACTGTATGGTCCCACTTCCAGAGCTGAGAAAACTGAGGCTTATAAGTGACCAGGCCCCGACCCGAGCTCCTTCTACATGTCGTTTTATTGATTCCTGGACCGCGATTCCCAGTCAGGGATTCGAACCGGGGGCGTCCTCAGCCCTCTGCTGCTGGCGGGCGCTGACCTTTGCGGGTGGAGGGGGAGGAGCCCCTGGTACCGCTGCCCACCTGGCCGCGGAGCGTCCTCCGCTCTCTGGTCGCTGTCCAGGGCCCTGCAGCTTCAGGACCCGCCCCCTCCGGAGCTGCAGGTGTGGGTGACATCAGAGCCCGGCCCCCGCCCTGCGACGCGACGTGGCCCCGCCCCGCGCTGGACCGCGGAGGAGCCGTACCTGAGCACCCGAAGAGGACGGGGATCCCCGCGACCCCTCCTCGGCTGCCGGCTCCCGCTCGCGCCCCCAAGGTAGCCCGGGATCCGCGGGGTGAAGGGCTCGCAACACGAGCTTTTGGGTTTGGGGGAAACGGGGTTTTCCACTCCTGGACCCCGGAGGGGGGCTAGGGATCAGGTATCCCGGGTCTGAGTAAGGTCTGTGCTGTCAGCCTGGACTCTCCGGTCTTCAGGGAAGACAGGGTTGGGGTCAGAACTCTGGGACTGGGGTACTGACCCCCAGTCTAACGGGGAGGCCAAGCTAGACCCCGGGGTCTGAGGGAGGAGGCTGGGCCTGGCTCTCCGGGTCTGACAGGGGAGGCTGGTGTATGGGTCTCTGTCTGGGGGAGTGAGTGTGATCCCCGTTCCGAGGGGGAGGGCTATTCTGGACTCCTGGTCTGACACTGCTCCGAGGTCAGAGGTTGCAGCCAGCAGCCGAAACCCCTGCCTCAGGGCGGCTCCCCAGCTCCTTTCTCTTTGCCTGCAGTCTCTGCCCCTCCCAGGGCAGGTGCTGTCACCTGCCTGGGTGACCGTAATGAGTCCTGGCAGAGCATTCTTGCTCGCTGAGGCAGGCGGGGTGGCCCAGGGCCCAGCGGTTCCGGCCAGGCCTGCAGGCACCCGCCTGCTTGTGGTTCGGGCTTCTGTAAGCCCAGGCCCCAGGCCCAAGGAGGACGGCACCGCCTGGTCTTTGTGTTCTGGTCTAAAAGAGGATGGGCTGGGGCCTCAGGCTCCGGGGCCCTGGGACCCTGGGCTCCTGGATCCACCAAGGGAGGCTCGAGGCTGGGCCGTTGCAAAAACTCCAAACCCTCCTGGTCAAAGGCCACCTGTGCAGCAGCAGGGAGAGGAAGTGGGTGGGGCAGGTGGGGGGTAAAGTCCCGGGGAGCTGGCTCTGCGTATATCAAGGCCATCCCAGAGGTCTGAGTGAGCCCTAGCTGGTGGGGCTCAGGGCTGGGAGACACACTGCAGTTTTCAGGGTACCGGGCCAGGAGGAACCGAGGAGGGAATCGTGCGGGCACTTGGTGGCCAGGGCTGGGCCTCTGTGTAGGGTCTGTAGAGAGCAGGAAGGGGCCAGTGCACTCGGGGGCAGGTGGCTCACTGCTCTGCATGGATGGCCCAAGCCGAGTTCTGGGCAGCCAGAGACTTGGGCAGCCAGAGCCCCCGAGTGCTTTATCCTGGGGCTCCAGGACCCCTCCCCAGTCCTGCGCAGTGACTGGCATGGGAGCGGCCACTGGGTGCGGAGGACTCAGAGGGTATGCAGGCACTAGGGTCAGTGCAAGAAACCAGGAAGGCATTAACCCAGGAAGCAGGTGTGGTAGAGGAGTGACAGGGGGCCAAGAAATCCAATGACAAAAATCAGATCATTTGTGTCTAGGGACTCACACTGAGTAAAACTCGAGGTTAGTTTTGTTTTTTGTGTTTTGGAGACAGTCTCACCATGTAGTTCAGCTTGGCCTTGAACTCGATGTAGAGTGACCTTCCTGCCTCAGCCTCTCCAGTGCTAGAATTACAAGAGATGGGCCATCGCCGTCTCTCTTATCTCACCTGTCACCCACTTCCCTTCCACCACTTGGTTGTAGTCAACCAGGCACTCCTCAGTGCCCTGGACTCCAGGGCACATTCCTGCCTCAGGGCCTTTGCACTGTCTATACCTATTTCCTCCCAGCACCCCAATGGCTTCTTCCCTTCACCTTGCTCTGGTCTTTGTTTAGAAGTGCTGCATCGGAAAGGCCTTCCCTGGATACCCCAATTAGGACTTCAGCACCTCCAGCCTTGAACCCCAATTAGAACTTCAGCACCAGTTCGATCCCTGGTACCGATAAAAATGAAAAAGACAAAAAAAAAAAAAAAAAAAAAGAACTTCAGCACCTCCAACCTTAACACCCATATTCCCTGCTATATTGCTTTCATGGGCATTTATCATTTAAAGTACTATGTCATTTACTTATCTGCCTTTTTATCTGTCTCCTAGGATTAGATCAGCACTGTCCAATATAAACATAATGCAGTCCAGTTGTGTAACTTAAAATTTTCTAGTAACCACATTTAAAAAAAAAAGTCGAGCAACACCAGCACTCTGGGCGGCTGAGGCAGGAGAAACCCAGTCAGGGCAACATAGTGACTTAGTGTGATCCTGTTTAAAAGTTAATAAGATTTTTTAAAAGCTCAAGATGTAGCTCAGTGCAACCATGGGGCTGTCCCCAGTACTGATACCAAAGGTAGATTGATGTAGAAACAAATAGCATCATTTCAGTATGTCATCAGGTATAAAAGACACCATGGGTCATGTCTTTCAGGACCACTCAGATTTTGAAGCCTTTCTTCCTTCGTAGTGGACGGGATTGAATTTGCGATCCTCCTGTCTCAGCCTCCCGGAGAGTGCTGACGTCGTCCTCTTCTCTCTCCGCAGACCATGGCGGCTGCGACGCTGTCGATGTCCGGGCGCAAGGCGCCCCCCAGGCCGGGCCCGGTGCCGGAAGCCGCGCAGTCCTTCCTGTATGCGCCGCGCTCCCCGGGTGCGGGCCCCGGCGCGGGCGCCCCGCAGGTGGAGTGGACGGCACGGCGCCTGGTGTGGGTGCCCTCGGAGCTGCACGGCTTCGAGGCGGCCGTGCTGCGCCACGAGGGCGAAGAGGAGGCCGAGGTGGAGCTGGCGGAGAGCGGGCGGCGGCTGCGGCTGCCGCGGGACCAGATCCAGCGCATGAACCCCCCCAAGTTCAGCAAGGCCGAGGACATGGCCGAGCTCACCTGCCTGAACGAGGCCTCGGTGCTGCACAACCTGCGCGAGCGCTACTACTCCGGCCTCATCTACGTGAGTGAGGGTGCTCGGGGGAGGGCCAGGCCCTGGGTTAGGATCCCAGTATCAGCCCGGTACAAGCATTGAACCCACGGCCTCTGCGCTGAGCCCCATCCCTAGACCTTTTTTGAATTTTAAGTTTTGAGATAGATTCCCTGGGTTGGGTTCAAATTTGAGATCCTCCTGCCTCAGCCTCCCAGGGTGTGCTGGGATTACAGGTGTGCACCACCTTGCGCAGGTAACTGATGAGAACCAGTGAGAGCTCAAAACTCCACACTCCCGTTAACTGGCTTGTCTCCTTAGGCAAAGGATGGTCTGTTATTATCCTCAGTTTACATGAGAGACAGGACCAAGGCTGGGAGAGATACAGCACAATAAAGACCAGCATTTGTTAAGCGTTTACCAAGTGCTCCTCCAAGCCCTTTATTTTACTGATGTGTGTATTTATATTCTTGAGGCAGAGTCTCACCATGTAATTTAGTTTGGCCTTGGACTCAGTATGTAGCCCATGATAGCCTCAAACTCCCCGAGATCCTCCTGCCTCAGCTTCCTGAGAGCTGGGATTCCAGGCATGCACCAACGTACCCGGTGGCTTCTCCCAGCGTTTAACAATGCCCTGTCTCAGGGAGTTTTCATAATCATAAAGCAGCCAGTCCCTGGTCTACAGATCCTGAACGGGTCGCCAAGTTCCTTGATCAGAGCCACCCCGGCAGACGTGGCAGACCTGAGCCACCCAGTGCAGGCCTGGGACGGGGGAGGGGATGGATGCTGTGAGCTCGGTGTGCATTGGTCCGTCTGCCCCCGTCTGTCCCAGCGCTGTCTCCAAGCTGAGCCTTCCTGCCCGGAGCCATTTCCACAGCTCCCCAGGGGCGTGGTGCCAGCATCAGCTTCTCTTCTTTAATGAGCTTCCAGGGCGGCTCTCGAGGCCACCGAACGCCATTAAAGAGAACAAACAGGCTCAGAGAGGGGGACAGGAATGTCGGTGGCTGTGGTGGAAACGGGCGGCATGGGTGGCTGGCAAATATTTATCAGACACTTAGGCTGTGCCTGCCGGACGCTATCCAAGCACCTGAGTCCTTAGCACCACGCAGGGACGGCTGAGCCAGCCTGCCGCAGGAATGTCAAGTGGCCGGGGTATCACAAGGCCGTACCCTGGAGGGAGCCCAGCAGGCAGCGGCCCAGGCACAGCCCCACTCCAAGCACCACAGGTGCCCTGGGAGGTGACAGTGGACTCGGGCAGGGCACATAGATGAGGTCCGCCGCCCTAATCACAGTGCCTGGCTCCGGCCCATGGTGCATGTGGCGTGGTGGGGGATGTGAGTTTGGATCCAGGCTGCCCGGAGTCCGTCACAGCTCTCCTAGCCTCAGGGCAGAGACCTGGGCCCCGTACACTGCCAACCTGCTCACTGTGCCTGCTGTTTATTTCCATGCTGGGGATGGAACCCAGGACCTTCATACTAAGCTCCATCCCACCTCTTTTTTATTGTGATGATGTTTTGCTAACCCCTAAATTACCTGGGTGGGACTCTGATTTTTGATCCTCCTGCCTCAGCCTCCCAGGGAGCTGGTATCACAGGTGTGCACCACAAAGTCTGGTTAAAGAAATACCCTGCACCCTCCCGGCCACCCTGGAAGATGTCTGCTGCTGGCGTTGGCATCGGGCAGGTGAAGCATCAGAGCCTCAGAAAGGGGACAGATGGTGGTGCATGCCAGTGATCCCAGCACTCAGGAGGCTGAGGCAGGAGGGTCACCATGAGTTTGAGGCCAGCCTGGGCTACATAATGAGTTCAAGGCCGGCCTGGACTAAGTAGCGAGGACCTGTCCCAAGAGGAAAGGAAGAAAGGAAGAGGACAGGCCTCGCAGGCAACTAAGCCTGGCTTGGCCCAACACCAGGCTTGGGTCCTGGCCTCTGTGCCAGGAAGGCCGTTCAGGAAGTGCCACTCCTGTCCCCACAAGATGAGGATGTGAGACTCAGAAAGGTTGCTCCTCCATCCACTCTGCTGCAAAGCGTCAGGACCGTGACTCAAGCTCTGCCCTGCTTGTCTAAGGACCCATGTTACATAATGTTTGTTGATTTGACTAACTGGTGGTAGAGAGAGTAGTACTGCTCCGTGGGAGGTAGGGTGCCCAGGGCTCCATCTTTGAACTTCAGATGCTGAGTGTCTCAGTCTCCTCACTGGAATGTGGGGGTCAGGGAGAGCCCATTTAAGGATCCCAAGGCCTTTCATTCCAGCCGGGGAAAATGAGGCAGAAAGAAAGCAAACCCTAGCCTGACGTGGTGGCACACAGGCCTGTAATCCCAGCACTTGGGAGGCTGAGGCGGGAGGATCTCTGTGAGTTCCAGGCCAGCCTGGACTATATAGTGAGACTTTGTCTCAAAAAGACAAAAAGAAAAAAAAAAAAGTAAGCAAGCAAGCATCCCTTTATGCATTGACGCACCGCTGGAAAGGGCCGCATCTGGCGCCGCCCCAGGACCGCGTTGGCGGGAGGTGGGCAGAACCCGGCTCCCGGGAGGCAGCGGTAACTCGAGCATCCCGGGCGAGACTGGGCCCGGCTCCCGCCTCGCTCCTGCCCTTAATCCCCGGGCCTTTGTGATGCGTCTCCCCGGGAGGAATGGGGGCGCCGAGAGCCGCTGACCGAGGAGGGCAGCCCCCCACCCCACCCCCGCCACCGTGCTGGCCCCGCGACACGGGCCTCGCCGCCCCTCTCCCCGGCCCGGGCCTGTGGCCAGCTCCGATTCCAGCCTTCATGTCGCCCTGGGAACGGGGTGTGGCTGGGGGGAGGGCTTGTGGGGGGCTCCCCGCCAGCCAGGAGAGGGGGCCGGGCGCCAGGCGCGTGAAATACCCTCCCGGGGAATGCGGCCAGGTCGCCCCGCCCTCCACCCGGCCCGGCTGGCGAGGCGCAGTCTCCAGGCCGGGGCTGCACCCCACCCACCCAGCCCACAAACCGGTTGTGCGGCTCCTGCCCCGCTGTGCTGTCCGTCACCTGCCTGGCCACGCCCCGTCCCCGAGGAGGAGGCGGGGCTGTGGGAGGGAAAGCGGGGCGTCCCTGCAGGGGAGGGGGATCCCACACTGTGACCCCAGCAGCCAGGCTGAGGCAGGAGGATGGAAAGGTCAAGTCCCGCCTGGGCACCTGTGACTCTGAGAGCCGCTGTCTGGAGCTGAGAAGGCCTCGCCTGCACCTGGAAACCCAAGGGCGTGCGCCAGGGTCAGTGCGGGACCTGGGACCCCAGGGTCACAGGGACCACAGGTCACACCAGTGCCCGGAACGCCGCACACCCCTGCCCAGCGTCCAGGCAGACATGTCACCGGTCCTCCACTTCCCCTCCATGCTAGTGGCCACTCGGCCAGTGCAGTCCTCCGTGGCTTCCCCAAACATGAGTGGTGGGACCTGCTTGGATGGTCCCCCCTTCCCCCCTGGCTCATTCACCGGCAGCTGCAGAGGCCACCGACTCCTCTCTGGCGTCTGCAGAGGCCTCGTTCTCCCCTCCTGCCCCCTCCCGCCCCCCCGTGGAGAATCTTCACCTTTCACATCTGCATTGTCTCAGCCGGCAGCCCTTGTGCAGTGTACAACCTGCTCAACCATACAGGGGACCTGTGCTGAAGCTGTCTTCTCTCTCGCCTGCTGTAGACCTACTCCGGCCTGTTCTGTGTGGTCATCAACCCCTACAAGCAGCTGCCCATCTACACAGAGGCCATCGTGGAGATGTACCGGGGTAAGAAGCGGCACGAGGTGCCACCCCATGTGTACGCAGTGACCGAGGGGGCCTACAGGAGCATGCTGCAAGGTGAGTGTGGGCGGGCCAGGGCTGGGCCCAGGATGGGCATTTCTGTGAGGGCCCTTGGGGGGGCTACAAGGGGCACAAACAGGGTGAGGTGATCATCACCACACCCTAGGCCATTCACTTATCCTGCATTTATTGTTGGATTTTAGACTCCAGCCACACTGTGGTGGGGTGAAATTTTGGCCTTCAGACAGAGGGAGCCCAGTCCTCTGCGTGCAGAGGGTCAGGCTGTGCACTGCACAAGAGCGCCCACCAGAGGGGCTTAGATTGCTTGGGCAGCCCTGTGCTGCATGAAGATGTGCTGCTTTGCCTGAGGAGTTTGCACAGGGTGAAAGGGCGCCCTGGCTGGTTCCGCTGCTCTTGGAGGTTGTTGTGGGAATTCCTGGCCGCCCTGTGTGCTGAGGCTTAGGAATAAATAAACACTGCATCGAAGCCCAGCCCTAACTCTCCCAGCACGGACTTGTTTCTCATGAGACTTTTCCTGGACCCACCAGTGTCCATGTGGTTTGGGATTTTCTACTTTTCCCTCTGTTGCGAATTATTTTTAAGTTTTGAGACAGAGCCTCAATAGCTAGCCCAGGCTGGCCTTGAAGTAACCCACAGGGGACCCTCCTGCCTCAGCCTCCTGAGTGCTGGGGGTTATGGCCATGGTCGGAGTGTGGACATTCTTTGAGGCTTGCTAGCTTCTTCTCTGCCGAGCTTGTGGTCAGCCTGGGGACAGCCCTGTGCCCTGCTGTCCCTGCGACTGTGCAGTGAGTGGCCTCTGTGGTTCCCCACGTCCCCCTCTGCTGTTCTGTCCCCTCCGTCCTAGCTGTTTTCTTTGCATTCCGGAGGCATCCTAGAGGTCCCCAGCAAGCACGGCTGACCCTCTACCCTCACAGCTGGGCCCTTGGCTTTTCTGGGCTATGTCCCTGAACCCCGTGGCAGCCCCAGGAAATAGGTTCTCTCCTTTTCAAGTGGGGAAGCCAGGGCCCCAAGTGGGGTGGCTTTTGCCCATGGTCATCCTGGTGGGTGAGCAGAGATGGGATTTGAACCCGTGCCCTCCACTTGCCTTTCTTTGGGAGGTGTTGATGTCATCTTTCGGTTCTGAGCTGGGCATTGTGCTGTTAGGGTCTCTCTACGCAGCCCAGCCTGTCCTCAGACTCCCAGACATCCTCCTGCCTCAGCCTCCCCAAGTGCTGATCGCACAGGTGCGGGCCACCACACTCAGCCTTCTTCCCTTATTTAAAACCACCCAGAGGCCCCATGCTCCCTGGCTCCGAAGCCCGTGTCCCCATCAGCACCTCTGTCCCTGCACCCAGCCCTGGCCTGCTCTGTGTCTCTCAGTCACCAGGACACAGCCCCACCTTCAGCTTCTCTGCCCTCTGCACTTTGCCCTTTCACCTCTACCAGGGTGCCCCTCCCTGCCTGAAATGTCCTCCTCTTCAAGAAGCTTGCTGACCCATCCCCCAGGCCGCCCTTGTGACCCTGGCACCTCTCTGTCATGGCTCTGTGGCCATCAGGGGCCAGTGGATCTTCGGCAACAGCTTCTGGGGGTGAAGCTTGGTACAGCAGATGCCTCTGACCCCATGCCCCGGGTGCCTGGTGCTTAGTAGGTGGCCAGTGTGACCTAGACAAGTGGCTTGCCCAGCTGCGTGCTGGAGCAGTGCCTTGAATTCTAGGGTCCCTGGCCTCAGTGCCTTTGAGACGTCAGCGCCCGGCCAAGGTGGTGGCACACAATGGGACCCCGATGGAGGCTGTTGAATGAATGCTGTCCTGTTTCACTGGCATCTGTCTTTTCCACTTGACAGAGGAGGAACCAGAGAGGGACAGCGGTTTCTTTGGGTCACACAGCAACCAAAGCGTTAGTTGGGGAGGGGAGGGGGGAGAGGGGCGTAAGAACCCAGGCAAGTTGCGTCCAGACCCGGTTCCCTTTTGCCCCCTTGGGAATGACTCTGCGAAGCGTGAGAGTCCCTGGATGACATGGCCCCTTCTCTGTCCCTGCAGACCGTGAGGATCAGTCCATCCTCTGCACGTGAGTCACCCCGGGCTTCCTGGGGGCAGAGGGGTCCAGGGCAGGGTGGGGGCTCCCCAACCTCACCAGCCCCCATCCCCCACAGGGGGGAGTCAGGAGCCGGGAAGACAGAAAACACCAAGAAGGTCATCCAGTACCTGGCGCACGTGGCATCGTCCCCAAAGGGCAGGAAGGAGCCAGGCGTCCCCGTAAGTCACCTGCCCTGGGCCACCCTGGGCCCCCCAACAGCGCCCCTGCCCTGGGCTCTCAGTCTCTCCATCTCTGTCTCTGTCTCTATCTGTCTGTCTTGTCTCTGTCTCCCTGTCTCTGTCTGTCTGTCTGTCCCTGTCTCTATCTCTGTCTTTGTCTCTCACCCCACCCCATATCTTGGCAGCCTGAGTGCCTACCATGTGCCCCACTGGGAACAGGGGCAGGCAACACAGAGAGGTCAGGGCTGGCGCTGGGCCTCGCCAGGCCTGGAATGGTACCCAGCACCCGCAGACGAGGCCTGCCTGTGATGGCTGTGATGCCCGGGTTTGCCTTTGCTGCCCCTGCAAGGCCCCTTTCTGAGCTTACCTTGCCATGCGAGAGGGTCACTGCCCCCCACCCCAGGTGACACCAGGGAAGCCCCAGGCACTGCCCGTGACTCCACAGCATCACATGGCCAGGAAGGGGTGCGGCAGGGTCGGAGCCAGCGTATGTGGCCCCCGGACCTCCGGACTGCCTGGATCCTCTGCCCTCGACCCTGGCCTGCCCAGGTCACCTGTTCACTGTGTGTCTGTCCATGTTCCATGTGCTGCGTCCGGTCCCTCTCTCGTGTCCTGTGATGTCCTCAGGCCTCCGCCAGCAACATGTCTTACGTAAGTAGCAGGGGTCCCCCACCCCTTTCTTACTGCCTGGCCTTGTAGCCTGTGGGTTTTGGGAGAAGCCAGCCAGGGACCCCACTGCCCCTAACGATGGTGCACAGCAAGGTTGTACTGGGTGGGTTGTAAGGGTGAGGTGCGGCCCTACTGTGCGCACCCGGCCCCTGGCTGAACTCCGTGTGCCAAGCCCCAAACCCCTCAGGTTGCCTGTGCTCCTTCCTCCCCCAAAGCCACCCAGCACCGCCAAAATGCAGTCTTGGAGGAGGCACCCATGGGGTGCTGTTTACTGAGCACCTACTATGTGCCTGGCTATGCCACAAACAGGGCTAAAGGGAAGGAAACCACCGTTTACCTACATGAGCCAGATGTTCCCAAGTGCACTTTTCCAAGTGCTTAATTCCAAGGGAATCAAAGATTTCACAGCCAGGTTTGGTGGTATACACCTGTAATCCCAGCACTCCAGAGACAGGAGGGTTGCTGTAAGTTCCAGGGCCAGTTTGGGTTATATATCGAGTTCAAGGCCAGCCTGAACTACCTAGCAAGGCTCTGTTTGCAAAAAAGGGGGTTGTGTGCGTGTTTACTGTAGTACAAGATTCCATATGCATGTAACAGGACAACCTCAGACCTCAGACAAAGTGAAACCCTCTTTCCTCAGTCCCCTTTCTGAGGGTGCCGCGCGTTGGTGACAGCTTGGAACGTCCCCTTGAAGGTCTCTTTATGCGTGCTTAGCAACGTGTATATATCTGTAAAGACACGGGTCTCGTCCTGTGGTGCCTTGCGCTTTAGTTTTCGTTCCTGAGACACGTTGTAGGCTCGTTCTTTGTGTTCTGTTTCCATTCACCAGTGTGCACGGAGACGTTTCCTGGTTCCCTGGCAGTAGGTGGATGGGCAGGACCCGGATGTAGGAAGTCACCCCCACCCCCACCCCCCACTCCCCAGCACACAAAGGCCCCTAACACAGCCCAGCCCGGGAGCCCAGTGTCACCCAGCCCTGTCTCTTCGCCGGCAGGGGGAGCTGGAGCGGCAGCTTCTCCAGGCCAACCCGGTCCTGGAGGCCTTCGGCAACGCCAAGACGGTCAAGAACGACAACTCCTCCCGCTTCGTGAGTGCTGGGGACACAGTGACCAGTGTGGGTGATGTGGGGGAGGTGGCCGGGCCTCGGCCTTGGAAGATGTTGAGGGTCGTGGGCTCTGGACTCAGGTCCCTGGCTGAAGCTCCTGTGTCCCCCTCCTTCAGGGCAAATTCATCCGCATCAATTTTGATGTTGCCGGCTACATCGTGGGCGCTAACATCGAGACCTGTATCCTGTCACAGCCCCGGGGACCTGGGGGACCCTGGTGGGGGACAGGGACGAGGTGGCCCATTGCATCTGGTGCTTCCAGGAAACAGAGCCCTGGGCTGGGTGCCAGTGGCAACCGGTGCAGCACTTCCCACCTCCCACCTCCCACGCTGCGATGGGGACAAGGCTGCCTCGCCCACCGGGTGGTGCTGGCTTGAGGTCCCCATGGCCAGGGTCCCCAAGGCCGCCTTGTTGCGCTCGAGCCTGTGATCCAGCCGCGAGAGGGCGCAGGCACCCTCAGCAGAGGAGAGGGCGCCGGGAGGGGCAGCAGCCAGACCCCTCAAGGAACGGCCTCAGATGGCCCTGTCACCGCACCCTGACCGCAGAGTGACCCAGCACAGGACTCAAGAGCCCAGCCAGGAAACCACAGCGGGCTGGGTTCCAGTCCCAGCTCTGCAGCTCTGAGATTTTAGGGACGGGACTTGGCGGCCATCTGCCTCCGTTTCTCCCCCTGCAAAAGGCAAAGGAATATAGAAACTTCCGGGAGGGAGTCGGAGAGCTGAGTGAGCCTCGCTGCAGAGCAAGCTGTGATGCTAGCAGTTGGGGGCCGACATAGATTAGCAGCGTTCATCAGTGTTGGTATTGGCATGGATTGATGGCCATGAGCTGTTCCTGATAAGAAGCACTTCCTCGCCCTTGGGGTGTCTGATGTCACCCAGGGAAGAATTTCTCCAAAGCCACGAAGGACATAAAGAACCAGGGCACAGCTGGGGCGCAGCAGGTTCCCAGGGGTCTGCTGTCTGAGGTGCTACGGCCTCTCCTCCCGGCGCTCAGCTCCTCCCAAACCCCTTCCTGAGTCTGTGCGTCTCCTGCCCACTTCCGGTCTCCAGCCCCAGGCTGTACGCCTCCTTCTGCTGGGCACTTGACTGCCACTCGGCGGGCTCCGGGATGCTTTCGGTCCCAGTGCAGGACCCGATGCCAGTGTCACCACCCGCTCAGGTAGTGGAGCAGTGGCCAGCACCGACCTGTCCACCCTAGGTGTGTGTCTGCAGCCTCAGCTCGCCGTGACTGTGCAGTGGGTGCTGCCGTCACCCCATTTAACAGGGGAGGAAACTGAGGCTCGTGGCCACCCTTTCCTGGATCACTCCTCCAGAGGGCCCGCGGAAACATCGAGCGCGAGCCCCCCTCCCCCGGGGTGGGTGGGGCTGGGTGGAGGCCCCCGGCCCTGCGCATGCTCCTTGACTGGCCCAGATCTTCTGGAGAAGTCCCGCGCCATCCGCCAGGCCAAGGACGAGTGCAGCTTCCACATCTTCTACCAGCTGCTGGGGGGCGCCGGAGAGCAGCTCAAGGGTCAGCGGCCCAGCCCCACGGGAGCCCTGCGGGAGGCTGGGAGGGGCTCTCAGGGCCTGGCTGGGAGCCGCCTCTGTGGTCCCCGCTCCTTCTGCTTCCAGCTGTGTCCCTGGCCTCGCTTGCGCGCTGTCCTGGCCACGCGGTGCCCGCTCTCTCGCTTCCGAGCTCCTCTTCCTGCTCCTCCTGCTCGCTCCACCCGGGCTGCATGATGGCTCCGTCCTCTCGCCGCCTCCTGACTCCGGTGACCCTGTGTGTGCTGCCCTTCGGCCCCACGACCTCGAGGCTGCCCAGGGCTCTCAAACCTAGGCTCCCACCTGCAGCCGCTGGCGCCCCGGCTTCCGTGCCTTCTGCCCCTGGCTGCGCGGAGAGATGCCCCTTGCTCTCGTCCTCAGCAGCCCCCAAACCTGCGGGTTTTGCTTTTTCTGGCTCTTTCTGCACTGTAACTTGTGTCTCCTTCTGCTTCTTGCTGCCACAAAGCTACTCATTCAGGTGCTTACTCTCTGTGGCTTGTGGAAACGCAGATCAGCTTGGCATGGTGGTGCAAGGCCCTGATCCCAGCACTCCGGGAGGCTGAGGCAGGAGGATCTCAAATTTGAGCCCAGCTTGGTCAAGCCCATCTGAAAGAATAAAAAGAGATGGGGATGGGACGGGGATTTTACCTCAGTGGCAAAAGCGCCTGCCTTTACACGCCGCGCAGCCATGAGTTCAATCCCCAATACCAAAAAAAAAAAAAAAAAAAAAAAAAAAGAAAGAAAGAAAAAAGAGCCAAGGATGTAGTTCAGTGCAAAGGCCCTGGGTTTCATCCCCAGGATTGCAAGAAAACAGTAACAAAAAAGAAAGCAGTGTCCCCCAGTGCTGGCCACTGCTGACCTGGGTGGGACAGACCCCACCCATTGGGTAGGGGAAAGGGTCTCCTCCCGGTCACTGTCGGAGGGTCTGTGTCCCGCAGCCGGCCTGACCCCGTGCCCCCCTCTCCGCAGCCGACCTCCTCCTGGAGCCCTCCTCCCACTACCGCTTCCTGACCAATGGGCTGGCGTCCACCCCCAGCCAGGAGCGGGAGCTGTTCCAGGAGACGCTGGAGTCCCTGCGGGTGCTGGGCTTCACCCCGGAGGAGATCACCTGTGAGTGGACGAGGAGGGGGGGCGGGCTCGGTCCGACTGGGTGGTTACTGAGTACCTGGACTGGGTGGGATGAGAGGGAGGTGACCGCCATCCCTGATGTGGTGGTGGTGGGGAATGAACAGGGAGAACCCCGAGTGGATAAATGAGGAATCCAGGAAAGTGCAGTGGCTTTCTGGGGGGTGAGGAGCGGAAGAGGCAGGTGGGGACGGGCGTCAGAAATGCCCTTCAGGTGTTGAGGAGTGGGACACGGTAACCCCTCTGCGCCGTGGAGAGGCCCTGGTGTGGGGAGGTGGAGGAACATGAAGGCTCCCAGCCCAGGTCTGCAGTGAGTGCTTTAACCAGGATCTCGGAGCTAAGTACTCAGCTCAGCACCCGGGGGCTCAATGCCCCACTTGTCACTGGGCAGGATGTTTCATGATGGTTCTGTTTTAGTCTCATATCCCTTTACCACGACAAGGGCACAGATCCGAGTGTCCTAAATAGAATCGGTTGTTTGGGAACCTCTGGGCCCAGGGCTTGACAAGGCCAGTTCATTTTTGAGAGCCTGTACCCTTCTTGTCTGTGGTTTGAGGTGGCCGGTGCTGCCTGGCACCCCTTGGCATGTCTCTCTTTGTGTGTCCAAGATACCTCAAATGTGTCTGCCCTTGTGGACTGGCTTGAAAGCCAGATGTGGAGACGCTGCACTCTGTAATGCCAGCATTCAGGAGGCTGAGGCAGGAGGATCTTGAGACTAGCCTAGCCTGGCTGTAGAGCGAGGCTGTGGAAGGAGCAGGGTCCCACTGGAGGAAGAGCTTCCCCTGTGGACTCATCTCATCTAATCATGTCGGTCCAAGGTCACATTCAGAGGCCTGGCCTTGGGCTTTGGCATAGCAACCTGCTGCAGGTGCAGACAAGTGGCCTCCGTCCTCCTGAGGTGCCAGAAGCGGGGACTGCGTCTTTCAGCCCTTGGAGGCTCACGGGATAACCTGGCGTCTGTCTTGCTGGCCCTGGCTGCAGCCTCCCGGGTGCATTGACACAGGGGCTCGGTCACCACGCCCATCTGATTTCCCACTTAGGTTGTGTGATCCTCAGCCTGCCCTACCTGCTATGTCTCTGCAGTTGGTGTCTGGTAACAGAAACAGATCCTGTCTGTGTCAGGGAGGGGTTTCCAGCCCAGCCCTGGGGCCTGCCGCTTGGTGGGTGCAGACAGAGCTCAGGCTTTTGCATTTCTTTTCTTTCTTTCTTTTTGTTTTCTTCTTGAGACAGGGTCTCACTATGTAGTTCAGGCTGGACTTGTGCGTACTTTGTAGCCCAGGCTGGTCTTGAACTTGCAGCGATCCTCCAGCCTCAGCCTCCTGAGTGCTGGGATTACAGGCATGTGTGCCACCACGCCTGGCTGAGTTTTCCCTTTTCACAGCCAGAAATTTTGCAGTAAATCTGCTTGAGAGACACACGGTGAATGTGGCAGAGGTCACACTGAGGAGCTGAGACCCCCAGCCCCTGCACCTGGTTCCCACTCTACCTGCTTCTTCCAGGTAGATTTTGGACAGATGAGGAAAGACAAGGGCAGCTCTCCCTGGTACCCTGGAGATCCACTCAAGGTCCCCCCTTGAACGCCTAGAGCCATGGGTGCCCAGGTCCCTTAAATAAAATGGTGTGGGGTTTGCAGGTGAGGTACAGGACCCTCCCCAGCACTGCAGAGCATTTCTAGGTGAATTACAGCATCTGATGCAATGTGAGGCTGTACAGATTGTTACAGTGTTGCCCAAGCATGGGGAAGGAAGGGCTGCGCCTGCTCGGGACAGCCCAATTTTTTCCTAAGAGTTTGAGTCCAAAAACAGTTTGAGCCAGGCATGGTGGCACATGCCTGTAAACCCAACACTTGGGAGGCTGAGGCAGGAGGATCACTGCAAATTGGAGACCAGCCTGGGATACAAAATGAACTCAAGGCCAGCCTGAACTGCAGAGCAAGACTGTCTCAGAAAGACAAACAAAAACAAAAACAAAAATACCCGAAGTCGGTTGACGCATAGATATGGAGCCCACAGATACAGGGCGATGGGAGTGTTTTTGTATAAAAGAAGGCATCCTCTAACCTCCAAACTTATGTTTAGCTGTGCCAGTGATAAAAATGGGAAGCTAACCCGGGCATGCTGATGCATGTCTGTGATCCCAGCACTCAGGAGGCTGAGGCAGGACGATGGCAAATCTGAGCCCTGCCTGGGCAACTTGGTGGCTTAGCAATAACTTGTGTCAAAATAAAAAAACATTTTTTAAAGTACAGGGATGTAGCTCTGGCCCTAGGTTAAATCCCCAATACTGAAGAAAAAAAAAGTCACTACAAAAGGCAGCTTAAGTAGAAATATAATTTATATAGTGTACCATTCATGTATACCTGTGTTTACAAGCACAGTTAGACCCTATTGGTGTATCCAGGGCACTGTTAATTTAGGGGTCTGTGTAACCAGCTGCTGAACAGCCTCAGAGCCAGGCGCACACCTCCCACTCCACACCTGCCGCCCAGCCCCATCCCCCATGCCTGCAGCCCCAGACCTGCCGTCCTGTCCCTGGGAACTCCTGGGGTGAGATCACACCATGTGATCCTCCACAGCTTCCGTGTTGGCCCAGGTATCCCTGCCCCATCCCGCTGTCATCCATCTAAGTCACAGACGGACGGGTCACATTGGTTTTACTTTGTGTTTTTCTTATAAAGAGTGGGACCAAACACCTTTTTATAGACTGCTTCTGACAGAAGAAGGGACAGATGGTCAAAGAGTCCTGCTGCAGTGCTCACCACAAGTCAGGAGGCAGGGACAGAGCCTGGCGTGATGGCACATGCCTGGAATCCCAGTGCTTTCGAAGCTGAGGCAGGAGGATGTCAGATTCAAACCCTGCCTGTGGGCTCAACTCCCAGTATCCCTGCTACCAGGAAAAAATGGAAGGATGCAGTAAACAGGTTTCCCAGCTCCCCTAAATTGTGGTTCAGCAGATTCCACAGGAGCTTTGGTACCTGGCTTTGTACCACAGGACACCCTAGGAGGCTGGAATATTCCTCAGTTCCTGCAGGCTTGGGGCTGTGGGACCCTTCCTCAGGTCTGGGTATTTGTTTATTTTTAATGCTCTTCATTCAAGATATTTGTTTGCTTTGTGGTTTTGTTTTTTGAGACAGGGTCTCACTGTGTAGTTCAGGTTGGCCTCAAATGCCAGATAACCTCCTGCCTCAGCCTCCTGAGTGCTGGGATTACAGCGTTATGTCCCCTTATCACTAGCGTATTTATAATACAGTCCTTGGAACATCCATTCCTCACATTGCTGGCCTCTCCCCAAGAGCCAAGTCACCACAGCAGATCCTCCCAACCTGGCCCTTGAGACCCTAACAACCCAAGAATAATCATGGCACTTACTAGACTGACCCCATGTCCGGGCCCTTCCTAGGAGCCCTCCCTGACGGTCTCACACCCACTTCACAGCTGAGAGTTAACAGGCATGGTGTAAATCCCAGCCTCTTCCTTGCTGGAAAGAAGACAGTATTGTCAGCACTGCCTTCTGAGCTTCAGTCACTCATCTGAAAAATGGGACAGTAATAGTCTTTCTCTCAAGTGTGAATTTGAGGGGATGAGTTATTCACACTTACTTGCACCTTCTGTATGCTGGGCACTGTCCCAGGACCTCAGGACACAGCTGTGACCCAAACATACAACATCCCTGACAATGTTTTCAGTCACTAGGAAGACAGTGTCATGGTGAAACTCAATGTGGAGCCAGAGGACATGAGTTTGAGTCCCAGATCTCCCTTTTACCCACTAGCAGCTTCTTGGTCAAGGATATCTGTGAAAGGAGACAGTAGCAGACCTCAGGTTAGGGAACTGAACATACATCATGGGGGGATTGCATTGTAAGTTATAATTGTGTATAATTTAGATTTATTTGAAAGGTGGTCAGTGGCCACCATATTGAATAGTTTGCTGTTGGCTGCCACATTGGATGATGTGATGCTGGGATGCTGGCTACCATATTGGATGATGTGCTGTTGGCCACCATGTTGGATAGTGTGCTATTGGCCGCCATATTGGGTGGTGTGCTGTTGGCCACCATATTGAATGGTATGATGCTGGGATGCTGGCTGCCACATTGGATGGTGTGATATTGGCCACCATATTGGATGGTGTGATGTTGGCCACCATATTAGCTGGTGTGCTGTTGGTTGCCACATTGGTTGGTAGAATATTGGCTGCCACATTGGATGGTGCAGATCTGAGGGAGCCATGATGGAAGCCATTCTGCAGAGGGGGGCACTGAGACCTTGGGGATAGTATTTGTCCCCCAGATTAGATGAGACCAGAGCCCATGGCTCACTCATTGCTGTCCCAGGAGTCCCCATGAGGGGACCAGCCTGCCTATCCCAGGTCCTAGCCACATTCCAATGCACAGTGGCTGGTGTCCTCTGGAGGAGCCTCTTGACATACCAGCCCAAGTCCTCCATCTACTCCAGCCCAAGAGGGGTGGGCCCTGGGACCTGGGCTGGCTGGGAGGAGGCCCCAGTGCCCCCCTCTCCACATTCCTGAGGCTCTGATTGGGCCCTGTCTCACCTCGGAGACAGCAGCACTAGAGACCACTGAGCCCAGTGGGGAAACTGAGGGCCCGAAGGCCATGGAGCATGCCCAGGTCACTCAGCAATCTGTCTGGTGTGTTCCCCAGCCAGATAATTCCACCTTTCTTTCACTGATACATTGACTTACTAGGTGCAGGCTGGCCTTTCCAGCCAGACCTCCGCAGGCACAGCAGTGACCAGGACAAGGCAGAGATACCCAGGCGCAGCCAGCCACGCAGATGAATTCAGTCCGGAGCTGCAGAGGGTGGTGGGCAGAGGTGCTCAAGGATGAGGTGCCCAGGCTAGCCGACACAGGTCAGGGCAGCCCCCTCACCTCGGGTGGCCCCGAGCTGAGTCCTGAAGGGTAGGTGGGAGCACTTCCAGCAGAGGGAACCTCTGGGGCCAGGGCCTGGTGGCAGGAAGGAGTGTGGTGGGGGAGTAGGAGGGGTCTGATTGGCAGCTGGAGGGGGTTGTGGGACTAGGGGAGGGGAGGGGATGGGAACAGTGTACTGAGACCCTTGTAGGGCTTAGGTTGAATCCCAGGGGCAGTGGGGCCCGTGTGGAGGATCCCTGGCCATCATAGGCAGACTGTGTTCCCATGCAGACACCTTTATAGAGCGCTTCCTGTATGCGGCCATGGCTGGGGATGGAGAGGGGTGGGGAGGGCTGGGGAGGGGTGGAGGGGTGTTTCCCCAAGGAGCTGTGGGCACTGGAGCGATGGGGAAGGAGAACTGTCACATAGCCCTGTCCTGAAGGTGAAAGTCCAGCGTCATTCCCAGTGATCTGAGAGCCAGGCTGGGGGTCAGGACTGGTTCTTGGGAAGCCTCCAGGGAGAATGCTGCCCTTCCCAGCTTCCAGAGGCTGCCCTGCTCCTGGGCCCTTATTCCAGCTTTGGAGCAGATGGTGGCTGTCCTCTCTGCCCACATGGCTTGCAGGTGTGTGTGTGCCCGTGTATAAAACCTGCCTCCCCCTCAGGATGCTTGTGATGGCACTTAGAGCCCTCCCAGATAACCCATTCCACCTCTGGATCCTTCATTTACCCAGGCACCCCAGCGAACACCTGTTATCCCAGTACTCTGGGATGCTGAGACAGGAAAATCACAAGTTTAACCCAGCCTGGGCCAACTTAGTGACTTTAGCCAGAGCCTGTCTCAAGATGGAAAGGGGCTGGGGATATAGCCCAGTGCAAAGGCACCGAATTCAATCCCCAGTACGCCCCCCCCCCCATCCTTCATTTAATTGCGATTCAAAGCCCCACTGGCCACACGAGGTGAGAGGTGACACGGAGGGCCTGGAACCTGGCGTGGGCTGTTACCCAGCCACCCCTGGACGGGCAGTGTGCATTACTGGACTGGGAGCACCCCCCTCCCAGCCGCACACCGGGAGCGTTGCCAGGTAGAGTGTGCTGGCGCGGGGCCCATCGTCTAACCCGCAGGCCTTATGTCACTTTTCCCAGCAGTGTGCTTTCGCCAAAAATAAAAAATAAAAAAGCATAGTCACCCACACAGCCCCCTCCCTCTCCCCAGCGAGGACCTCAGTCTCTTAGTCTCCGCGGAGCCCGGGCCTGCGGGGCTCTTGAGTCTGCGCGGTTCGGTTCCGGGCCGGATCCAGCTCCGCGCGTCCCCGCACCCCGCCCCCGTCTCTAGGCCAGCGCTGCTCTGGCACTGAGGTCCCGCCTGGCTCCTGCTGGAGCCTACCACCCCCGCTACCATGACCCGCACCCCCAAATGCGGCCCGCGGTGTGGGGTGTCCCTGAGCCGGGAGACCCCGCTCCGTGCGCTCTTCCCTGGTGGGGGTGTGCTTGTGCACATGCGCAGTGCGATCACAATCTACAGTGTGTTTAAATTTTAAAATATTTCTAACAGTACAAGACACGTTGCCATGAATGCCCCTTAAAATTCTCCTTGTCACTTGGAGCACACTTTATCCCACCATTCTGCCACTTCCTGGAGCAGTCTGGAAATCCTTAGTCTCTGTATGAGACGTGATCAGAAATACGGTGAGCGGGTCGCTGAGTGCCATCTGACAGAAAGCCGAGCCTATTAAAAAAAAAAAACCAGATCAGGCACCGCGAGACTTCTAAACCGTCCCCAAAGTCAAAATGACCATGAAAGGCAGATGTTTGAATCAACTGAGGACCATCAGGGCAGCCAGGTATGGTGGTGCACATCAGTCATCCCAGCACGCGAAGGCTGAGGCAGGAGGATTGCCACGAGTTGGAGGCCAACTGCTTCAGACAGTGGCAAGAACCACGAGAAAAGTGTCAGAAATTAAAGCAGAGTGCTTTGACAGGAATGAATGGCAATATGTCTTTTATTCTAATAACGTTTTTAAATTTAAACATTTACCATATTTTTAGGTCATACGACCACCTATACTAAACAGGAGGACAGGGCAAGCATCGAAGTTGAAAGCACAGGTTTCAGAGGGAACCACACCGGCTTGGTTTGAGCCCCAGCCCTGTCGGCTTGTGAGTTGGATGATCTTGGGCAAGTAGATTGCCTGCCTCAGTTTGCCCATCTGTGAAATGGGGATCAGAGGCAAGGGTGTTGGGACCAGAGGAGGCAAAGAGGAGTGACAGTTGGTAGCATTGCCTCACTGGGTAAACAACGCAGACGTCCTAGAAAGCCACAGAGACAAATGCAGCCAGACACTAGAGAACCTGAGAATGTTCTAGAAAGGCAGCCACATCTTGATAAAGCTTTAAACAAGACCCACAGCCATCTTCCCGTGATTAAACAGAGCCCCTGCCCTTCTGGAAAATTTAGTGTTGTTTCAAAACCAAGCACAAAACACTTTTGTGTTTCTAGGTAAAACAGTTGCCAATTAGTCCGTGATTTCTCTCGGATTTGTCTCAGGACATTTGGGGAGCAGTTGTCAGTGGTGCAGGATGTCCGTGTGGGATCCTGCAGCCCAGTCTCTGCCGACATGGAACACCCACCCCCAGGGATGCCCAAGACCGTGCTGGGGACAGTGTGCCGCTCACACACACACACACACACACACACACACACACACACACACCGTTAGTCATGGCTCCTGCGTTTGCAAATTCACCTCCTTCCCAGATTCGCTCCTCACCCCACATCTACACTCCCGCTGCTTTCTAGTCATTGGCAGTCGCGCACAGAGCTGCAGAAAGCTCAGCTCTCTGTCTGCGTCTGCACCACGCTTCCACGTATCTGTACTTTTCCATTGACTTCACTAAAATGTGCCCTGAAAGGCCATGGAGTGTCCCTAAGAGCCAGCAGCATACTAGATGAACTTCTGTCTGGTGTGAGGCACGCGGGGTTGGCCAGGAACACCTTGGCATGGGCCAGCAGTGGACTGGATACATCAGGGGTCTGCAAAGAGAAACAGGCAGGCAACGCCATGCATTTATGCCATGGGGCTTACAGGCCACTGACTCCCCCCCCCCCACTTCCTCCAGGAGGGGTGGCGTCTCTTCACTCATTTAGTGTTCATGGTGACCTGTGCCATTGTGGTCCACGCCCGTGATCAATCCCAGGACTCTGGGAGGCTGAGTACTGAGGAGGACCACAAATTCTAGCCTTTCCTGAGCAGTTTAGCAATTTTAGGGAAACTACTCAAAAACAAATTTTTTTGAGACACAGTCTCCTGTGTAGCCCAGCCTGGCCTTAAACTCACTATGTAGCCCAGGCGGGCCTCGAACTCCTTATGCTACCCCTGGCGCAGCTGCTAGAGTGCTGGGATTACGGGTGTGCGCCACAACATCTGGAAAAAAAATAAAAATTTAAAGGGATTGGACATATAGCTAAGTGTGAAGGTCCTGGGTTCAAGTCCAGTCACAGGAAATCAAAAACCGAAACTTTCCCTCTCCTACGCAGACACCAGGGCGCTGTGTGTGCCACTCTGCACCTCGTGTTTTTCACTAGTCCTTTCTAATCCTGTAAACACCCCTTCATGGGACAGACAAGGCAACAAAGCAAAACCTAACCTGCAGGACGAATAAAGCAAACCTGGGATCCGGAGTGTGGCCCAAACCCTGGCCCAAGGCCCCCGAGGGCCACAGATGGGGGCCAGGCCCCGCCCATGGTACCAGAGGCCCCGCCCATAGGTTAATTGGCCACGCCCCACCGCAGCAGCCCCCCCCCCCCCGTTCCTGCTCCTACTGTACCTCCAAAATCACTTCTGCCACTATTTTCTTGTTTCAGGTTTTCCAGCACCATAAGGGGCCTTAGCAGGGATGCTGTCCTGCATTTGGCTACGGATGGGTTTGGGGTGGGGTGGCACAGTTCTTAGGGCTTTTAGGTTGAACGTTTACGAGGCTGATTCAGGCCAAATCCAGGGCTGATCCGGGTCAGAGCCGCTGACCTCTCGTCCTGCCGCCCACAGCCATGCTGCGGATGGTGTCCGCCGTGCTGCAGTTCGGCAACGTGATCCTCAAGAGTGAGCGCAACACAGACCAGGCGACCATGCCGGACAACACAGGTACGCCCGCCCCGCCCCGCGCCACAGCCCCGCCCATAGGTTGGTTGGCAATGCCCACTTAACATCACCACGCCCCACCGAGGAAAAAGTCCTGGCCCCGCCGCACCCTGGAGGGTCCTGGCCTTACTGCTCCTCCAAAATCACTTCTGCCTCAATTTTCCTGATTCTGATTTTCCACAACCCAGCACCATAAAGGGCCTTGGCAGGGATGCTGTCCAGCATTTGCTGCAATCTGCTGGCCTCAGACCTCGGCATCTCTCTCTCTCTCTCTCTCTCTCTCTCTCTCTCTGTTATTGTTTTTGAGACAGGGGCTCACTATGTATTCCAGGCTGAGCTTGAACTCACTATGTAGTTCAGGCTGGCCTGGGACACCTGGTGATTCTTACGCCTCAGCCTCCTGAGTGCTGGGATTACAGGCGTATGCCAACACGCCCACCTTCTTTATCTTTTTCTATTTTTTTCTATTTCTATTCTTTTCAAAAATAGAATTATAGTCACTAGTCCTTTTTTAATTCTTTAGGAGGAGGGTGCCAAGAATCAAACTCACAACCTTGTACTTGCCAGGCAGGTGCTTATGCCACTGAGCTATGTCCCCGGACCCCTGTAATCCTTTTTAAAGTTTTTAAATCAAAATGCCCATATAAACATAAAAAACAGCATGAGCTGAAAGGAGAGACTGAGGCAGGACACATGAGCATAAGGAAAGAGCGAGGTTGTCCTTAACCATACACCCGTGCACGCTGGCGGGGTCACTCCCTGGGCTACCCCGTGTCCTCAGCCTGCGGGAGCCAGAGAACTTTCAGATCCCTTAGAAAACACCACAGCTGGTTTTTTGAAGGAGATGGGACAGCCCCTTCCCTAGAGGTACCCGTGGCTTTGGGGGTTCTAGTCACACACATACAAATCTACACAGTTATTTGTGTTACAATATTGGGGTTACACCTTGTAAGCCATCTTATACCCTACTTTTTCACTTCATGCACTGAGGGTAGCCTTCCAGGTTGGGACCCAGGACTCCCCAGGGATTTCTTAATCCCAGGGTCCGTGGGTCACTGTCATCTGTCTCTTGTGAAACGCTGTGTATTTTGTTTTCAGACATTAACAAAAGGAACAAACAGTCCATAGGCTTCACTAGATGCCAAAGGCAACCAGAGGCTTGGAGTCTAAGAACAGCTTCCTATTAGTGGCTGCATAGTATTCCACCAGGCACCGATCTCCTGCTGTATTTTTAAGTTATTTAGTTGAGCACTTAAACTTTGCTTAGTCACTTAGTTTAGCTTAGCACATAGAAGCTAACATTCTATGTGAGCTAAGTGAGCTAAGCTAGCATTCTATGTGAAATGCTTCACGTAGAATGCAAAGTGACTATAAAAAATTGGAGGGTAGGGCTGAGTGACTGCATTCTCCCTTCTAGGTGTTCTCTTTTCTGCTGGTGCTGAGAATTTGTAGTAACTGTGCCCCACTTTGCAAGTAACAGATGCTTGAAAACATTTCTTTATTATGGGTTAAGTCAGAGCAGAAAGAAGAATACACCTCCCACAAATCTCTCCCCTTCTGCACAAACACCTACTTAGCTTCGCCGTGTTCAGGCATTTGTCTGCAATTTTTCCATATAAAAATAAGCTGATAGTAACTGGGATGGTGGCACACTCCTATAATCCCAGGACTCTAGGAGGCTGATGCAGAAAGATCACAAGTTCAAGTCCAGCCTGGGCAAGCTGACCACTTGACAAGACCCTGTCTCAAAATAAACAGTTTTTAAAAAATAAAACGCTAAGGATAAAGCTCTGTGCAAAGGCCCTGGGTTCAATTCCCAGTGCCACAACACACACAGTCAAAGAGACAGGCATGTATTCCATAAGCCTTTTGTTTTAGATAAATTTAGGGTCAAATTACAATTTTTATTTAATTTAAATACTTCATTCTATTTCATTAGACAGCCCCAACGTAATTTCCCCCATTCTTTTCTAGGTAAAAACATTGAAGCATTTAGAAAAATGGAAGGACTTACTTAGAAACACCTTATGTTCCTGCACTTACCAAACAGTTGCGTTCCCTGCTGCTCCTTTCTGAGCCCCAGTTTTTCGTTTGTGTGTTTTGTTTTGTGTGTGGTACTGGGAGAGATCTCCAATCACTTGAGCATCCTTCTTACTCCCTGGTTTGCTCCGTGATAAAGCACGCCTTGGTGAGCACCCTTGTAGCTCAGCCTCGGCTCGTGTGCACGAGTACTGTGGCTGATTACCGTGTATCTGGTTCCTAAGAGGAGAATCAGTAGACGGGGGGAGCGGCACCCCCTCCTTATGCGTGGCCAAGGCCACTTCCGGTGCTGACCGGATGTGCTGTCTCTTTCCCACAGCTGCCCAGAAGCTCTGCCGCCTCCTGGGGCTAGGGGTGACCGACTTCTCCCGAGCCCTGCTCACACCCCGCATCAAGGTTGGCCGAGATTACGTGCAGAAAGCCCAGACCAAGGAGCAGGTAGGTGGCGGGTGGGTCCTCATGCAGCTCCAACCTCTTCACACTAAAACCAGTGAGGAAATAGCAAGTGCCAAGGCCCTGGGGCTGGAGCAAGCTCAGTGATTTGGGGCCCTCAAGGAGGCTGGTGAAGCTAGAAATTCCAGCAGGGGTCAGAGCATGCAAGGGCTTAGGGGCTGCAGTAAGGAGGTGAGTTTTATTCGCCCGGGGGGTGGGGAAGATTCCCCAGAGCGAGTCAGCTGTTTGTATCACTGTTGCCAAGGGCCAAGAAGCTGGCAGGGAACCGCACAGGGCGAGGGTGGGGGAGCGATGGTTCCAGCCATACAGAGGCCTCACGTGTGCTGCCCTCACAGGCTGACTTCGCGCTGGAGGCTCTGGCCAAGGCCACCTACGAGCGCCTCTTCCGCTGGCTGGTCCTGCGCCTCAACCGTGCTCTGGACCGCAGTCCCCGCCAGGGCGCCTCCTTCCTGGGCATCCTGGACATCGCCGGCTTCGAGATCTTCCAGGTCTGCCTCGGGGACCAGCTGCCCCTACCCCCGCCCGCTGTGGGTCCCAGTGTGCCCCCTGCCGTGCCCCATGCCTGGCTCATACCTCCTTCCCTGCAGCTCAACTCCTTCGAGCAGCTGTGCATCAACTACACCAACGAGAAGCTGCAGCAGCTGTTCAACCACACCATGTTCGTGCTGGAGCAGGAGGAGTACCAGCGCGAGGGCATCCCCTGGACCTTCCTGGACTTCGGCCTCGATCTGCAGCCTTGCATTGACCTCATCGAGCGCCCGGTGAGCCGTGGGGGCTGCAGGCACTGGGGACTCACGGCTCGGGCTGCGACACTGCCCTGAGAGCTGAGCTGAGGGCCTTGGGGACCTGAACTACTCTTCCCTTCCTGTGGATCCCAGGCCAACCCACCCGGGCTTCTGGCCCTCCTGGATGAAGAGTGCTGGTTCCCCAAGGCCACGGACAAATCATTCGTGGAGAAAGTGGCCCAGGAGCAGGGCAGTCACCCCAAGTTCCAGCGCCCCAGGCACCTGCGGGACCAGGCCGACTTCAGCGTCCTGCACTACGCGGGCAAGGTAGGTCAGGGCCTGGAGTGAGGCGTGGCCAGAAGGGGAAAGGGGCGGGGTCAGGGTGGGGCGGGGCCGGTGGGTGGAGCAGGGCCAGAAGAGTGGGTCGATGTTGCAGTTCCCAACATGGACACAAGGTGGCGCCCGCAGGCCCTGCCGCGGTGCTCCCACTGCGGGAAGGCTGGGCTACCCGGAGTCACAGCATCCTCCACCTGGCTTTGCTTAGGTCGACTACAAGGCCAATGAGTGGCTGATGAAAAACATGGACCCTCTGAATGACAACGTGGCAGCCTTGCTGCACCAGAGCACAGACCGGCTGACAGCTGAAATCTGGAAAGATGGTGAGGACCCTGGCCCAGCCCGGAGTGGGTGCACCATAGTTCCAGAGTGGGCAGCCGCACAGATGGTACTTCTGATAATAGACAGACAGAAGGATGGACTGGTTGATGTCTTCAACCAGCATGAAGCTGGGCATAGTGGTGCACACCTATGATCCCAGCACATGGGAGGCTGAGGCAGGAGGTTGATTGGGGATTCAGGGTCACCCTGAGCTACATAGCAAGACCCTGTCTCAAAAACAACAGCATCAAATCCAGGGATTAAACTCCCTGCTGATCAGAGCGAGGCCGGCTGCCTGTCCGCCTGTGGTCCATCACTACCTTAGCAACAATGGCCATGTAGTGAGACCAGTAAAAGAACCAAGCACAGCAGTCTCACAGTCTGCCGGGGACTGGTTCCAGCACCCTTTGCAGGCACCGGGGGTGCTTCACGCCAAAGGCGCTCATGTCCCTCAAAATGCCTTGGCAGCCAGATGTGGTAACACAGGGCTGTGACCCCAGCCTCTGGGAGGCTGAGGTGGGAGGATTGTGGCACACCCTGAGGCAGGAGGGTCACCATGAGCTAGAGGCCATCCTGGGCTCCATACGGGAGTTCGAGGTCTCCCTGCACTACTTGGCGAGACCCTGTCTCAATAAAACAACAACAAGTTTGAGACCAGCTCTAGTCAGGCAACTCCATGTCTCAAAACAAACAGTAAAAAGGGGGGCTGGGGATTTCGCTCAGCATCACAAGTGCCTGCCTGGCATGCACAAGGTCGTGAGTCTGATCCCCGGACCCTGCTGGTGCAGAGTCGTTGGAGACACAGGGATCTACAGGAAGAAGGAAGCTGGCAGGTTGGGGGTATTCACAGGTATTCATAGTTAAAAGAATTAGAGTGAACTCACAGCGGAGATTCCACAAGCCTGTCAGTTTCCAGATTGCTTTCTTCCCTCCTTCACAAGTCCCCTTCCGGTCCACAGGGAACAGAAGACAAGCCTCGGGCGGACACAGAGCTCTCGAGGGGTTCCCCGATCTAGGGAGAGTGTTTCCCCAGCAGCCTGCCGGGAGGCGCAGGCAGGGCCACCAGGCACCTTTGTGGCTGGCACGGGTCTCGGCCTTCCTGAGCCCTGATGCCATCCCAACCTGCGGGCAGTTTGAGAAACGGTTTTATAAAACCATCAGCGCCTTGGCTTTGGCTGGGTCCCATTTTCCAGCCTTTGTTGGTTTTCCTTCATCCTTTATCAGCCTTGGAAGGATAGAGGTAGAGGCTCCAGGCCAGGCAATTAGGCAAGAAAACAAAACAAGCTTCCTGAAGCCAGGAGCCTATGGCATTCCTTGATATCCTGAGCTGATGCCAGAGAGGGAAGCTCCCAGTGTTGACCCCAGAGAGACTGGAAAACAGGTTTTGGTGTCCGATACTGGACCAGACTCTGCTGTGGGGATCACAGAAATCTAACTACATTTTTTAAATGTGTGGCCTAGTCACAGGCATAGGATCATCCCAGTGACCCAGCCTTGTCCCACCCCATGAAGGCTGCAGAACCTCCCCAATCAGGCGTGGAGCTGACATGAGTTCCTCCTAAAGTACAGTAGTCACCAAGTCTGCCCAGATTTGAGTTCTCTGAGCCATAGGGAATAGGAGGGCACTGGGACCGTTTTGGCAGCCATCTTGACCTGGTCACAGAGCTGGGCTCCCAGCATGCTGGCAGCCCAGGGAAAAAAGGGAAATGAGATAAGCTCCTCTGAGAGACAGCACCAACAACTCCCCCCAAGGATCTTCAGCTCTTGAGCTTCCTGTCGGCCAGAGCAAAAAGGTGGTGTCCTGTACAGCTGACACAGGCTCAGCCCACAAGGAAGGAGATTATTTTTCTCTCATGCTATTCTCACAGGGGACATTCATTCTCTCAGTCGACACTGATGCCCTCAGTGGGTAGATCCAGAGGTAAATGGAACGTGAGAAGTTCATGGCCAGCGTCCAGGCCTCCGGCCTGCTTTGCTCTGTGCTGTTGTCTAATGGGCCTCTCCTCTTTCTCTCCCTCCACCTTCTCCCTCATCTCTTTCATGCGTCTCCCCCCATCTCCCCGCCATCTCCCCACACCTACCCTCCCACCCTCCCCAGGACACGGGGAGCTCCCGCAGGCCTCTTTCCTGGGCTCCTTTCCTGCGCTGTCCCCTGGATCCCCAGGGAGGTGCTGCTCTGCCTCTCACCTGCCAGGGGGTGGGCGTCTCTGCAGTGACGGTGAGGCCTTTGGGCGAGGAGGGTGGGCCGTGCGCTGGGAGCCGGCTCGGACCTGTCCCTCTCCTGTCCCTGCTGAGGCCTCTCTCGCTTCCTCTGCCTCTTGCTGGCCCCCGATGCTCCAAGTCCCTAGCCACTCTCTGCCAGAAAAGCCTCTTCTCAGGGACACCCAGAATCTGCTACCCACCCAGGAGGCAGATGCCAGGACTCTTCCCCCTCCTAGCATGCAAATGAGGAAACTGAGGCACAGGGGTGTTAAACAACTTGCTTGGGGTTGGGGGGGCACATAGACAGTGAGTACCAGAGCTGGGATTTGAACTCAGAACCTTACCCTTTCCCTGCACTCTGAGAACTGAATTAACGATGATTGTTTTGAAAATGACCAAAAGCACGGCAGTGGAGAAGACCATTGCACTTAGGGAGGGGAAAGCCACGTTTGCAAGCCCCTGTGCCGCACGAGGCCCCGCCCTGCAGCTGAATTAAGCAGTGAGCCCCGGGCTGGGCTGGGTTTTGCGGGACCTGATGTCCCCGAGAAAGTTGGCAGCTTTGGGTACACAAGGTGGCACCAGATGTAAGGGACCTGGGGTGTTTTTCCCAAGCAGAAGTGACCCTGGTGGACGTGGCAGTGAGACCAGTGTCACCCTGAAGTCAGCTGAGGCTCCTAAGGGGCCGGCCTCTGTCAAAGTTTTCCCGAGGCACCATTTGTGTTCCAGCCATGCTGTGTGTCATCGCTGGCCCCTATGTGCCTCAGTTTCCTCCCTTGATGAGCACAGCCCTCATAGGCAGCGCCCTGCCTGAAGTCCCCAGTCCTAGCAGCAGCTGCTGTCACTCACTGTCCCTGTCATCTGGTGATGAGGAAAGCAGAGCTCTCCTCTGAGCAGGGCTGGGGATTTACACAGCCCACCCTGGTGCTCGAGACGGCCCGCCAGCCTCAGTCTACGCACTTTAACAGTGCTGTCAGTGACACCCCCTCCCGGGCCATGGGCCGCATGCGCTGTGTGAAGGCCTGGGTCTAAGTGCTCGGGACCCTGGTCCCCGGCCAGCCGGACCCGTCCAGCTGACCCTGCACCTGCCCCTCCACAGTGGAGGGCATCGTGGGGCTGGAGCAGGTGAGCAGCCTCGGGGATGGTCCACCGGGCGGCCGCCCGCGCCGCGGGATGTTCCGGACGGTGGGGCAGCTCTACAAGGAGTCCCTGAGTCGCCTGATGGCCACGCTCAGCAATACCAACCCCAGCTTCGTCCGCTGCATCGTCCCCAATCACGAGAAGAGGGTGAGTGACCCGCCCGGGAGGACAGGGCCAAGGCTCAGCTGCTGGCCTGGCTGGGCGAAGTCTGCTTCTTGCCCCTGAGCAAGCTGCTTCCATTCTGGCTCTCCATACTGCTGGGAAATTCATCCATCCCGTGACTTAAATCTGCCGAGTACTGGGGAGCACAGGCTCTCAGCCAAGCCCCCAAAATGCATTCCAGGGGGGATTTGTAGAGGTCATAAATGTCCCATATGATCTGACCTGGCCAGCAAAGTCCAGGAGGACTCCCAGAGGATGGGATGCCTGAGCAAAAGATATGTGGCTTCCCATGCAGAGAACAGCTTGTGCAAAGGCCCAGTGGCCAGTTGCAGCCCAGAAAGCACAAAGGAGAGAATGGCTGGGAGTGCTGCATATTCGAGGTCTCTCAGGACTTGCGGAGACTTTCTTGTTGCCCCTACAGAGGAGGAAAGTGGGGTGGAAGTCAGGGCATTCAGTGGCTCCCCCCCCTCCCCCCGAGCGTGCGAGGCCTGCGGCAGTGGCTCCCTGGTGTGGCTGCCACACCACCTACCATCGCTTCTCTTGCCCCACAGGCTGGAAAGCTGGAGCCACGGCTGGTGCTGGACCAGCTACGCTGCAACGGCGTCCTCGAGGGCATCCGCATCTGCCGCCAGGGCTTCCCCAACCGCATCCTCTTCCAGGAGTTCCGGCAGCGGTGAGCACGGCCCACCCGGCTGAGCACTCTGCAGCCCCCCCCCCCCCCCCCCCCCGTTTCCTCCTGGGCTGGGCTGGGAGAAAGCCCCGAGATGGGTGGGGACCCCAAACCTTAAACTGGGACCCCACTTGAGTATGTTGCAAGCTGCATGTTGACAATGAAACAGAAAAGAACAAACAGAAACTTTCAAAGTCTAATAAGCAAGTAAAATGGCAAATGTAACCAAAAGATGCCTCCCACCAGCCATCTGGCGCTGCTGTGCGGGAATGCCAGGAAACCGAGCGCCGCTGTGGCCTGGAATCTCGGCGCCTGGGGAGGCGGAGGCAAGGGGGTTGCAAATTGGAACCCCGGCTGCGCTATTTAGAATTTTAAAAAATAAAATAAAGTAAAAAGCTGGGAATGCAGCTCGGTGTGTGATCCCCAGCAAAACAAAAGTGAGAAGGAGGAGAGAAAGGGAGGCTGCAAAAGAGAAAGCAGAACGAGTCACACACATAACCGAAAATTTCCAGTAGCCACGTTTTTTTTTTTTTTTTTTTTTTTTTTTTTTTTTTTTGGTCTTTTTTTTTTTTTTCTATCGGTACCGGGGATCGAACTCACGACTGTCTGCTTTCAAGGCAGGCGCTTATGCCGCTGAGCTAAATCCCCAGCCCCTAGTAGCCATGTTTTAACAAGCTGGCTTGGCTAACCCACGGCATCCCAGACACACTGCGTGATCCGTATAAAAAAGTTAGCAAAGGGCCACTTAGCATGACTGCTTTCCCGTCACGTCTTGGGACTCTGGTGCTTGCCGGGCCCTGTGACCCTCGCTGCCCACCTCCCCGCGCCGCAGGTACGAGATCCTGACACCCAACGCCATCCCCAAGGGCTTCATGGACGGGAAGCAGGCCTGCGAGAAGATGGTGAGGCGAGGCACGTGCGCATGCGCACGGGGGGAGGGGGGGGGCGGACACCCCTCCGCCCTCATCACTGCCTCCCCCTTCTTCACAGATCCAGGCCCTGGAGCTGGACCCCAACCTGTACCGCGTGGGACAGAGTAAGATCTTCTTCCGGGCAGGGGTCCTGGCCCAACTGGAAGAAGAACGGGACCTGAAGGTCACGGACATTATCGTGTCCTTCCAAGCTGCTGCTCGGGGATATCTGGCACGCAGGTGGGGACTGCGCTGTCATCCGGGGCCCTGAGGACTGAGCTGGGTCGGGCTGAGGGTGACCCATAGCCCCCCTGGGCTCCACTGCAGCTAAACGGCTGACAGTGCCCAACTGGAGCTGCACGGTGCCCAGGCTTTCAGCTTTACTGTCCTCGGGTCCTGGGGCCAGGCCCTGGGCTGAGTGATCGGGGTGGCCGTGGTGACCAGGATCCTCCACGCTAGAGCAGAGAGAGCCTAGGGAAAGAAAGCAGGCCAAGCTTTAAGTGTCCCACATGGCCATGCCCTCAGGGGAACCCAAGATGGAGGGGACACAGAGGGCACATCCCAGTTCAGGCTGTGATGCCTGATGGGGGTCACCAAGGTGCAGCGGTGAGTGTGGCCTGAGCAGGGAGGCTCAGGCCACACTGAAAGCCAGGAAGTCAAAGGACAGCAGGCAAGGTGGCCAGGCAGCAGAGGCAGCCTGTGCAATGGCCCTGTGGTATGCATCCTGGCTGTAGAGAGATTGGACAAGTCTCTGTCCCCCACAGAAGTAGCTGAAAGAGAAAGAGGGTGGCAGGAAGGACACCCCAAACGCTAGACTAAGTGCGGGGCGTCCTCACCGCCACCCTCTCTGCAGGGCTTTCCAGAGGCGCCAGCAGCAGCAGAGCGCGCTGAGGGTGATGCAGAGGAACTGCGCAGCCTACCTCAAGCTGCGACACTGGCAGTGGTGGCGGCTGTTCATCAAGGTGAGGCTTTTGCGACCATTGGTGATGCAAAGAGGACACAGAGCTAGATAGGGTGGGAGGTGCGGGCCGGAGTACAGGAGACAGAGGGCGTGAGCGCCCTCGCCCGGTGAATTTGGGCAGACAGAGTTCATTCCTGTGCCTACCGGAAGTGCTGCCCAGCCCAGAGCCACTGAGCCAGCCGCTGGGCTTGGTGGGGTGAGGGCTGGGGCTGTTTAACTGCCTAGGGCAGAAAAGAATCAGGTAGATCTGTGTAGACCCAAATGGGAAACGGTGGCACAGAAGGGGCAGAGCGAACCGAGCAGGGTGGAGCACACTGGCAATCCCAGCAGCCTGGGAGGCTGAGGCAGGATGGCAAGTTCAAACCTAGCCTGGGCAATTTAGGGATTTATGGAAACCCTTCCTAAGGCAATCAATCAATCTGAGGCATAGGGCTTGGAGATTTAGGTTGGCAGCCTAAATGCCTACCTGGCAAGTGTGAGGTTGTGAGTTCGATCCCCAATGCATGAAAAAAAGCTTATACAATCTGAGAGATAGCTCAGGGCAAAGGCCCTGGGGTTCATTGCCCAGTACATTTTTTTTTAACGCAGTTAGTGGTGCTTGCCGCGCGCTAGTCAGCTCCGTGGCTTTTTCCAAGGGGTAACTCAGTCAGCAGGGAACCCCAGGCCCTTTGCATAGGAACCGATAGGACAGTGGCCATCTGCCCAGCAAGGAGATGGAGGAGTGCAGAAGTGCTGGCCGAGGTCTGCAGGAGCCGCTTGGTAGCCTGCTCCACTCTCACCTCCCCTTAGGTGAAGCCGCTGCTGCAGGTGACGCGGCAGGACGAGGTGCTGCAGGCGCGCGCCCAGGAGCTGCAGAAAGTGCAGGAGCTGCAGCAACAGAGCGCGCGCCAAGTTGGGGAGCTGCAGGACCGCGTGACGCAGGTGCGGGGCGGGATGGAGTCCGGTGGGAGGCGGGGCCTAGATGGGCAGTGATTTTTAGGAGGTGGAGCTGGTGGGGGCGGGGCTTAGAGGGGAGGAGCCTGAGGGGCCTTGTGACGGTGAGGCTTGGGGGGAGGCGGGGCATTGGTGGGCAGAGCTTTGTGGGCGGGGTAAGGTGTGGAACTGGGTTGCGCAGGTGTGGCTTGGGGCGTGGCAGAGCCAGATGTACAGGCGTTTTTTCTGAATTCTTTCGGTTAGATATCTAGGCATGGAGTATTAAATGAGATGGGAGCCGGGGATTTAGTTCAGTGGCATAAGCGCCTGCAAGTGCAAAGTCCTGAGTTCGATCCCCGGTACAAATAAAAAAAAAAAAAAATGAGATGGGAGATGGGGTTTTCTGGAGGAGGGTGTCAGGTGGGAAAGGATTAAGAGGAGGAGGAGGAGTTAGGGTGGAGACACCGAGGGTCCCTCGGGGCCTGGTGACTGTGGAAGGCCACCGGCCCTGGGAGCGAGGCCCCTGAGTCTGCTCCCGCGCCGCCGCAGCTGGAGGAGGAGCGCGCCCGCCTGGCCGAGCAGTTGCGGGCCGAAACCGAGCTGTGCGCGGAGGCGGAGGAGACGCGCGGGCGGCTGGCGACGCGCAAGCAGGAGCTGGAGCTGGTGGTGACCGAGCTGGAGGCCCGCATGAGCGAGGAGGAGGAGTGCAGCCGCCAGCTGCAGGCCGAGAAGAGGAGGCTGCAGCTGCACATACAGGTGCAGCCCAACCCTCCCCGCCCCGCGCCTTTAGAGTAGATGGACCCGGGAATTCAGGGGAGGCCCGTAGGCCTCAGCCTCGCTGGCCCCGGCCGTCACCTTTTCTGCTGCGGTATTCGCAGCCAGGCTGCCCGCACGCAGTTCTTGGAAATCTAGTTTGTGGTTTACATTTACAGCACATCTCAGTTCAGATGTTGGACTTCCTTGGAAACATCTGACCTCTTTTTATTCCATGTCAACAGTTTAGAAACTAGATTCACGCCCAGGCTTGATGGTACATTATCTGTAACCCCACCACTCTGGACAGGTTGAGGCAGGAGGGTCGTAAGTTGGTGCTTAGTTGTAACAACTGCATGAGACCCTGTCTCAAATATAAAAAATAAATCAAAGGCTGCAGATGTGGTTCAGCGTGACGGCCCTGAGTCCCAGGACAGGGGCTTTCCTTCACCCACAGGGGTTCAGGGTCTAGAGCAGTGCCTGGTACATGCCAGGCACTCGATAAACACCTGTGCAGCCAATGAGTGCAAAGAGAGTTGGATAAGGTCTGATCCCCTGGCCCCGCCCAAGCCCAGAGAAGGACCTGTAGGGCCCCCAGCCCTGAGTCTGCTCCCTCCCTGCTCTTCCCATCGCGCCCAGTCTCCAGCCCCTGCATCCCCTCTCCTTCCTCCTGCTGCAGGAGCTGGAGACCCACCTGGAGGCTGAGGAGGGGGCGAGGCAGAAGCTGCAGCTGGAGAAGGTGACCACTGAGGCGAAGCTGAAGAAGTTTGAGGAGGACTTGCTGCTCCTGGAGGACCAGAACACCAAGCTGGGCAAGGTGGGGGCTGGGCATTTGGGGGGGCGGAGGGGGTGACAGGAAGCCCCATGAACAAAAATCAGGTTTCTTGTGAGAGAGAGGCACCCAGAAACTAACAAGAACATGCCAAACAGGCAACAGGGCAGAGCACGAGCCAATGTCCACCTGCCAGGGGAGGCTGAGGCAGGAGCATCCTAAGTTTGACCCCAGCCTGGGCAACTTAGCCACTTAGTGAGTTCTTGCCTAAAAATAAACAATTTTACAAAGGCCCTGGGTTCAATCTTTTATCATTTCAAAATATTTATGCATGCTGGACATGGCAGTGCATACCTGTAAACCCAGCACTAAGGGAGGCTAAGACAGGGTGACTGACACATGTTCGAGACCAGCCTAGACTACACAGTGAGGTGAAGTCCAGCCTCAACACAGCCAGACCCTGACTCAAAAAAAAAAAATGCAGATTCTGATTCAGCCTGTCTGGAATGGATCTGCAGCTGCGGTCAGCTCATCTTGGTGGCTGGCTGGCGGTCCACTGCCCACATGCAGTGGTGTCAAGGGTGCCTGCCTCCTAAAGGAGCACAGGGAAGGGGGAGGATGTCCATGGCAGTTGTGGCATTGTTTATCATAGCAATGATGGCAGTCAGCCTCAGTGGCCCTCAGCGCACAGAGGTGGAATGCAGAACAGGGCCCTCTATGTGTGGGCCATGGGTGGGAGGCCCCCGGGGACAGGACAGGAAGCCAGGGTCACGCAGGAGACAGGGAAACCTCAGGGGGAGCAACTCCTGCCCCGCGGCTCCTGACACTGCGTCATGGCACTCCCAGGAGCGGCGGCTTTTGGAGGAACGCCTGGCCGAGTTCTCCTCCCAGGCGGCAGAGGAGGAGGAGAAGATCAAGAGCCTGAACAAGCTGCGGCTCAAATACGAGGCCACCATCGCAGACATGGAGGGTGAGTGCCCAGCGCCCGGGGTGGCATCTACTAAACGGGACAGGAAAGGTGCTGCCAACACATCGAGGACCTCCAGCACTTCAGCCCAACCCTGAGTCGCCCCTTGGTGCCTTGGGTTACTGTCACTTCCCACCTCGGTCACACTTGTGTCCCTTGCTGTTGACTTCGAACGGGAAAGATGGAGAGGTCAGAGGGAGGAGGCACAGCTGTGGGGCGGCGACGGACAAAGTCTGGGGGACGGGGTGGTATGCGGAGTCACAGGCCTGGCTCACCCTGGCCACACCCCGCAGACCGACTGCGGAAGGAGGAGAAGGGGCGCCAGGAGCTGGAGAAGCTGAAGCGGAGGCTGGACGGGGAGAGCTCGGAGCTGCAGGAGCAGATGGCCGAGCAGCAGCAGCGCGCGGAGGAGCTGCGGGCCCAGCTGGGCCGCAAGGAGGAGGAGCTGCAGGCGGCGCTGGTCAGGTGCGGGTGTTCAGCCTGGGCCTGTAGGTGGCACAGAGGTAGCAAGAGTCCTGAGCTCACCCGGGAAGAAGCGGAGGGAGGCGCAGGGCCCGTGGTGGCAGGGCTAGGAGCACGCGCGGGGACCGGAAGGCGGACCCCTACTCAGCCTCAGGACACACACGCTTATTAAATGCCAGCTGCATGCGCAGTGCGGTAGCCAGAGTTTAGTGTTTTCTCTGCACTGCGCTTCACAGTCTAGGTTGTTAAATGTGCAAGAGGGCACATCCTAGAATCAGAGGTTGTGCACAGTCGTGTAACAACACGCCTCTGTCAGGTGTGGTGGCGCCTCCCTCTAATCCCAGCACTCAGGAGACTGAGGCAGAAGGATCGCTATGACTTTGAGGCCAGCCTGGGCTATGCAAGCGAGTTCCAGACTCCTCTGTTCTATGTAAGCAGACCCTGTTGCAAAAGTCTAAGAAAACGAACCCTGAGTTCAACTTCTGGGTTTTAGTCCTGGCTCCGCCCTTTCTGGCCACGTGACCTCCCCCATGTGACCTTGCCTCTCTGGCCTCAATTTCTACATTTGCAAAATAGGGACCACTGTAAGAGGTTCTTATCCTGCTGGGTCCTCAGCTAAGTCCTGGATAAGTATGTATTTCTGCTTTTCATAATTTTTTTTTCCTTTTTGTTTTTTGGTTTTGGTATTGAAGTGAAATTCACATAAAATCAACCATGCAAGGGCTGGATGTGATGGTGCATGCCGGTAATCCCAACATTTGGGTAACTGAGGCAGGAGGATCGCCAGGAGTGAGACCTTGTGTCCAAAAAAAAAAGGGCCGGGGTTTAGCTCAGCGCCTTAACTCCTGCTTGGCAAACTCGAGGTCATAAATTCAATCCCTGGTACCAATAAATAAATAAATAAATAAGTAACTGACCACGCTGAAGAGCTCGCTCTTCAGTGAATTCAGTCCATACCCAGTGTCAGGAACCACCGCCTCCACGGCATTCAGAACATCCTCATCACCCTTGGAAGAACGTGTACGTGCCACATCAAGTGTGTTCTCACTCTGTGCCTCCGTTTCCTCACTTGGCGTGATCGTTCACAAAATCGGCACAAGTAAAGGGCATGCGTGAGACAGGAGCTCTGTGTCACCCAGGACTGCAGTGGGTGTCATTCCCATTTCACAGCGAGGGAGACTGAGGCACAAAGTGGGAACATGCCCAGTGTGCGTCACATGCCCACTGGCAGAGCTGGCGTCTGAAACCCAGACTGGCCGACCCCAAAGACCTTGCACGTCTGTCCTCTACGGCAGCCCGCGCGCTGACTCCTTGGTCGTTGTCACCCACAGGGCCGAGGAGGAAGGCGGAGCCAGGGCCCAGCTGCTCAAGTCCCTTCGGGAGGCGCAGGCCGGCCTGGCCGAGGCCCAGGAAGACCTGGAGGCTGAGCGTGCAGCCAGGGCCAAGGCCGAGAAGCAGCGCCGAGACCTGAGCGAGGAGCTGGAGGCACTGCGTGGGGAGCTGGAGGACACGCTGGACTCCACGAATGCACAGCAAGAGCTGCGGTGAGGGGCGGGGTCTAGAAAGGGTCGGGGTCTAGGGAGGCGCCTGCGGGACCTTGAGTGGGCGGTGCCTTGGGGAGGGGCCTTGAGAGGGGCGGGGCCTGGTCGAGTGGGACTTAGGGGAGGGGCCTGTGGGAGAGGAGTGGGACAGGCCTCTGGAAGGTTTAGTTATTAAAAAGTTGTTCCTCAGGCACCAGCTGTGGGCCTGGCCCTGCGGACAGGGATGAGTGGGACCAAGGCATCAACCCTGAGTCTTGGAAGAGGCAGATTCTGGCAAGGTCAGGTCCTGTGCAGTGCAGTGAATGCTTTTAATACAGTGGAGTAATGCAGGGCATTTCAGTAACAAATGAAGGTTCCTAAACCGAGGCTCTGAGAGAAGGATCGGAAAGATTTCCTCAAAGAGGGGCCTTTTGAATAGTGTTAGTGGTAGGATGAGTGGGAGTTCAATCTGAAAGCCACACTGTCCCATACTGCCATTCCCTAGATCCCTTAAAGTATAGTGGGGTCCCCATCTTTGGAGCAAACAAGAGAACAAAATACAATGAGCCCCCCACCCAGTGTCTGTCTTCTCTTCTGAAATTCTGTTCCCCTCATCCTTCCCCAATGAAAGGACCAAGAGGGAACAGGAGGTGACAGAACTGAAGAAGGCGCTGGAGGAGGAGACACGGCTTCATGAGGTGGCCGTGCAGGAGCTGAGACAGCGGCAAGGCCAGGCGCTGGGGGAGCTGGTGGAGCAGCTGGAGCAGGCCCGACGGGTGGGTTATGACCTGGCAAGAGCCACAGGGCTGAGCAGGAGGGGGCTCTCCAGGTCGGCAACTCAGGGTGGAAGCCAAGGGAGGGGAGGGTGAGCCGTGTGGTCCAGGGGAGGTGAGCTCCAGCCCATGCAAAGGCCCTGGGGCAGTCTCTTCACTATCCTTTACCCATGCCACCGTCCAGGGCAAAAGTGCATGGGAGAAGACACGGCTGGCACTGGAGGCCGAGGTGTCCGAGCTGCGGACGGAGCTGAGCAACCTGCAGACCTCGCGCCAGGAGGGCGAGCAGAAGCGGCGGCGTCTGGAGTCGCAGCTGCAGGAAGTGCAGGGCCGGGCCGGTGACGGCGAGCGGGCGCGTGTGGAGGCCACGGAGAAGCTGCAGCGAGCGCAGGTGAGCGGGCCCTGCGGGGTCCCCAGGGGAGAGGACCAGCTCCCTGGGCTCCAGCTCGGGGCCCATTGACCACATAGCTGAGGCGCTGACCAAGCTCCCCAGCCTGGGTGCCGCCCCCACATGGCCGTGTCGCACTCCTCGCTGGACCAATTCCTGGGTGGATTTTGAAGGGCAGAGCAAATACACAGGACCGCACGGCGCTGTGACTGCTTCAGAAATTCTGGCCCGCCATCTGGCACGGAGGCTCAGACCCGGGCCTTCGCACTGAGCTGCATTCCCAGCCCTAGTTTCTTCTTTAGTTATTTTTTAGTTTTAGACAGGGTCTCACGAAATTGTCTGGGCCGAGTCTGGATTTGGGATCCCTCTGCCTCGGCTTCCGAGCCTTTGCGCCTCCTATTTGGAGCGGGTGGGTGTGAGGACCAGAGCTTCACACTCCCCTCTCCCCAGGCCGAGCTGGAGACTGTGTCCGGGGCGCTGAGCGAGGCTGAGTCCAAAGCCATCCGGCTGGGCAAGGAGCTGAGCAGCACGGAGGGGCAGCTGCATGACACCCAGGTAAGCCCTGCGCACTGTGGCCCCACGAGCCCCCAAGCTCCCCGTGCACTCCGCCCTGACCTCACCTTAACCCGCCCCCCCCAGGAGCTGCTTCAGGAAGAGACCCGGGCGAAGCTGGCCCTGGGCTCCCGGGTGCGCGCGCTGGAGGCTGAGGCAGCGGGATTGCGTGAGCAGATGGAAGAGGAAGCCGCTGCCAGGGAGCGTGCTGGCCGTGAACTGCAGGCGGCCCAGGCCCAGGTACATGCCCACACCTGTCCTAGACCCCACACAGGGATGGTTCGGCACACTCATTCCCTAGCAGGCTGTCCCCTGCCCACAGCTCTCTGTGGCACCCAGTGGCCCTGGGTAAAGTCTGTGCCTCCTCCTGTGTGCTTCAGCCCCTGAGTTGGCTGGTGCTTACAAACTCCTGGGCATACTTCAAGACCCATCTCAAATGGCTCCACCCACAGAAAGTCTCTCCTGAATATTCAAAACCTCCCGTGGACTCCACACCTAGCCTCTGTGGTAGAGTCTAATTAATGAGTAATGGACTGTGTTTCCTCAGTCAGCCTCCTCCCCACCCCTGGAAAAGCTCAGGTTTGATTCAAATCTGGGCCCCAGCAGGAGTCAGCTTAATTCCCTAGAAGAACTGGGTTCATAGCATTCACAAGCTCAGTGCTCTTCAGAGGGAGAAGAGCTCTGTGAAGTGACTTTTCTTCCTCAGGCCTCAGTTGCCCCATGTGGGAAATGGTCTCAGGAGCCCAAGCCTGGGGTCACTCACCGCCATCATCTCTGACCCCTCTCCAGCTCTCAGAGTGGAGGCGGCGCCAGGAGGAGGAGGCTGGGGCGCTGGAGGCAGGGGAGGAGGCCCGGCGCCGTGCTGCCAGGGAGGCTGAGGCCCTGGCCCAGCGCCTGACAGAGAAGACCGAGGCTGTGGAGCGGCTGGAGCGGGGCCGGCACCGCCTGCAACAAGAGCTGGACGACGTCACCGTGGACCTGGAGCAGCAGCGGCAGCTCGTGAGCACGCTGGAAAAGAAGCAGCGCAAGTTTGACCAGGTGGGTGCCTCAGTTTCCCCTGCAGGGGAGCCAGCAGGCCAACCTGTGCCTCTCTATCATTGGGGGAACAATGTGTGATTGCACAGCATTACAAATTTGTAGTTGCCTCCGTAAAATAAGATGCCCTTGGTTTGTTGCCTCACTAGGTACCTTTAACCAGTTGCTCTTCCAGCCTCTGCCTCAGTTTACCCATCTAGAAATTGGGAATAACATCTTTGTAGTATTAGGGACCACAAACCCAGGGCCTTTCAACTGAGCTACATCCCCAGCCCTTTTAAAATTCTGAGACAGTCTCCTTGGCCTGGCCTTGAATTCGAGATCCTCCTGCCTCAGCCTCCAGAGTGCTGTATAATGAATGCTTCTCTCAGTTGAGGCCACACTTCATAGAGATTTCAGTTTCACATCCTGGTGTTGCCGAGGACCAGGGGCCAAGCCTTTATGGCACATGAGCCTTTGGGGGATATTTAATATACAACCTCTTGCACCTACCTAGAAGATGGGAATCATATCAGACATTTGGCCACCTGAGGGTGGAAAAAAATCACAGAAGCCCAGAGAGGTGAGCTAGGCAGTCCTGAGGTAAGATCCCAGCACACCCCTTTCCGGCTGTGTGACGTGGACAAGCCGCCCACCCTCTCTGGACGTCATTTCACTCACCTAAAAAGAACAAGGGGTGTGTGCATCACTGCTGTGTCTTCATGGCTGACAGACATTCCCGCTGGGTACAGACTGCACTCTAGAATGCCGCTCCATCGCTTGTAGCTGTCATTGTTTCTGCTGAAAAGTCAGCAGTCACTCGGAACACTGCTTGCCCACAGGGGATGCGGTTTGTTTTCCTAACTCATTCATTTATATATGTTATCTTCTTGGGACAGGGTCTCTCTAGACAGTTCAGGCTGGCCTCAAACTCGCAGTGATCCTCCTGCCCCAGCCTCCCAAGTGCTGGGATGACAGGCATGTGCCATCACACCCAGCTTCTTTCCTAGCTAATTTGAAAATCATCTCTTGCCAGCTTGGTGGTGCATACCTGCAAAGTCTGAGCCCAGCCTGGACAACATGGTGGCCTAATGAAACCCCACCTGAAGCTAAGAGGGGCTTGGCTGTCACTCAGTGCAAACATTTGGGTCCAGTCTCTTTCACTCAGGGAAAGTCCCTCTCTTCATCTTGGCTTAGCAGTACTTTTGTTTTTATCCTGTTCTGTCGTGCTTCCTGCAGCTACAAGCTGGCAGGGCCTGGTGGGAGTTGTCACAGGCGGAAATTCTCAGCCATTATCTCTTCATATAGTTTTCTGTCTCTCTTTCTGCTTCTTCTTGGGTTCTGGAAACAAACATTCTATGTAGTATTCACTGCTTAATACCCACAAATGAGCAAAAGTCTACCTGTAGAATTTTATATAATTTTTTTCAGGCAAATCTCCTTTTGGATCAGCATCTCCTACTCTGGATAATTAGAGATTTATTGGTATTTTTGCATGTATCAGTAACCCATTCCCCTGAGCTACATCCCCGGCCCTTTTAAAATTCCCTGGTCCTCGGCACCACCAGGATGTGAAACTGAAATCTCTATGAGGTGGGACCTCAACTGAGAGAAGTGTTATATAGCACTCTGGGAGGCTGAGGCAGAAGGATCTCGAGTTCAAGGCCAGGCCAAGGAGACTATCTCAGTATTATTCCTGTTGAGGTGTACTGATATACTTCGTGTATATCTGTTAACCCATTGATGAGTGACCTTTGATAGCTTCCCATTTGGAGACGTGATGAATGAAGCCTTAGTCTTTCTAATAGAGACGGCCTGGTTTTACGTCACATTTTCCAAATACCAGTGATGGTGAGCATATTCTTCTGCACTTATTTACTGTATGTGTATTCCTTTTGTTATTTTTTTTTATTTTTGGAGACAAAGTCTCTTTATATAGTTTAGGCTGGCCTGGAAGTCATGGCAAACCTCCTGCATCAGCCTCCCAAGTACCGCAATTTGCAAGCAGGCAGTCGTGAGTTCGATCCCCGGTACCGATAAAAAGGAAAAAGACAAAAAAAAAAAAAAAAAAAAAAAAAAAAAATCCAAGTACCGCAATTACAGGTGTGCACCACCACACTGGACTACAATCTTTTTTCTTTCTTTTCTCTATTTGGATTTCTCTTGACTTTTTAGGTCTGCGGATACTTCTGTGTTCAATCTGCCCTTATCTGCATCCAGCGAATTTTATTTCACATATCACATTCAGATATCAGCTCTATCAGGCATTTTGATGATTCTATTTCTCAGTTTCCAATCCTCCTGCATAACAATTCCTTCTGCCATTGCATCCATCCTGTTCTGACATTTACTCCTCATAGTTGAAGTCCTTGAGGGTCCTTCCAACAGAGAGGTGACCCGCGGGTCTGTTTCATGGACTGGTTTTTCTCTTGACTACACTTCCTGTTCCCTTCCTTCTTTGCATGTCTTATAAGTCTAATTGCTTGCCAGTTACTTTGTATCCTTTAAAGAAAACAGTAAAAGTCAAAGTGTGGTTTTTAAATGTGCATTATATTTTTCCTACCACTGTCCCAGGAGGAAGAAACTCCTCGGGGTGTGTGGAGTGGAGCTGCTCTGGAGCCCACTGCAGCTTCAGCCCCTCCTGGGGCTCGGTCTCTGCGTCCCTCTCGTTCCCTGCCTGCTCCTCCTTCCCCACCATAATGTGCTCCTCCTTTGGGCTAATCCGTTTCCCCTGCTCTGTCTTCCTGCACGAAAGCTCCTGGCCGAGGAGAAGGCAGCCGTGCTGCGTGCAGTAGAGGAACGTGAGCGCGTGGAAGCCGAGGGCCGGGAGCGCGAGGCCCGGGCCCTGTCACTGACGCGGGCCCTGGAGGAGGAGCAGGAGGCCCGGGAGGAGCTGGAGCGCCAGAACCGGGCACTGCGGGCCGAGCTGGAGGCGCTGCTGAGCAGCAAGGACGACGTCGGCAAGAGCGTGAGCAGGGATCCCGCCCCGGGCCGCCCCACGGGGACCTAGATGCGGAAGGACACGCGCACATTCGTGCGCGCTGTACACAAGACAAAATCCAGCCCTCCAAGTCACACACAAACACAGTCAACAGGAACACTGCTCACCACACACAGCCTGGAACCAGCCCAGACATGCGTGCAGCTATGCTGACGTGCACTCACACACATGCACACACGTGCACGTGAGACGCGGATCCCTCCAGGCTCCTGTCTTCCCTCACAGAAGGGGAGGAGGTGCAGGCAAGAAGTCCAGGGCCAAGTCTTTCGTCCGTTCCTTTATTCCTTCATTCGACATCACTGAGCACGCAGTGGGCTTCACACAGAATCACCCTAAACGTATGTCTGCGCATCGTAATTCTATTGTTTTGCCAGGCGTGGTGGTGCACGCCTGGAATCCCAGCACTCAAGAGGCTGAGGCAGGAGGGTTGCTATGAGTTCAAGGCCAGCTTGGCTCCATAGTGAGACTATCTCAAAACCAAAAAACAACCCCAATTATCTATTGTCTGAAGCTGCCTCCCTCTATAGCCCCTGCTGCAGCTTTCTGAAGGGACAAGGCCATCCCCTGCACCCTCCTCTCCTTTCCCTCACTCATCCTCCCAGTACATCTGTGGGACAGGACAGGTCCCAGACACAGGCAGAGTCACGGATGCGTCCCAGGCAGGCAGCCTCCTAGCAGCCTGCTCCCCCATTCCCAACAGTGCATGCACCAAGGGAGGGAGGACGTGGCTTGGAGCCCTTGAGTTGATCCAGTGGGACTTTAACCAGGCTTGGAAAGGACCTCGCTCCCAGACACACAACCCTGATAACTGAGGTCTGACCTTTGGGAAAACCACAGAAGCACCTGTGGTGATTCAGAGGCCTTTGTAGGAGAGAGGAGAAGGTCTGATCCCTGCAAGTAAACAACATTAATTGCCAGGCGGGCCTCTGCCAGAGCTGAAAACGGTCACTGCCACTGACCAGATCTTCCTGAGGGCCACTTGAGCCACTGTGATCTATAGGTGTAGTCCCCATTCTGTGGAGCTCACAGTCTGGCACCAGAGACACAAAAGCAAACACTAAATAACAGTCATCGAGGGCTTATTTAGAGGGGGCTCAGTACCAGGTGCATGGGTCACAGAGAGGCCTTGAAGGTCAGTGGCAACTTCTCTAGGAGGTGCCAACTAAGGAGAGGTTCCTGGGGGTCCCCTAAATTGAGATACAGAATAGAGGCGGAGCTGGTGATACTCACAAGTCAGTGTGGCCAAAACCAACACTGGAGCTACAGGGCTTCAACCCACTTTCCACACAGAATTCCCAAGATGAAGCCCCAGGCAAGTGAGCTCACAACCCCACAATTACCAAACTCTAGGAAATAAAACCCCATGAGTGAGAGTCAGCTGATCAAACACTGAAACTGGACTCTTAAGAGCTTCACGTGCCAGGTGTGGTGATGCCCGCCTGTAATCCCAGTACTTGGGAGGCTGAGGCAGGAAGAGGCAAGTTTGAGACAATCCTGGGCTATAAAATGAGCCCAGAGCCAGCCTGAACTGCATAGCAAGACCTTGTCTCAAAAAGACAGCTCCTCCCCCCAAAGGAGCTTCCCATGGAGTATCCCTACCTAAAATGCTTGGGACCAGATGGCTTTAGATTACAGATTTCTTTGAACTTTGGAAATTTGCTTATACCCAATGATATGTCTTGGCATTGGGACTGAGATCTAAGTACGAAATTCATGAATGTTTCATATGCGCCTTATGCGGAGAGCTGAACGTGAATGCGTGCAGTAATTCTAGTGCCCTGCATGTTAGCTGTGACCCATTAATGAAAGCCATGTGTGAATGTTCCCACCTGGGCCACATTGTCGCTTTGTAAGGCATACGGTGCGCAGGCTGTTCCTGAAAAGCTTTAGGATGATTTCCAACGAGGCATAACTGTTGCATGAACAAGGGACCCCACCCCATCTTCCATCAGTACCTGCCCTGCGCTGCGCGGATCCCTGTCCCCCCCCAGGTGGCCCCCAGGATCCCTGCTCACACTGGCTTCCCTCCAGGTGCACGAGCTGGAACGAACCCGCAGGGTGGCAGAGCAGGCAGCCAACGACCTGCGGACACAGGTGACAGAACTGGAGGATGAGCTGACCGCGGCGGAGGATGCCAAGCTGCGCCTGGAGGTCACTGTGCAGGCCCTGAAGGCCCAACACGAGCGCGACCTGCAGGGCCGTGACGAGGCAGGCGAGGAGAGGCGGAGGCAGCTGGCCAAGCAGGTATGTGGCGGGAGATCAGAACTCAGGTAACCCTAATCCTAAAGACAGGCAAAGGAAAGGCAGGCAGGGGCCCCCTGCCACCCGCAGTCAGGTAACTGAGTCCAGGAGACCAGCCCCACCCACCTGTCTTCATGCGCCCAGCCATAACGCACAGGACTCATTACCCACGCAGGCGCCTAGGAGCCGGCCAGTGGGTGGACCCAGTCATACACCTCACACCCCGCCAAACCCCTCACTCACGCATCTGCCCGCACAGGGCCTCTCCACCACCCACATTTACCCCCAGCCCAGCTGGCGTCCTGCTGCTCGCCCCCCCCCCCCCGGCCGCCACCCTCAGTATCATACAGGGACAGAGTCTGCAGGGGACACAGCTGGTTACTAGAGAATTGCAGAACGCCATGTAGTGTGTAGTGAACCTTGGGTATATTTTAGGAGGCTGAGGCAGGAGGATCTCAAGTTTGAGCCCAGCCTGGGCAGCTCTGAGCGTCAGAAAGAACCCACTGGGGTCATGTGAGCAGCTGTCTCAGTGTGGCATTGTAATAGAAGTTAGGAGGGGGGAAAGGGGTTACCTGGTGACCCAAGGCCCAAGAATCTCTTCCGCCCGTTTGATCCAGCTCTGGGGGCACTGGGGAGCCACGGAGGGATGTGAGCAGGGTCAGCCCCGGATGCACAGGGATCCTGGTGGAGCTGAGTGGCAATGGGTTGGCAGGAAGGAGCGCGGGTGGGAAGGGAGAGGCGGGAGAGAGGGAGTCAGTGCCTAACCCTGCCGCGCTCCAAGCTGAGGGATGCAGAGGTGGAGCGCGACGAGGAGCGGAAGCAGCGCGCCCTGGCCGTGGCCGCCAGAAAGAAGCTGGAGACGGAGCTGGAGGAGTTGAAGGCGCAGACCGCGGCCGCGGGGCAGGGCAAGGAGGAGGCCGTGAAGCAGCTGCGCAAACTGCAGGTGAGTGGGGCAGGAGTGGGGGAGGGGTGATGGGGGAGGGGCGGGGAGGGGTGGGAGGGGGCGGGGCCGGGTGGGCGGGACCCGCCTTCACCACCCACAGGCTCGGGGTGTTTCCTAGAGCTGTTTCCTTTACTAGAAATGATAAAAATAGCCGAAAATTCAATCCCCAGTACTGTACACACACGCACACACACCACTGAAAGTAACATTTTAAATACATTCAGCTAGCCGTGGGTAAAGCTCAGCGGCATAAGCTCAAAGTCCTGAGTTTGAATCCTTATACCAAAAATTTGTTTAAATATATTCACCTAAGTAGGTGTTAGTTAAGTTCCTTTTTACTTACCGTGGATACTAGGTTTGAAGGCACACACGCACCTCATTCCCTGTTTCTGTGGGGCAGCACTGATATAGACAGACCGTTCCCCCAAAATAAAATTTGTCCATGGTGTCATCACCAAGAGGAGAACCCTCAGAAGTTCCGTAAGTGAGCGTGATGATGCACACTTGTAATCCCAGCACTCAGGAAGCTGAGGCAGGAAGAATGCCCTGTGTTCACGGCCAGCCAGGGCTACACCGTGAGAGTCTGTCCCCAAGACAGACAACAAAAGTCAACATGAAGCCAATAACCATCATCGCAGTAGTGAGAATCGGTTCTACCACCATCCACAGCTCTGCGGTGCTCAGGATAGGGTGCAGAGCACTCATAAAGACCGTGGACGGTTGTTTTTATTTTAAGCACGAACACGAATCCCTGTACATTGGCATGGGACGCAGCCAGGAGAGAGCCGGGTAACCACGTGGTCACTGTGGAAACCCGTGCTGACACAACTTGGGGCCACATCCTGGCTCTGCCGCTTGCCACCCTGGCACCTGGACCAAGTAGTGCCTCAGTTTCCCGGTTGTACACTATATGAGGATGGACAGTGTCTCTGCGTGTGTGACAGGGCCCGGTTGTCATGATTACCGCAGAGTCCAAATATTGCATTACACCTGCTTAGGTTACTTTAAGGTGTGTTTTAAGAGAAGAGAAGGCGACTAAGCACAGTCAGTGGCGCATGCTCAGAAATCCAGGCCTGCAGGGCCTCGCAGGTGCGGGATCTGGGGGGGGGTCCCCGTGAGGCCCCTCCGGGCTAAGCCAGCCACCCACTCTATTTTGCCCCAGGTCCAGATGAAGGAGCTGTGGCGGGAGGTGGAGGAGTCACGCACCTCCCGGGAGGAGATCTTTGTCCAGAACCGAGAGAGTGAAAAGCGTCTCAAGAGTCTGGAAGCAGAGGTGCTGCGGCTGCAGGAGGTGAGACAAGGGAGGTGGGCGGGGCTAACCGGTGGAGGCCGGCATGTAGAGGCTTTGGTATGTGTGGGTGGGGCTAATGTGTGATGGGGTGGAGACTCAGGGTGGGTGGGGCTTAGGGGTGTGGTGGGAGGGACTAATGTGTAGATGAGTGCTCAGAGTGGGTAGGACAAATTTTGGCTGGGATGTTGGGAGTGGGCGGGGCCTTTGATTGTGTGGTGGGTGGAGCTTCGGGTGTGCGGGCGGGGTTAGTGTGGCAGGTGGTGACTGAGTGGGCGGGGCAAGCATCTGTTCAGAGTGATGATGGGGATTGGCAGGCTAACGGGTGGAGGCGGGCATAGGCGGGGCTTTAGATGTGTGGGTGGGGCTAATATGTGGCTGAGGGGAGGAGTCACAGTGGGCGGGGCAAGCATTGGCTCTAAGCCTTGCTGGGGTGGGCGGGGCTAACCACAATCCTCTTCCATAAAGGAGGGGGTCTTTTGCGGGGGGGGGGGCTCTAGGGAGCCCTGGCAGGTTTCTGAGCCTAGGAAGGGCAGGGTTTCTTATATGGAGGGGATAGAAGTGCAGTGGGGGAGACTGTAGAAAGAGGCTGAGACCCAGAGCCAGGTTATGGGCCACCAAGGAGAGACAAGACACAGTGGGCCTGGGATCCGAGCTTAGACGGCGACCCAGCTCAGTGTGAGGACAGAGTGAGGCCGTGCCCGGGAGCCCGGATGCAGGACGGTGGAGCTTGCTTCACAGTTTGCTGGCGAAACGGAGTGAGAAGGAAAGAAGCTGGGGACTGGACATGGGAGGGACAGGCGGCCAGACCCGAGGCCACCTGGCTCCCCTCACGCTGGGGTCCTCCTACCCCTATGCCACAGGAGCTCGCTGCCTCAGATCGTGCGCGGCGCCAGGCACAGCAGGACCGAGATGAAATGGCCGACGAGATGGCCAACGGCAGCCTTAGCAAGTGAGTGGCTCGGAGGCCATGCGGGTCAGGTGTCCCTGGGGCTGTGCCGCCCTCACCTGCTGTGTCCCCTTCAGGGCAGCCCTGCTGGAGGAGAAGCGGCAGCTGGAGGGCCGCCTGGGGCAGCTGGAGGAGGAGCTGGAGGAGGAGCAAAGCAACTCGGAGCTGCTCAATGACCGCTACCGCAAACTGCTTCTGCAGGTGCATTAGGTCCCGTCCCACCGTCTCCTCATCCACAACTTAAGGAGAGGTTTATGTTGGCTCACAACTTCCATCTGTAGTCTGCTGGCTCCAAGGCCGGAACAGGAGAGGGGCCTGGTGGAGGAAACGTGTCCATCTCAGGTGGCCAGGAAACAGAGAGAGAAGGAAGGAGCCACCTCCGAAAAGTGCTAAGCTGGAGACCAAGCCTGTAACACACAGGGGCCTCCAGGGAACATTTGATAGCCAAACTAATTAATTGAACCTGATGGCACATGACAGGAAGCCCAGTGCTCTGGGAGACTGAGGCAGGAGGATTCCAAGTTCAAGTCCAGCCTGAGCAACACAGCAAGACCCTGGCTCAAAATAAAATGTAAAACAAAAATATTTTAAAGGGCTGGAGATGCAGCTTATTGCAAAGGCCCGATCCTTAATAATGGGGAAACAGCACAGAATTGGGCCAAGAGTTCGTGATGAAAAAGATCCTGATGGAGAACAGCTCTAGGTCCCCAGCAGCCCAGATTCTTCATGGCAAGGAGGAAATGTGGTGCAGGAGGGACCCATAAGTAAAAGACACTTAAAAGATACCCAGGGTTCCACCATGGGATATAATGGGTTCATCTTTGAGTAATGTGGCGCATGCCTGTTACTCTTGCATAACATAAATAATAAACTCGATGCAGTGGTGCACACCTGGACCCCCAGCATAGAGGCAGGCGGACTGCCATGTGTTTGAGGCCAGCCTGGCTACATAGTGAGGCTATGTCTCAATAAATAAGTAAAGTGTAAAGAGGTGCAGCTGATTGGCCTACAGTGGGGTGACCTGCTATTTTGAGGGGCAGGAAGAGAGTATTATTAGGATGGGAGCATCCCAGTACTCTGGTACCTTTCCCGGAACAGTAAGGCTTTGCCTCCTGGCCGGGCTGCTGTTCACAGCACAGTATGCCTCTTGGGAACTCCTGGAGCCATCTGTTTCGGCTCTGGCTTTCTGCATCACCGCATTGCCGTTTTATCTCGCAGTACAAAGCTGAGAAAAATACGGGAGAGTATGCTCCTCACTCTATCCGTGTGTACGAGGAGGGTGAAATAAGATCTGGGTCCCCAGCGCAGGGCCGTGCTCAGCTCACAAGCCGAGTCGCCTACTGGAGCTGCGATTACGCGCCTGCCATGAAGCTGCCGCTGTGGGCTGGGGCAGGGTTACACTGCTGAGGCCTGAAGGGCTGCTCGGTATGGAAATACAGGCGCAGGGGCCCAGTTCTGGCTGCTGAGTCAGAATGGGGGGCAGCGGGGATGGAGGTGTGAATGCTAACATTACTCAAAGGGCAGAACCCTGGGGACTGCATTTTTTCACGAGCTTCCAGGTGATTCGTAGGCACACAGGTGTGATAACCCTGGGAACTGCTTCACTCTCAGAGGTAGAATTTACAGCATTTGAACAGGTCTGCAGTAGTCTCACAGAGTTACCAAATTAGCAGAAAATGAGCCAACAGGTTAAAACCCAGGCTGGCAGTGCTGTCCGACAATACAACGCTGAAAGTGCATGCTAGCTTTTGCTGGTAGTTAGGGTGTGGCCACCACAGGGCTCTGCATCACCGGCTGGCTCAGTTCTGGGAGGTGCCTGAAGTGATGTGACGGTCTAGTGATGGTCTCCTTCCTCTGTGTTGCTAACGGGATGACCTGCCCTCCCCCATCCACTGCAGGTGGACACCCTGACCACAGAGCTCTCTACAGAGCGCAGTTTCTCAGCCAAGGCAGAGAGTGGGCGGCAGCAGCTGGAGCGGCAGATCCAGGAGCTCCGGGGGCACCTGGGTGAGGAGGATGCTGGGGCCCGGGCCCGACAGAAGATGACGATCGCCACACTTGAGTCTAAGCTGTCCCAGGCTGAGGAACAGCTGGAGCAAGAGAGCAGGTTGGTGGAAGAAGTTACTCTGGGCTGTTTGTGACTACAAGGTCACTGAGTACAATTTACACAGTCATATAGCAGTCAGTTAGAGCTGTGTAACAAACAAGCCCATAACTTAGTGACTGCGAACAGCAAATGTTTATTTTTGCTCTCTGGTGTAGAGGCTGTCTAGTGAGTACTCTTGAGCTGGGCCAGGTGAGTCTCCCTCCTGCATCTCTCCTTAGCTGAGGACCAGCTTGTTAGATTTGCTGATCTTGACTGGACCTAAGTGAGTATAAGGCCTTTCCAAAGACAAGCAGGTAGCACCTCATCCTAACCCAGGATGAGCCACAAGCCAGAGCCAACCTCCAAAGAGGAAGGGAAAGCACCAAAGCCTTTTGAGGCTTAGACTCAGAGCTAGTCCTGTGTCATTTCTGACATAGAAAGTCCTGTGGCCACCTCAAATTTAAGGGAGTAGGAGAAAGTTACCACCTCTTGAGGGGGGCTGTTGCAGTCACACTGAAAAAGTGTAGCTGCAGTAAGAGGTAAGAACTGGGACCATTTTTTCCATATGTCTATAACAAAAAGGATTTTTCTCTGAAGAGTTGGAGCCAGGCAACCAATGGTTAGCATTTGTGTACTTCCCTTGGTCTTTTCCTTACAGTCACAAAATGGTTGCACTTGCACCAAGCATCACATCTACACATAGGCACATTCATATCCACCAAGTAGTAGCAACATAGAGCTGAAGGTGTCTCCTTCTCCAGTTATTGGAATAACAGAATACTCCTGTAACATTTCCAGTTAAGAGCTACTATGCTAATAAAACTAACAAAATATTTATGACTAAGCCTTATATATGTCACTTTCCTAACAGAATAGATTTTTCCTACTACTTATTTGCTATTCATTTGTAATATTTACAACCATACAAATGTCCTCATTTATTATTCTTTCTCCATCGGGTGCTGCACTACCTGCATACAAAGGTCCAGTGTCACATAATTCTGTGAGAAGGACTATTGTCATCCTTATTTTATGTAGGAAAACTGAGACAGAGTTGGGCTGTGCGTCTAGGATGCCTGATTTGGAGTTCAGCATTGCTACACTACATTTAGAGGATGAATTTTGTTCTATATCAAAGGGTATAAACGGTTCCCATTCATTCATTCATTCATTCATTCACAAAAGCTGTGGTGAATGTATACTTCACACCCTCTCGTGCTCAAGGAGATGATAATGCTAGCTCTTCCAGGACTCTGGAGTCACCTCTGTCACCAGGTCACTGCACATCCCTCCTGTTAGACCCAGGCCTATCCCCTGCCCCACCAGGAGCCCGAAAGGCAGGCACAACCACTTCCGGGTCGTGCCCACCATGACCCACTCTTCCACCTCCTAAGAGCTAGTCAGCCCTGGGCTGTGTAATCCCATCATTTTGTGGAAGCCCTGCCTAGGAGCATGGAGGTCAGATGAGAGGTGCTGCACACTGGGAGTAGCGGTGGCACTGCCTGTGGGAGCCTGGGACATGGTAGAGAAATTGGGCAGGCACACGAGGCCGGGCACGGAGCTCTGGGGTTATGGGGGCCCGGGGAGGGGCGGGCCAGCCCAGGTTGAGGATGGGCTCCAGGAGAGAGGCCGGAGACCAGGAGGCCCGGAAGGAGGCTGGAGTGGGGGTCAGGGGAGGGTGCGGGTGAGCTGGGCCCGAGTGCTGGGGTCACATGGAGTGGGTGGGGAGCAGAAGGGCCGAGGGCTGATGTGACACTGGTCCTTGGTTAAGGCCTGGTGTCTGGGGTGGCTGCCGTAGAGGAGGCTGGGTCCCATGCAGAACTGTGAGAGCATGAGCAGGAGGCAGTGGAAGGTTCTTGGTCTGCAAGGTCCCCGGGCCCAAGGCCTCCTTGGAAATGTGCTGAGGTGAGGCCACCCAGAGCCTGCTGGGTACACAGATCTAAGTCCCTTCAGCTGCTGCTCTGTGATAGACAACAGGAAGTGAGCCACCCGCTTTGTATCCAGGAGCAAAGAGAAGTTGGAGGAGGAGCCTGAACTGAGGGAGCCCCTCTCCTGTGTCCCTTCCCACTGTTTGGTGCCTCTCACTCTCCCCAGCCCTGTGCTGGGCTCTGAGCCTGACTGGGCTCATCTAGGTCCGCCATGTCCTGTTGTAGCTGTTGAGCACTGCCTGTCAATAGGGTACTGCACTGGGGTGTGATGGTGCCTTCAGGAGAGGACAGGCAAGCAGGGGCCATGGGGTGGGAAACACAGGAGAAGGGGAGAGGATTTGAGGGGAGACCTGAAGTGGGGGTGACTTGGGCTGGTGACCTGCACAGTGGTGAATCGTGGGGAATCCAGAGGAGGTGTGGGTTTAGGAGAAGGCGCTGCTCTCACAGGGAGGAGGCCAGGCCGGGGCTAGAGGCATTGCTAGCTGGGAAATCTAGGAGTGGATGAGCTTGGGGCAGGGGTGTGCGTGAGGACCGGGGGAGGAGACACTGGGAGATGCTGAGAGTCTGGAGTGGGCACAGATACTGCAGACTCGGAACAGGTGTCTGGGGAGATCGGAGAGGTTGAGGCCGGAGCTGGGGGCACAGAAGGGCCAGACACTGAGGGACTGAGGTGGGGGGGCAAGATGGTGCCCGGTGGTGTGGTCCGGAAACAGGTGCCACCCCCAGGGAGACTCAGCGAGACAGCTCTCCCAACCCAAGGGAGAGACCTGGGAATAACAGCGAACCCCAGGAAGAGCCAAGTGTGGCGGGATTACAGGTGTGCACTACCATGCCTGGTTTAGTCCTCTGGCTTTCAGAGAGGATCTGCCTACATTGCCCAGGCTGGCTTTCAACTTGTTACCCTCTTGCCTCAGTCTCCTGAGTAGCCGGGATTATAGGAGTGCACCCCTGTGCCCAGATCTAGTTTCCAGGTTCTCCCATGACACCAAGCCCATGTCCTGAAATTCAAGTCTGACTCTAATTTGAGGGCTCATGGCTTGAGGGCTCAGTCCTGCTGACCACCTCCCACTTCAGATGCTAAGAGGTCCCCAGCTCACTCCCACCTATGACTTACAACCTGAGTCTCGGGCTCAGCCAGTTCAGCAGTGGCTTCTAGAACTCAGGGAAATAGGTTACTTAATGATCATTTATTATAAAATAACAGCCCTGGACAGCCACACAGGAGAGATGCACTGGGCGAGATGTGCAGGAAGGGGCGCCGCTTCTACCCTCCACATAAGCAGCACCTCACAGGCTCCCCCAACCTCATCCTTAAGGCGCCTATAGCCAGGTGTGGTGGTGCACGCCTGTAATCCCAACGTTCAGAAGGCTAAGGCAGGAGCATCTCCATAAATTCAAGGCCTGCCTGGGCTACATAGTTCAAGGCCAACCCAAACTACATAACCAGACTCCATCCCAAAAAACAAAGCAAAAGTGCTCCTACTAAGCTTTATTACTAGGCATGATTGATGGTCGTCGTCACTGGTGGGCAGCTTCACTTGTAGTTCCTCTCCCTCCGTGGGAGGGGGATGCTGACAGTCTCCACCCTCTGATCACATGGTGGGCTCCCCTGGCACCTGGCCCCCATCCTGAAGCCAGCGGGGCCTTGGTGCAAAAGACCATGGCTTCCAAGATTTGCAGGGCTTTGGGAGCTGCATGCCAGGAGAGCAGCGTGAAGACTGGCTCTGTACTTGGTGATGATCCCAGGATCACCGCAGATGGTTTTAGGATGCCAGCATCACAGGAGGAACCAAGGACACTGATTTCTCCACTGGCACAGAGCAGACTGCGGGAGCCAGTCGGGGGTGGGAAAGAAGAAGGGGCTGTCCAAGAATGGACAGCAGCCCAGGCTAGCCTGATGACTCCCACCTCTCACCCAGGGAGCGCATCCTCTCTGGCAAGCTGCTGCGCAGGGCGGAGAAGCGGCTGAAAGAGGTGGTCCTGCAGGTGGAGGAGGAGCGGAGAGTGGCCGACCAGCTCCGGGACCAGGTGAGGCATGGGCAGCTTTCAGTGTCTCTGGTGACAGGAGCCTGCCAGCACAAGGACAGTGGGCCAGTGCGGGGCTGGAACCAGACTCGGCCCCCGCCTGGGGCCGGGACATTGGCAGAGGGGCAGAGGCAGTGGCACTGCCATTCATACTAGCTGGCAGCCGGGAGATGCCCTGGCAGGGAGGGAGGCAGCTGGGTGGGGGTGAGGGTGGACTTCCTCAGAAGCAAGCCCAGGGTGGAAACCAAGAATGCTTTGTATGTGCAGACCTGAGCCACAGCACAGTTAAATCTTAGCAGAGCCACTGGAGGTCGGTACTGTTATTTCCCCCTCTTATTTAGATGAAGAAACTGAGGCCTGGAAATGTAAAGTGACTTTTTCAAAATTATTGAGCTCATAGGAGGTGGGCCCAGGATTCAGACTTTGACCCCAGAGTCTGTAATTATTTAAGTAAGTACTAGAGGTGGAACCCAGGTCTTCACACTGAACTACATTCCCAGACCTTATTAGTTTGTAGTGGCTTGTTTTGTTTTGTTTGTTTTTTGTACCAGAGATTGAACTCATGACATCATACTTGCTAGGGAGTCGCTTGTGCCACGGAGCTAAATCCCTGGCCCACTTTTTAGTTTTTATTGTGAGAGTTCTTGGTAAATTACTGAGTTGCCCAGGCTGGATTAAAATTTGCAGTCCTCCTGCCTCAGCCTCTCAGAGTGCTGGGATTACAGCTGGGTACCACTATGCCCTGTTATACTTTAGCTATTGAGCAGTTACTGTGTCACAAGGGCTTTTTCTAATGAACATTGGGGTATCACTAATCCCACTTCATAGGTTAAAAAAAAACAAAACCTGGGCCAGAGATTTAGCTCAGCAGCATAAGCGCCTGCTTGGCAAGCGTGGAGTCGCAAGTTAGATCCTTGGTACAAAAAGAAAAAAAAAAACCCTGAAATTTTAGGAGGAGATTTAATTTTCACCAGAGTCACAGAGGCTTGTGAGTGATAGACTGGATCAACTCCCAGGTCCACAGGGCCGGACCAAGGCTCTGTGGCCTTAAAAGCTCAGGTGAGCTTTAGTGGCCATTCAGTCTGCAGACTGTGCACAGGGCCCAGGCCGGGCCTTAGCGCTTGGAGAATGAATGGGAGCTCCTGGGCTTTGCGGAGCTCGCTGCAGCCCATGGAAAGAAGCACTAAGCCTGTACACAAGCAGAGGTGACAACAGTTGGCGGCAAGGGCTAGGAGGGAAACAGAGAGGAAGACAGAAATGGGGAGCCCCAGAGAGACCTCTGTGGAGGTGACATTTGCGTTGACACCCGAAGGATGAGAGAGGAGGCAGGAGCAACAGGTGCAATAAGTCTGGTGACTTCGGAGCAGAAAGAAAGGGACTTGAGGTCCAGTGTCTCCTCCCTGGTGAGGGGAGGGCGGAGGCCAGAGCGGTATCCGAGAGGTCGGTCTACTCCACTGGGTTGCAGAGCGCAAGAAACCCGGGCCTGAGGGCCAGGATGAGGGATCAGATCTTTCCCCAGCGTCCAGGGTTCAGGTGGGCTGAGTGTGTAGGCAGCGCTCCTCTGAGCCTCTGGTCAGAACGCAGGGGCCTGCAGAGAGGGGCCAGGTCGGGTAGCTGTGGCAGAGGGGAGGGCAGCTCCCCACGGTACCCCGCCACTCTGCCCAGCTGGAGAAAGCGAACCTCCGAGTGAAGCAGCTAAAGCGGCAGCTGGAGGAGGCGGAGGAGGAGGCGTCCCGGGCCCAGGCCGGCCGCCGCCGGCTGCAGCGGGAGCTGGAGGACGTCACCGAGTCGGCCGAGTCCATGAACCGCGAGGTGACCACGCTGAGGAACCGGCTCCGGTACGGTGGCCACTGGGGTCCCTAGGAGTGCGAGGCGTGGGCCCAGGGCTGTGGTGGAGGAGGACGGGACACAGCCTCGGTCCTTGTCGCCCCCCGCAGGCGCGGCCCGCTGACTTTCACCACGCGCACGGTGCGCCAGGTGTTCCGCCTGGAGGAGGGCGTGGTTTCCGACGAGGAGGGCGCGGAGGAGGCGGAGCCCGGCCCCGAGCCCGAGGGCCCCCCGCCTGCTCCCCAGCCCCAGTGACTCGCTGGCCCTGCCCCGCGCACTCGCCTCCGGCTGTTGCACTTTGGAAAGGACGCTGCCTGCAGAGACCCCACCCGCAGCCCCCTGAGACCTCCTGGCCTCTGCGGGCCCCAGCACAGGGAGGCGAAGATGGGGCTCCTGTCGCTTGAAGGCAGGGTGACCCAGAGGGCGCCAGGGGCGGCGAAATGAAATAAACTGCAATCCGAGTGGACCCTGGCTGCGGCTGCGTGTGTTGGGGGGGGGGGCCTGATGGATGGGGCGGGCTTGAGGGCGGATTCGAACCCAGAGAGGGATGCCTCAGGGTGAGTGGTTCCGGGGACTCAGAGCCGCGCCGCGCGTGCACGCATACACACACACACCCCAGCCAGGGCAGGACCAGTCCTCGGCCAGTGGAGGCCCGAATTCCCCAGACCCTTCCTTCCTAGATGTCTCATTGAGCGCTGATGGGCCTGGCTTTTGTCGTGGAGAGAACCGAGAGAGGCCCTCACCCCAGCGGAAGAGTCACAGACTCAAAACCCACGCCTTGCCACTCCCCGTGCCCTGTTCTGGTACTGGAGATTGAAGCCAGGGCCTTCGCATTGACTACATTCCCCAGTCCTTTTCTGCTTTGAGTCAGGATCTTGCTAAGTCACTAAACTGCCCAGGCTAGGAGTGAACTAGCGATCCTCCTGCCTCAGTCTCCCAGAGGGTTTGTGCCGGGGCACCAGGATCCTCACCGTTTTAATACCTCCCCTTTCTCTGAGGTCCCAGCTCCTCCCTCTGTGTGAGCCCTATTTTCAGCTCACAAACAGAAGGCAACTTTCAAATGAAAAGGAAGTTTTTATTTTGATGAGGAGGAGAGAGGGTGGGTGGGGAAGAGAGCTTGACACTTTTTTTCTTTGGGGAGGAGGAGTGACATGCGGCAGCTTCTGCGTCGGGCGGTTCATGCACCCTGGGTGGGCGTGGGGGAGGCTTGGGGGGAAGGGCCTACCGACCCCTCCCTCCCGGCCGTGCGGGTGGACTGAGAAGACCCGCCGTTAGCACCAGAGTTGGACGATTTGGAGACCTCCCTCCCCACAGCCTCCGGACTCCGCCCCCATCCCTGAGAGCGCCCCTCTGCCACTCCCCCCCGCCCCCCACAGGCCAGGCCGATCCCGCCCGCTTTCGAGTGTGAGAAACTTATTGCTGTGTGTGTGTTGGGGAGGGGGAGCCGCCGAGCTCGACACCCCACCCCGCCATTCCTTCCTCCCCAATCGCCCCGCCTCATGCCCCGTGTCCGTGGGTTCCCGGAGCGCAGGAGGGGCGCGCCATGCGAGTGGGGGGCGCGCGGCATGCAGCGCATGCGTGTAGTTGCAGGCACCCTGGCGGCCGAGGAGAAAAGGAGCGGGACTTGGAGGCAGTCCCTTGAGCTCGCTCTCCCTCCCCGAATCCCACGCTATTTGTTGACTTGGGGGATGGGGAGGAGGGACGGGACGAAAGACGCGTTTTGTAGATGTTTATGATGTGGTTATTTTTTTTTAAAGCTGAACTAAAAAGCTGGGTACGTGTGGCGGATTGGCGAGCAGGGGCAGCCGTTAGGAAGAGGTCAGTACCCTAGGGGAAAGACTCTCACCCCTTTCCCCGCCCTGATCTGCTTTTTGTGAGGGTCAGGGGAAACTAGGGGGGCTGTTTAAAGAAGATGAACCCTTTGGCAATATAACCAGTCCCCACCCCCTACCCTGGTGTCTGGAGCCCTAGCCCTTTACCCTGCCCCACCATTACCCTCCCCACCCCTCACCCCGATTCACCGGGGCTCAGGGGCTGGAGGAGGCTGGGGGGATTCAAAATGCCCCTTGCATAGGAATCGTTGCATCGAGAATTGTCCCCAGAGACGCCCCCCCACCCTTGGGTGGTCGAGAGGGGGGGTCCCTGAGGCCGTGGGAGCAGAGGGAGGGAGGGTGCTGATTCCGCAGGCCCCCAGCTCCAAAAGGAGGGTCCGCTAAGGATTCTGGGACCGTGGTCTCTGGGCCTGGGGGAGGTAGCGCATACTTGAGCTTGGATGGGGTGTGAGGGACGGCTTTTTCCACCGTGAGCCTGGTAGCCAGGGGTGGGACGCCCGCACCCTAGACATGTCGCAGTTTCCCAGGCCGACTTTCCAGGGCTCCTCTAGCCGCAGCCTCTGCGATCATTTCGGGACTGCCCTGAATGCAAACACTGGTAACCCAAAGAATGACGCCCCGACCAGGGAGCGCTCCCCGTTCACCAGCTTCATGTGCAAATGTGCGCGTTCAAGAGGAAACTTCCGACAGGCGCTCGTCCGTGGACCCCCTGCAAGGGCACCTGCGCGACACTGCAGGGAACCGCTGGCCACGAGGAGGGCGCCTGTGGGCACCATCTCAGGGAAAGGGCCTCATGGCCAGGGCTAGGGTGGAAGGGGTGCCGGGGCCTGGCTCCCTGGATTGCAGACAGGCGGAGGAGCCCGAGTCCTAGCGTGAGGAGATCCTGGGATGGACAAGTGGGGTGTTCTTTGCGGGACTTTGGGGTGTTGGCAAGCAGACCCGAGGATCTGGGGTTGTCCGGGAGATGTCAGAGTTGTGGGAAAGACCTGGAGCATCCCAAAGGCTGAACTAAACTTAAGAGCTGGGGGTCTGAAGTGCTGGGATGCAATCCAGGGAAGTGGGGGGGGGGCGGGGCAAGGAAGCATCTGTTTGCTGAGGCTAAGTCCCCAAAGTGTGTGGAGACTGGAGGAGTGCGGGGTGCCAGGGCCTATCTCAGGAATTCCAGATGCAGGTCTCATGTCCTGGGAATGGAGGGGAGGGGCGCGGATTTTGTGGGCCAGGGCCAGATCCTCCCAGGAGCACGAGGTTGGGGGTTCTGAGTCCATGCAGCAAGCACAGAGGCCAGTAGCTCCTGGGGCGGGGCGGGGTGGGGTTTGTCAGCACTATCTCCCCTGGGCCTCAGCCGAAGACAGGTTTGGTCGACACCCCTCATTCCCCATCCCTAGCTGGTTTCCTTTCCAAAAGTGTGTGCTGGGTTGGTTGCCCTGGGGGGAAGGGCGGGAAGCCAAGAAGCCCCCTCGAGGCTTGAAGAACAGCCCGACCCCTGCAGTTCCTGGCCCCCTCCCCTCCAGCTCGCGACATGCAGCCCCTGGCGGCTTATTGCTGAGGTGTCTTGGGAGCAGGGGTCCAGCTGGGGAGCATGCAGTGTGGGGAGTAGGTGCCCCAAGATGGATTTGGCGTCCTCTGTACTTATTTACACGACTTGATGGGAGAGGGTGTCCTATGGCTCATGGAGACCTGAGAAGGCTTTTTGTGGGGGAGAGGGTGGGTGGGATCCGGCCCCTCCCCTTCCATCCTGGTGGCCCAGGTGGGGGGCTCGGGGCTCGGGGGTGTCTGCTGGCGTCATCATCTCGGTTGCATATTATTAATGACTTTTTGATTATTTTTAAAAAATACCTTTCTCCCCACCCCCACCCCCAGCTCCTTTGACCTTCTTCCGGGTCACCCCCGAGTCCCCCCACAGGGGGGAGGGGAGCGCTAGAGGATGGAGGGCAGGGTTGGGGGGGCGCGGCGGGTGGCCCGGGGAGAGCCAGGCGGGGTGGCAAGGGGCGCAAGGCGCAGGGACACCCCGCTCAGGCCCGCGATGCTGCTCAGGCTGCGGGATTTCTCGTAACCTGGGGAAGGGGCGGAAACATGGGGAGGAAGCATAGAGATGGGGTGGGGAGGGACCCCAAGACAGGGAGAAAACAGAGAGAGAGCGATGGAGATGCAGAGGGTGAGAAACACCCAGAGACAAAGGCAGTGGGGGACAGTTAGAGACAGACAGGACAGAGACGGGGCAGACAGAAAGGGAGACACAAAGACAGGCAAGGGGCAGAGATGGGCAGAGCGGACCGAGGAGATGGAGAGAGAGAAGTGAACAAATCGCAGAGTCAGTCAGCGTCCACGAGGAAGGTGCAGACACAGGGAAGGGGAGAGACTCCGATTAGGAGGCCGGCAGCACCCACCCAGCCTCCCACCCCTCCCCCACCGCAGCCCCCTCCTCCCACCCTCGTTGGTCCCCTCATCTGAGGCCAAAGGTGGGGGGCAGCAAGGCAGGATGGGGGACGTGTGGAGGGGCTGGGTGGAATGCAAGTGGGGGAGCAGCTGGCGAAGAGGCCTGGGGGGGCAGGTAAGGCGGTGGCAGCGGAGGCTGGGGGCCACCTGTCCAGACAGGCGGGGGGGGGGGGTGTCGCCACAGGCCCAAAGCAGGGGGCAGGGGGTGGGTGGCGCCCTTGGGGAGTCTGAGGCAACTCCAAGGGCAGAGGGCGGGGTGAGGCATGGGATCCAGGAGCGCCTAGGGAATGTCAGGGAGGCCGGAAGATGTGGGCACCGCAGGGCTGGAATGAGCTTCTGCGGTAAGGCCAGGCTGGAGGGGCAGGGCTGGGGGCCCCAGGACCCTGAGCCCTGCGTGTGGTTTCTGCAACCTCAGGTCATGTGGTGGCTTCAGGCACACCCCAGGCTGTCTGGAAGTGGGAGTCCTGACTGGAGGGGAGAGAGAGCCTGGGGACCAAAGCCGTTATCTTGGGGACATCCCCTCCCCACCATTCCCAATTGCTAACCTGGGGGAAAGGGGCAGGGGGGACCCGAGGGTCTCGCGAGGTCTCAGGCGGTGACAAGAGCTGGGGACAGAAATACAAGAGAGTCACGGCGGGGAGGAGGATGATGGGGGAACCCCCCAACACAGCCTCACTGTTGGGGGGATGGAGAACGCCAGGATCTCTTCTTCCTGGCTGGTGTTTTCCGGGGAGAAGGGAGCAGTGAAATGGGGGTGGCCAGAGACATCAAATATGGAAGGAGCTTCTGGGTGGCTGGGGGAGGGGGACAAGGCATGAAGGATGGGGAACAGGGGTGGGGGTGGGGATGGGTCAGAGTCTCGGACACACAGGCGGAGAATTCCAGTCACCTCATCAGCTCCAGCCATTATTTGAGTTCAGTGAATGGATTTTGGCATCATAGGCAAGAGAAGCAGGGACCGCCCCAACCCTCACCTGATCCCCCCAGCTTCCACCTCCATCCCCCCCCCCACATCCTACCAGGGCCCCTCAGGCCTGGGGTGGGAAGCCAGGGCCACAGGGAGGGGTGTGAGTAGGGGGACGGCCGAGGGGGGAGGAGGGACAGGAGGGAGGATGAGATGACAATGGAGGGTGAGGGGTGGGGAAAGCGGGGGGGGGGGGGGGGGCATGGAGGGGTTCTCCTTGCTGTCTGGCTGTGACCTCAGCGCAGCCAAGCCCTCCTAGGCCTATGTGGAACATGGGGTTCGGCAGGGCTCCCTGGGGACGACTGCCTGTCCTCTTTTTAGGACCTTGTATTCTGTCCTCACACAGAAGGTCAGTCCCAGCCTCAGCCTGGCTGCGGTCTCACTCTCCACTCCCTGGGTACTTCTCTTCCTAGACAGTTCCTTGTACAGACTGCTTCAGCACCTCCGGGCTTTCGGTGAGAAAGCTGCCTCCAGTGAGAGCTTGGCAGGCTTTTCCTGTAACCCTTTTGGCTACTGGAGCCCCAGGCCTCGGTCACAATGAGTCCACTCTGTTCCGGAAGTCCCATGTGACTCCATCCTAATAAAGTTTTATTTATAAAAACTCCTCACTGAAAGTTGAGAGCCCTACTAAGAAGAGGTGCTCTAGATGTAAAGCGGTGGTGGGGATTCTCCCTTTGCTCACAGCCAGCTGTCCACTGCCCGGAGCTGTGGCCTCACTGCTGCAATCCTAGCTAGGTGGGAGGCTGAATGGTATGGGAGGTCAGCCTGGAAAACTTAGTGAGACCTTGTCTCAAAAAAATATGTTTAAAAAGCCGGGTGTGCTGGCACACTCCTATAATCCCAGCATTCTGGAGGCTGAGGTAGGAGGATCGATACAAGTTCGAGACCAGCCTGAGCTACAAAGTAAGCCCGAGACCAGCCTAAACTGCACAGTGAGACCCTGTCTCAAAAAGAGGAAGCTTTTTAAAAGCTGAGTGTGATGGATAGCACATGCCTGCAATCCGGAACTCCACAGGCTGAAACAGGAAGACTGCCATACATTTGAGGTCAGCCTGAACCTGTCTCAAAAAAAAGTACAGAGTGGAGCTACAGCTCAGTGGTAAAGTACTTATTGGTGCAAGGCCCTGTTCAATTCCCAGCACCCTGGCAGGGGGGTGGGGCTGCAGCATCACAGTGTGCACTGATTTGCTAGCATTTGATGAATGCTGGGTTTTGCTCCACTAAGGACCTCTTGACCCCACCCCACCCCTCTTGACCTTTGATTTGAGCCTTTCTTTACCATCCCCACAACGCTGGGGGCAACTTATCCTTCTGGTCTCCCCAGGACCCTGACCTCATCTGGCTGCTGCCCCTTCCCTGCCAACAACTCTCAGACTTTGCAGCTCCCTTTAATCACGGCGAAGTGGCTTCTGTTCTCCAACCTAGACACTGGAAGTTGTCCCTGACACTCACACCCCACCCCAGGTGAGGGGTTCTGTATTCCTCTTCCTCCATCCAAGCACAGGTCACATCCACCAACCACTCTAGCCTAGTCTGCCTCCCTGGAGTTCCTGGGGCACTGAGTAGCCCAGAGGCAGCCCCAGGCCCAGCTCCTGCTAACTCAGCAGCACCTGCCTCACACATCCTGCACCCAGAAGTGTCCAAGTGCACACCCCACTTTCCTAACTGAGCTCAAATCCAAAGGAGGGGCAGGGAAATGGTGATGGGGGTCAGTCGTGAGGACGGGCGTGGAGGAAGGGCAGGGTTAGTTCTGGGAGGCAGTCCCAGCCTCAGCATGGCTGCAGTCTCACTGGGTGAGACCTTGGGGCGCTGGGGGTTGGGGGGTCAGTGTCAGGAGGGGGCACAGCTGTTCACAGTAAGGTGGGGAGCGGAGTCTCGGTCAGTGGGGCTCCATGGTGTGGGAGGGGTTAGTCGACAGGAAGGAAAAGTCAGGAGGGAGCAGAGGGGGGCTACTTACCCCGGGGGGAGGGGGTTCGTCCACTAGGGGGATATCCAGGCCGCGGCGTTGGCGTTGAGGTCGGGCAAGAAGCTTGGGGGGCCTGGCTTACGCCAGTCTTGGGGGAGCAGTGGGGGAGCACCAGTGGCTGGGGTGGGGAGGAGGTCAAGGGGGGTGGGGGATGGAGATGGAATAAAGACAGGTGAAGGGTCAGTGGGGAGGAAGCCTGGGGCAGGAGGTTTGGGAGGGAGGCAGTCTGGGTTCAGGTAGGGGGAAGGGAAGCCGGGCGCCTCCACCCCCACCCTCTACTCCCTCCCCTGGGCAGGGGAGAGAGAGAGAGAGTCCCAGGGGGGTCCACGGAGGGTGCCTCACCTTTTCGGATGGAGCCATCAGGGGAAGGGGCATAGTCGGTGAGGAGGAAGCAGGCGCGATCCCGGCTATAACGGCCCCGGCTTCCGGGGGTGATGGGGCTCTTGTCCTCCGGGGACATGGCGGGCTGGTCGATGGCAGGGCAGTCCTCATGGGCCAGCGCTGCTGCAGCAGGATCACCGTTGGGCCGGGGATCTGTGTCCCCAGGGGGTCAGACAGAGACAGAGAGTGAGGAGGGGTAGGGTCCAGGCCTGTGGTGCTTTGGAAGAGGCTGAGTGCTGGAAGTCGAGATTCCAGGGCCGAGTCCACTGAGCCTGGGCACCCTGAGAGCAGGGGGCCTGACTGTCTGGGCACTGAGTGTGAAGGGGGGTCTGGATGGAAGCAGCAGCAGCCCTGGCCCTGGAGCAGACAGCTAGGGAGGGTGTGGCAGAGAGAAAGTGGTTGTTTAGGGACTGAAAGGGCACCATGGGGCAGGGCTGGGAGGTGACAGGTGAGGGAGAGGAGCGGGGGTCCCCTAGGCTCTGGCTGAGCTATTTTTAATGGGTGTGAAACTGGGCCAGTGGCTGAGGGAACAAGATGGGGGCCGGTGGCCCAGCTCCCTTTCTTGACCTACTTAAGGCCTGGGGGTGGGGCCCACCTCTCCCTCCTCCCTGACACCCAAATTACTGCCTCTGAGGCACAGACTCCCCGTGGACACAGGGTCATTGTTCTCCTGCTGTCCCCCCACCTTGTGGCCTCCTCAGTGACATTGGTCTCTCCAGACCCCTTCCCAGCACCCCAGTGTCCCAGACACCTTCCTTTTTTGGGGTTGGAGGCACCAGGAATCAAACTCACAACCTTGCACTTGCCAGGCAGGCACCTTGTAAGCCCCAGCCCTGGCTACCTCTCTGGCCACACTGTGTGGACACCGTGGCTTCTCCTGCTCACCCCCACCTACCCCTTAGCCTCCCTCTGTCCCACTTGTCTCTCTGCACTTACAGCTGCAGACCCACGGTGTCACACTGGTGGCCCCCAGGATCCCTGGGAGACTCAGAGTTTCCCCGCCCCCACGTACCCACCTCTGAGCTCCTCTTACCATTGCTTTGTCTCAATGGCCCCTGGGATAGCTCAGCTTCAGGTCCGTCTGGCCCCAAAGAGAGATGAGCAATCCAGGCCTCAGAGGCTGCCAGTGGCTCCCCACTGGCTGGCCTGTCACCTTCCCCCCTCCCCTTCTGCAGGCAGCCACTCTGTCCCTGAACCTCCCAGAGGCCTCCATCTGTTCCGCACCGCACCCAGCCTCACCTGCCCTGTTGATTTCAACCACTTCCTCCTGAGCCAGTGGGCAGGGCTCGCCGGGGGCAGGCAGAGGGGGCAGCCCCATGATCCCCAGTCCCCCTGCACCCCCCCTTAGCAGCCCGGGGTGCGTGTGGGGCCCTGGAGGGTAGGCCCCGGCCACAGTCATCCCCATGGAGGGTGGCGTGATGGGTGGCGGAGGACTGATGCCACCGCTGCCGTGGTGAGGATGGGGTGGGGGTGGTGGGGGTGGGTCAGGCTTGCAGTAGTTGGGCGAGCCAGGCTGGGGAGGCCGGGGGATGTGTTTGTTCTTCTTCTTGGGCAGCTTCTGTTTGGCCATGGCCAATGAATAGTACATGCCAAAGTTGTTGACAATGACCGGCACGGGCATGGCGATGGTCAGCACCCCTGCCAGGGCACACAGTGCCCCGACTAGCATCCCGGACCAGGTCTTGGGGTACATGTCTCCATAGCCCAGGGTCGTCATGGTGACCACAGCCCACCAGAAGCCAATGGGGATGTTCTTGAAATAGGTGTGGTTGGAGCCCAGGATGTCATCGGGGTCGGCGCCAATGCGCTCGGCGTAGTAGATCATGGTGGCGAAGATGAGCACGCCCAGGGCCAGGAAGATGATGAGCAGCAGGAACTCATTGGTGCTGGCACGGAGTGTGTGGCCCAGCACCCGCAGCCCCACGAAGTGGCGGGTCAGCTTGAAGATGCGCAGGATCCTGACAAAGCGGACAACCCGCAGGAAGCCCAGCACGTCCTTGGCGGCCTTGGAGCTGAGGCCCGAGAGGCCCACCTCCAGGTAGAAGGGCAGGATAGCCACGCAGTCGATGATGTTGAGGCTGCTCTTGAGGAAATCCACCTTGTCCGGGCAGAAGGTGATCCGCATGAGGAACTCGAAGGTGAACCAGACCACGCACACGCCCTCCACGTAGGTCAGGAAGGGCTCCGTCTCCACCTCCACATTGGTGATGTTCTCTGGCGGGGCCCCAGGGATTGGGGAGGCCTGCGTCACCGTCTTGTTGCTGATGTGGATGAAACCCTCGTGGGTCTCCAGGCAGAAGGTGGTGATGGAAATGAGGATGAAGAAGAGGGAGGCGAAGGCCACATACTGCAGGCAGGATGGGAGAGACAGGAAGGTGACCAAGGCGTGGAGTCCACCGGAATCTGAGCGGGGCCCTTCCACTGCCCTCTTCCCCAGCCTCCCAGGCCCAACCCCTCGGGGATCCAGGTCCCTGACCCTGTGGCTTCATCACATCCAGCTTCCTGTGCTGCCCTCTAAAGTGACCAGAGGAACAGAGACAGCAGGACAGAACCCGGCCCTAGTGGGATGTGATGGAAGAGCAGTGTCTGCTCTGCAACCTGGTCCCTTGTTCTGCCTTCTAGACCACCTGATTCCACCTCCTGTACATCCTACCCAGCTTCAAGGGTTGAGCTACCAGACAAACCAAGGGAGACTAAGGGTCACCCCCTCTATACCTCAGAAGCTTTGGGGCTCAGCTTGGGAACTGAGGGAAGGGGAATGGTGGGGAAGAACCACAACATGGCCAAGGGCAAGAAAGTCTGAGCTGAAATCTAGCTTTGGAGGTGTTGGACTTGGGCAAGGAGGTCAGACCTGAGCCTTCAGCTGTTTCATGGGGTTGTAAGAATTCAATGAGCTGTGTGTACAAAGGGCTTGGCCCTGTGTCCAGAACATGGTGAGCTGTCACTGGGGTACAGGACATCACTTAGAGGGGTCAGGAACACTGAGGGTCTCAGTGCCCATATCGGGGTCCCAGAAAAGGAAGCAGCTAGCTGAGGACGTCACCCAAAGAACTGAGGCCAGGATTGGGGCCAAAGCAGGGGAATTTGGGGTCCAGGTCCTGAAGATGGGACAGAATGATTAAGGCTGCAAACAGAACTTGAGACTCTAGGGAGGGTAGGGGTCCTCACACTGAGGGAGAGGGCAAGCACGTGGTCAAAGGATTAGGGACTTGGGAGGCCTGGGTCACTGCAAGGTAGGGGAAGACTAGGCCTCTTGGGACACAGTGGACTGGGGTTTCACAGAACCTTGGAGAAGAGGGGGCGAGGTCAGTGTGTGGGGAAGGCAAGGGCCAGCAATGGGCTTGATCAGATACTGAGGGGAGGCCTTCCTTGGACAGAGAGACGGTGCTGGGGTAAAGGGGGGCTTTAACCACATGGATAGTGCTGCCGCGTGGGTAAAGTTGGGGAGTGACTTTTCATCTCAAGCTCAGACAAGAGGGAGGGTCCAAGTCGGTGGCAGAGATAACCCCGCACCTTGCGGACCGGGGGAATCAGCGAGGCTCCTCTCGGTTTCTCCGCAGTGGGTTAAGAGGCAGGAGGCCTCCGCAGAGCGCATGCCCAGGGCTCCCCACCCCCCTCCATGCCGGGTGCGTGGCGGGCTGCAGCACCGCAGTGGAGGCGGGCTGGCCGGGCCGGGGGGGGGGCGGGGCGCGCGGCGGACAGCACCGCGGACAGCTCCCGCCGCAGTGCGCAGCCGCAGTGTCCCAGCGCCTTCTTAACCCCTTCTGGGCTGGAACCCAGCAGGCAGCGCGCAGCCGCAGAGAGGTGCTTCCTGACAGAGGCCGCGAGCCTAGCTCAGTTAACTCCTCTCCTCCCAAAGCACAGGGGACAGGTGGGCACCCGCCGCAGTGCACAGCTGCAGTGCTGGACCCCTTGTCCCAGGGAGGCTCAAAAGCAGACGAGATAGGTGGGCATGGAGTCCCTGGAAGGAGGAAAGGAAAGGTGACAGGGAAGAGGGAAAGTGCGGCAGGACCCTGCACTTGGCACTGGACGGAGCTCCCAACTCTCAAGCAACCTTACTTAAGTCTGTAAAGTGCTTGGCATCCCGCAGTTACTCAGAAAAGCATTTGTGCAGTTAATGAATGACCTCCGTTGCTGTCCGGACCCCTAGCCATCACCGAAAGACTCCGCCTCCACCCTCCCCCTGGCCTCAGCACCCTTCAATGGGGTCACGGGCAGGAAGGGCGCCCCGGGCCGTGGGGGGAGGGGCCGCTTGCAGGCCTCGGGGCATCTAGGGCCGCGTCCCTTCCGTACCTCTTCCTCCCCACTCTACCCCAAGTCTCGCCAACTCAGCGCTTCCCAGGTACCAAACTTTCTGCGGTGCCTCGGGGCCCCCTCCCCCTCGCTCCCTCCCCTGGCGCGAATGCGGCATTGCGGCTCCGCGTCCTTCCCGGCCCAGGACACGGCACCGAGGGGGGAGGGGCCCGGACGGGTTCCTCCAGGTGTTTGGGCCTGGGGGTGGTGGTGGATGTGGCCCCAGGACCGCTCTGCTTTCCCCTTTCCACTTCTTTCTACTTTGACCTGCTTCCCCCTCTCTTCCCCCACTTACTCCCCCTGGGGCCTCCTGGACTGGGAGGAAGCTGAGAAGGAAGAAAAGGTTTGGGAAGAACCAAACAGGAGAGCCGCCACTTAGCCTGGGAAGTTCCAAGCACTTAGGGAAGTTTCCTGAGAGAGGTGGAGAGCGCTTGGGAAGAAATCCTAGATTGTAAGGGAGGGGCAGTGGAGGGAAGAGAAGACCAGGGTATGGGCTCTTGGGATCACTGTGGCAGAGGGAAAGAGGCTGAGGGGCCCAGTCCTGGGCTTTGGAAAGAGGAGCATGAGAAACAGACAGAAAGCAGGGCTGGACGCGGGGAAACCAGGTGGCTGGAACCCCATGAGCAGGGCAGGAAGACTGGCAGCTATCTGAAGGAGTTTCTGGGCTGATGACTAGGGCAAGAGATTTGAGGTGAGAGAGAAAGTTTCAGAGCAGGAGGCAAAATCACCTGACAGACCAGGAAAGGGAGTGGGGACTTGGGAAAGGAGGAAATCCCAGAAGCTGTGGTGTGCAGCTGAAAGGATGGCAGGGAGAAGCCGGGGCAAGGCAGAGCAACTCTGAGGACACCCGGAGCTCTACAAAGCAAACTCCAGAGTGTTCTAGAGGCAGGAGGGGGCGTGTGGAGACTGGGGGAAACACACAGCTTTGTGGGGAAAGTCCTCGGGACAAGAGGAGGCACAGGGCAAGGAAGAAGGGACAGGGACAGAGGGGGAGGCAGGGAAATTCTAGCAGGAAAGGCGCCTCAAGACTCAAACTTGCAGCATGGAGGGGTCAGGGCAATCAGAGGGCTCCAGGAGGCCCTGCAGCCAGAACAGCGGCTTTCTGAGACTTGAATGGGGCTAGGGGCTGGGTCCAGAACATCCAGGACACCTGAATTTGGAGAAAGAAACCTCCCGGGAGCCAGGCCCAAGGAAAACCAGGGAGATGGTGAGGGCAGGATGGGAAGGCAAGGCTCCCAGGACCTTGCAAAACAGACTCGGAGGGTGATCTCCTAGGGGGGTGGAGTGCTCCAAGAAACCAGGGTCTCAAGAAGTCCTGTGAGGGTGTGGGGGTGGCCAAGGGTGGTGACAACAGGTTTGGAGGGGCCAGGGAAACGCTGGACGTTAGGAACGGAGGAGATGGGTTTGTTCAGAGGAGGCCCCCGAGGTTCATGGTCCGGAGGGACTTTCTAAGGATCTAGGGTGGCCTGGGACAGGCCTGAGAGGGTCTAAAGGTTAGAGAGACATCTTCTAAGGGCCTGAAGGCAGGAGGAGGGTGTGTTGCAAGAACAGGAGGATCCTATTTAGGGGCTCAGAGCATCCAGGAGAGGCTGGGATGGGAGCTCCCGAGGTTCTGGAGGTGCCTGGAGAGGGGTACTGGGGGCCCCCGAGAACGGCTCACCCTGGCGGCCCGCGACGAGTAGGGGTCCTCGAAGAGCGCCCACACGCGGGGCTGCCAGCGGCGCCACCATGTGCCGCCCGCGCCGCCCGCGCCCCCTGGCGGCCCCCCGGCGCCGCCGCCGCCCGCGTCCTGGAAGCAGAGGCGCTTGAGCTCGCCGCCTGCGCCGTCCAGGCCGCCGCCACCGCCCGCGCCCGCCTCGTCGTCCAGGCCCGCGTCATGCGCTCCTGCGGCGGTGGCGGCGTTGGAGCCCGCGGGGTCCGGAGCCTCGAAGGAGTCGAGCGCCTCCTCGGCGTCACGATGCTGTCGGTAGGTCATCCAACAGCAGGCCTCCACGTCGGTCTCGTCGATGCCCCAGAAGCCCAGCTCCTCCTCGAAGAGCGGCCCGCACACGTCGGCCGGGCAGTGCAGCTTGCCGGTGCGGTAGTAGTTGAGCACGTAGGCGAAGACGCCCGGGTGCCGGTCGAAGAAGAACTCGTCGGCGCCTGGGTCGTAGTCGAAGCGCGCGGCCGCCTCGGGCTCTGTCAGGCCGGCCAGCCGCGTCCCCGGCAGGGTGCGCAGCGTCGAGCGGTACGTCTCATGGCGCACGCCGCCCACGTTGATCACGATCTTACCGCTGTCGCCACCGCCGCCGCCGTGCCGCCCCATGGCCGCCGCCGGCAGCCCGGGGCATGGCTCGGCGCGCCGGCCCCCGGGCCCGCGGGGTGCCGGGGGGCCCGCCGGGGATGCGGCTGGCCCGGGCTGCGCAGGCTGCGGCGGCGGCGGCAGCGGGGACAGCGGCGGCGGGGACTCCGGCAGCTGCGGTGGTGGCGCCGGCTGCTGCTTACTGGCCCCCTGGCGCCCGCGGAAGGACTAGACGCAGACTGAGCTCAGCATTGGACAGGGGGCGGGCCGGGAGGGGCGGGGCTCTTAAGGGCGGGGCTCTGGAGGAGAGATGAACGTGATTGGGTGGGAGAGGCGATGGGTGGAAGGGGTGGGCCTGGAGGGTGCAGAGACTGACGCGATTGGGTGAGAAGAGGCGCTAGATGGGGGCGGGGACTCGTGGGGGAGGATCAGAGATGATTGGGCTGAGGGGATAGTGGGCGGAGCTAGGCTGGTTCTCTAATTTGTGCCTGAATGGGAGGGGGGCACTAATGAGGCAGGCCAATTGGACGCCTATTGGAGGGGGCTGGGTGGGGCGTCAAAGGGTCACTAACGCTGTTTGGGCTGAGCACTTCAGGGAGAGCGGAGAAATCGGAGCAAGATTTGCCAAAGAGACCTGAGAGAATCAGGGAAAAAAAGGGAAGCCAGGCTGACTGACGATGAGAGAAGCCGATCGGACTGCACTAAGAAGTGACCCGGGGAGAATGAGTTTGCATACCTGGACCTAAATCCCTGGCAGGCAGGAGAGGACATGGAGCGGCAGGTGGAGAGGGTGGAGTGGGGCTAACACTGGACGGATCGGAACCGAAGACAGAAGAAACCGCCCTGACTGGGGTTGGGGCAGGGAGGGCGGGACTGAACCAGGGGTGGGAACTGTAGACGGAATAGGGCCAGGTAGAAAAGGGCCAAGGCGAAGGGGAAAGGCAAGCCTGATGCAAAGGAAGCCCCGGAGCTGCAAGCTAGGCCTGACTACACCGGGCTTGGCCCAGAGGAGGAGCGTCCAGAAGGCAGGAGGGCGGGACGGAGGTGGGTGGGCGAGGAACGCCGAGGAAAACGTCGGGACTAGGCTGCGGGAGAGCTCGGAGAGCGAATGGGGCTCTACGCAGAGAAATGAGCTCTAGGCGGAGGGGAGGGATCTGGAACGGAGAGATCCTGTGACAGGGTCCTAACTAAGGGTCCTCGAGGCCTTAAGGAGGAGTGAGGACCGAGGGATGGGCAGGAACTGGTGAGAATTGAGCACTGAGGGAGGCGAAGAGAAGGGAAATGAGGGGCAGCCAGAGCTCCGGATCGTGGGCAACGGGCGGAACCAATGGAGAGTGCGGGAGTTTTGGTGTCAATGAGGCCCGGAGGGGGTCGAGACGGAGAGTTAGGTGCGGGACCAGGACCAGTCGGCCTTCTTCCCAGCGAGCCAATTCCGCCGCCGGGGCGGTCCCAGACGCTTGCAAACAATGCGCAGGCGCAGGGAGCTGAGGCGGGGCCCGCGGCTCCGGCGGGGGCTGCGGCGGGAGGCGGGGCCTGTGGAGCGAAGGGGGCGGATCAGGCCGCCGCAGGGCGCGCGGTTTGTCCCGGGCCATCGCCTCCTGCTGCAAGTGTGCGGATGGTTCGTATGGTTTCTCACCTCGTTCCCGTGCCTGTGTATCTTGGTATTCCCTTTCTTCCCCGATCTCAGAGTGTTTGTCCCTCTTTTCTAAGTCTCTGCCCTCCCAGTAGGTTCTGAATCTGCTTCTCTTCTTGAATCTCTGTCCCTTTTCTCTATGGGGCTCAGTCTCCCTTCCCGCGGCTGACTTCATACCCTCCCCCTAGTTTTCTTTGGGGGGTCGCTAGGCCCCTCACTCCGCCATGCGCCTGTGTCCCAGGTCCCTGCCCCACCTCGCCTTTGCGCTTTCATCCCGGCCTGGCTCCCCCTCCGTAGATTGCTGTCCCCTCCCAGGCGCAGGCTACCCTCTTCGCTGCCTAGCCCCCAGCCTCTGCTTTTCATCACTGGGTGGGCTTGCTGTTCTTGAGTCGTTCTCCCTCCAAGTGTCTGTACCCTCTTTATGCATGTGTTTTACTCTTCCTCAGGCTCTGCCTGTTCATCTCGGTCGCTGGCTCCTCATGTTCTCTGCCGGCCTCATCCCCTGAGCTTCCCTTTCTCCCTGTATATCGATCACTGCTCCGTTCCAGCTATCTGCCTCCCTCGCTCTGGGTCTTTCATCTTTTTTCTCTGCTCCCCTCCTTGATCTCTCTTCCCCACCATTCTCCCCTTCTGAATGTTTTTTTCTGGATGTCTCCTGTCTTTGGGTCTCTGTCCCCTTCTCTCAGGACGCCCCGCCCCCAACACCTCTGTCTAACCCCCATCCTGGCTGGGACTCCAGGCTGCGTCACTGCAGAGAGGTGCAGAAGTAGGGCCTGTCCTGCTGGCCAAGGAGGCGGTGCCCTCATTTCCAGACTCCGGGCTCTTCCAGGACCCCAATCCAGGGCCTGCGATCCTCAGGCATCCCTCAAGCCTCTGATGGGACCCACTAGGACCAAGAAAAGACCCAGGCATCACCCCTCTGTGTCCTGAATTCTGGTACACCCCAGGAAGAAGCAGTCAGTCCTGAGGTGAGAGACGATAAGCGAGGCTCCCAGGCCATTTTGGGGCAGGTTGGAGGTTGGAGCTGGGGTTAGGCTGGGATTAGGGGCTGGGACAGGACCTGAGTAAGCCACTCTTCCCACTTCCACCCCCACCTCTGCTTTCCATTATTTGGCCACAGGCAGGCATGGGATCAAGTAGCCAATTCAGCGTTTTAGCAACGGTCAAAAGGTGTAGATAAACTGGGGGTTTGGTGGGGAGTAGGAAGCTAGAAAAAAGGGAGGCTATGGGATGAGATTTGGGATTAGAGACCTTAGAGTGGGCAGGAGACCAACAGCAAGGAGTAGTAATAGGATGGTCCAGGGCCCTGGGAAATTTGGACACCATCAGTTCCTTATGGCCTTGTCAGACCTCACAGGCTATGTGGGAGATCTGTGAGCCCGGAGTCTCCACCTATTCCTTAGAGAGAGGTGGCTTTGGGAGACAAGATGGACCCTGGATTACAGAACACCCACCTATAAACACAGATGGAGAAACAGCAGACTCCAAGCCTGGCAGCAGACACCAGGAGAGGAAAGGCTAATACCTGTCTACTTCTTCACATCTTTCCCCGACCCTGCTCCTCCCAATCCGTCCTTTCCGGAACACTCAAATTACAGAATTCCTGAAAGCTGCACACTCCCGGCTGCGTCGTCTCCAGGACGGCGGTTCCAGTCCTCCCTTCTCTCTATCCCATGGCCCAGTGAGTGGGGATGGGTTTTTCCCTCCCTGATTTCCAAGGCTCCTTCTATACCTCCACCTCTATTCTCATCAGTTCCAAATCAAAGAAAGGGAGTCTCACTAAAGCTGAAAATATGGGGACTCTTAAGACCCTTGGTCGCCTGAGACCTTCCAAAAAACCTCGGTGCACCAAAGCCTAGAACCTAGGGGAATCGCTCCGCTGTCATTTTGGGTCACATCTCCCAGTCCCCGCCTCCATAACTGGGATTTGGGTTGTCTTACACCTGCGGATCTGAACCTCCACTGTACTCACCCCTAGTCGAGGCAAGGTGGGGATGGGGGGCCCGGGGCTGGCGGTGGGGAGAGGAGTGGCCCAGCCCCGGTAGCTCTGGTCAACGAGGGACTGCGGAGGGGCAGTGACATCACCGCCAGAGGAGGGGCTGCCGTGCTCTCCCGAACCAGGGGGCTTCAAGCTCCGCCTTTATGGCGGACTCAGGACTCAAGGGGAGAGAGGAGGGACCCGAGACGAGACCAGTAGGAGCGGTAGCCCCTCTCCTTAGAATAAGGGTTGGGAAATCTTTTACCGATCTCAGCCACCACTCCCCCCACAGCCACCTGTCGCTGTCATGGAGACCTGTCGCCTCCCACTGTTGTTGTGGCTGCGCCTGCCCCAGCCACCAACGCGGGAAAACGGCGCAGACTACAACATCCGGCGTGCTCCGCGGGCCTGGCTCGTTTAGCAAAGAAAGCCAGGAGCCTCATGGGATTCGTATTACAAGCCGCGGGGCCCCATCAGTGAGAGCCCTGCAAAGTAGGGACCTCTGGAGGTCCGAACACCAAGTTTTTCCTTCCAAAAGAAACATGCATATGAGAGACTCGGGTAGATTTACTCAATGGAAGTCTTGGATCTTTCCCTGGAGGCCAGAACTCCGCTATCCCGTGGCGCGCAAGCATCTAGCCCCGGGGGCCTCAATCAGAGAATTGCGCCTGCGCGGCCCCGCCCCCTCCCTGGACGCGAGAGCGTGCCAGCCCCACCCGGGCACCGCGGCTTGTGTTCCCGCGGTCGAACACCGCTACGTAGGTCCGTAAGAAGACGTCTCCGAGGATCCAGAGGGGTCCTGCAGGCGGAGGCACATCCAAGGCCTGGAAGCCGGACAAGCAGAGGCGGAAGCCACCTTGGGAAATCTGCAAAACGCCAAGATAGGGCCACAGGGTACCCGTTACGGGTTCCGGCTGCTGGCCCCGCCTTGGTCCTCTCCCAGCTTCGTCCTCTCAAGCCCAGCGCTCGCTGCGTCTCTCTGACGTCACCGTGACAGTCACTCACCTGGATGACGTAGTCCTGGGCCGTCAGGTTAAACCAGACCCCTCCAAGGAGGAAGGAGATTGGGGGCAGCGTTGGGATTTTCGAGCACTGAATGAAGTGCTGGAGAAAAGAGGAACGAATTAAGATGGGCAATTCGTGCTCTGCTCAAATCCCTCCCCTGGCTCCCTAGTGCCATTGGCAGTGTCTTTTGTACGCAGCTAAATATCCAGGGCCTGGTGTGCACAGGCTGGTTAACTACGCTTTCCTCACCCAGGCCTACATAATCTGCTTTCTCCCCCGTCACTCGGGCAATCGCAGGGGGTGTTTTTGCTTCCTCCATGCTGCAGCCCATCCCTCAGCGGTCCAGGCCCATCTGTGCTGGGTACTTCCTTGGCTACCTGCTTCCCACTGCCAGCAGTCAGACTCCTGTCTGCCTCCCCAGCCCACGTCCGCCAGAGAATGGGTTCTTACCTCACCAGCCAGCCAGGGGAGGCCCCCGATGGCCCTGTGCAGAGCCCGGATCTCCTCAGAGGGTCCTGTGATGAGGGATGTTCCTGTGTCCACGATGGCAGCACAGCCTTGGGCACAGAGAGTCAGCCCCGTGCCCACCATCACTCTGTGTGTGTGGGCATAGTCATTAGAGGCTGGGCCCTAGAGCTCCAGAGCCCCGGACCCAGCCTCTGACCTGAGAGGCTGCCCTTCTCACCGGTCCATGTGGATCTGCCAGTAGGCAGGGATGGTGACCGGCACGAAGGTGAGCGGTGGGATGTAGTGAGCCGGGTCCGAGCCCCCCAGGACCAGTTCGCCTCCATGAGTTCCTTCAAAGTCCCTGCAGAGAGGCCGGGGATTTGGCTCAGTGGTGTAAGCACCTGCCCGATGAGCGTGAGGTCATGAGTTCGATCCCCCCCCCAAAAAAAAAGGCCCTACAGAGGCAGAGTGCTGTACGTGACCTTGTGTCAGCTGCGTGTTATCTCAGTTCTAGATGGGATGGTGGGATGTGGGGCTGAGAGCAAGGTAAAAGAGAAACCTCCCCCCCCCCCAGCCCTTTTATTAATTTATTTTATATTTGGAAAAGGGTCTCACTGCGAAGTTCAGGCTGGCCTTGAACTCACTTTGTAGCCAAGGTTGGTCTTGAATTTGCAACAATCCTTCTACCTCAGACTCCCGAGTGCTGGGATTACAGATATGTGCCACCGAGCTCAGCTTTATTATCATATTTTGAGACTGGGTCTCAGGAAGTTTTCCAAACTGGCCTTGACCTAACGATCTGGAAGTACAGGCCTGTGCACCTTTTAATAGACAGCCCTCCTATTCCTCCAGGAAGCCCCATCTCCGGAGGAGGTGGGAGTCAGGATGACTGAGTGGGCACAGGAATTTCTGACAGGGCGATGGGCCCTCTTGGATGAGTGAGATTTTCTGAGCATAAGGTGAACTTCCTGAAAGGCAGGCAACTCTCTGGGCTACAGTGGGCAATTTGGGACTTCTGATGAGTGCTCTTGAGTGGAATTTAAGCTTGCTTTAGGGTAAAGAGAGGGTTCCCAAGTTGAGTAGTTAGTTGGGTGAGGTGTGGAATTTCCTGTTTGGTTTTGAAATAAGGAGCATTTTGAATTGAGGGTAAGTTTTCTTAGTGTGCCTTTAAGTTGTCACTTAAGTTGGAGGGCTTCTTAGGGTTCAGGTGCTCTCATATTGGGCAAGTGTTTTCCTGAATGGAGAGCGAAACTTCCTCTTTGGGGGATGACTTCCCAAAACGACAGTGGCGCTTGCTGCCCTGGATCTCCTGAAGGGGGTCAGGAGTCCCCCAGGGGGCCAGGACTCAGATAAAGAGAGCTCCCCCCCAGTACCTGTTGAGATAAAAGGAGAAGACGGGCTTATCCAGCAGCCCCTGCTCCACCATGACATCCAGCGGGGTTGGAACACCATCCACGGCCAGAGCGGGAAAGCCAAGGCCAAATATCCCATCGAAGGAGGCAAAAGCAAAGACCAGACTGGGCTCCCACAGAGCCTCCCCAAAAGTCACGGATACGTTGTTGATTCCCCCGATCTAGGAGTAGATTGAGATGGGAAGACATCACCCAGACATCTCTGAGACTGTTGCTGATCAAGGCATAAATCCTAGACCTGAAGACCTCTGGAAAGGTCGCAAAGTTTGAGAAGCCCCGCCCCATTTGTCCGAGAGGCCACGCCCACTCCTCCGGGAAAGCCCCGCCCCCTTTGCCCCAGACCTCTCCAAGCTCTTCCCTAAACCACCAGGGCTGGACTCCCGGAGTCCTTGTAATCTGAGCCTTCCTGAAGGCCACGCACGCACAGTCAGCTTGTCCTGGCTCAGAATCCCGCTCAGCCTCCCCGTTCCATATTGAATGGCGAACTTGGTCCCATTGGGGCAGAAGGAGCTGGAGGCTTTGGGATCATAACGGTGATGGAACCCTAGTTGAGAAGAACAGAGAGTTGTCGCAGGGAGACGGGAGTCCCTCCACCCACCCCGTGCCTTCTCAAAACACCCTGGGGAGCCGAGGCCCACCCCCTGCACCCCCATCTCGGCTCACAGCAGGGCAAACTGAAGAAGCGACAGCTCTTGGACGGGACCCAGAGGTTGGAGGAGCCAGTGTCAAAGACGACGGAGAAGTTTTGTGGGGGCGTTCCCAGCCCAATTTCCCCAAAATACTGCACCTGGTAGCGAAGGAGGAGCTGAGATCAAGAGTTTGCTTGCATGCATGAGGGTGGGGGGCTGCGGGGAGGCGACTCACGTTCAGGAACTTGGAGAGAGGCACAAAGAAGGGACTGTCCCCGTGGGGTGGGGCCCCCAGCCTAGAAGGCTCCAACAGCTCTGCCCAGGCCCGCATGGGCCTCAGGATGCCCTGTGGCAGGTGGACTCGGCGGAGTGGGACCCTAAGGGACAGGGGTGCCCATGGTTAGAAAGCCACCCTTCCTGGGTACCTGCTCTAACAGACAGTCCCAACAAGGACACGGGACAAAAGAGATGTCTCTGAGCCTGTGCAGTGCATCGATGACCAAAACCTCTACTGTAACGATCTCCCAGGAACTGCTACCTAACGCACCTGATAACAAATAATCCGAGGCTTTAGGAGAGCAAAGCATCTAGGAAAGATCATCCCAAAGACCTGCCAATATCCACATGCCTTAAAATAAGCCGTCCCTCAAGGAATGGGTGTTCTCAGAAGGTTCCAGGCACCTGACCCTAAAATTTAACCCTTGCAAAATGTCAGCCCCTAAACTGGGTTGTGGTGCACCCAATCCCAGCACTCGGGAGGCTGAGGCAGGAGGACTGTTGTGAGTCTGAGACCAGTCTGGGCTACAAAGTGAACTCAAGGCCAGCCTGAACTGCAGAGTGCAACCCTGTCTCAGAAAGATTAAAAAAAAAAAAAATCAGTCCTTGTGTGTGTCCCTTATAATGCTGAACTCTTTTCCCCACCGTTGACAAGGGGGTAAGCACCAAATCGTGACTTCACTTTTACAGTAAAATACATCCATTGTGTATGTATTATAGGTCTCCCACGAAATGAAGCAGATCAAATGTTTGAGTAACGCTGGGAAGAGGGAGGCTTTTCTAAGCATGGTGACCAAGGGGACATTTAATCAAGTCAGCACAGCAACTTAGCCAGGAGGGAAATATCGATGAGTGAAAATCTAAACCCCTATCCCCCCCCCCAACACACAGAACTGTAAATAAAAGGACAAAAAACTGGGTGACAGGCTGGGAGGCAGAATAATCACAAGTCTGAGCCCATCCTGGACAATTTAGTGACTTAGTGAGATGCTGTGTGTGTGTGTGTGTGTGTGTTTGAGACAGAGTCTCACTGTGCAGGTCAGGCTGGCCCTCGACTGACTGTAGCTCAGGCTGACCCAGAACTCACAGAAATTCCCATGCCTCAATCTGCTGAGTACTGGGGTTACAGGCATGTGCCATCACCTATGGATTAAAAAAATATTTTTAAAGGGTTGGGGATATAAGGCTCTGAGATATATGTGTGTGTGTGTGTGTGTGTGTGTGTGTGTGTGTGTGTGTGTGTGTGTCTTGTTATCATGCAGTTAATATTCCTAACATGCAAAGAGTTACAAATAAATAATTGGATAGTTTGGTGTTGGGAGACAATTCCCTATCAGTGTCTTAACATTTCTGCAGAGGCATGGGCTGCCTATATCCCAACGATCTTCTGGAGAACTCTGTTGTGGGATGAGTCCTGGAAAATAGTATCTCCCTCCAGATCAAAAGGCAAACAGGCTATAGTCCATTAGAAGAGATCTGAGCCATGCATGGGACGTCAAAAGGTGAGAGAATTGCAAGTCTGAGCCTAAATTGCAATTTAGCAATTTAGTTGAAACCCTGTCTTGAAATTTTTTTAAAAAAAGAACTTTAAAAAAAAGGACTGGGGATGGGGGATGCTGTCAAAGTCCTAGGTACAATCTGCAGAACCACAACAACAACAATATAACAATGAACAATTTGAGTTCTCTAAACTCAACAGTTCCTCAACTCTAAAGTCTTCTCTGCGTTTAAAGGCACCAGTTGGGGCACTTCCTTTCATCCCCGGGCTCAGAAAAAAGACACAAATGCTGTCACTCTTGCTGCTACTGTTGCTGGGAGTAATGACCTGCCCTTTGTCTCTGACCAGGGTATCTCATATCTCCTTTTCTTTGAGCAGCCATGTTCTTGACACTCAGAGGAGAATGGGCAAAGGACAAGAGCAGGTAATTGGCAGAAGAGACACAAAGTTTCTAAATGCATTGAGATTGCTCTGCACCAACACCCTTTAAAAGATACAAATGACAAGAGTGAGAAATCTTGTTTTACACTGCAAACTGCCAAAGAACTTAAAATGCTCAACATGAAAGAGGATGCTTAAATTGGTACAAACTCTCTGGAGGATGATTTTGCAAATATGTATCCAATACCTCAAAATAACACACAGCCTTTTTTGTAGTCCTGAGAATCCAATGCATACAAACCAACAGCTCTACTACTGAGCTACACTCCTAGCCCACACTTTTACTTTTAATTGCAAATTTAATCTTTCTCGGTTCTGTGATTAGCTAATGCTTTCATTGCTTCCCAGGTAAGCCATTAATAGTAGGTGTCTATCTTGCTGGGCACAATGCCACATGCTTGTAAACCTGAGAGGCTGAGGCAGGAGGATCATTGCAAGTTCAAGGGCAGCCTGAACTACAAAGTGAGACCCTGACTCAAAAAAAGAAAAAATCTGGGAGTGTAGTTCAGTGTGAAAGCCTTGCATTCAATCCCCAGTACAGCAAATGAGGTGGTGGTGGTGTTGGGGGTTCCCTATGTAAATATTGTTAATTTTTCCTTTTTCTTTATTTTTTAATGATGAAGCGACACTGAAGACTAGGAGAGATTACCAGGAACTTCCAGGAACTCTGACAGCCTCGCTCCAAAGGAGGAGAAAGGAAACGAGGAGTCAAGCCTGATGTAATCCCAGCACTCTGGGAGGCTGAGACAGGAAGGTCACAAATTCAAATCCAGTCTGAGCAACTCGGCAATTTAGTGAGACCATCTGGAAAGCTAAAAGAAACAGAGGAGAGGGAATGCAGCTATGCCCGTGATCTCAAAACTGGAGTCACTTGGCTAGGAGAGCGGCGCACAGCTTTCTGCAAAGGCTTTGCAGGCCCTTAACTCGTCAAGGTGGCTCCCGAGCGGACCCGCATGCGGAGAGGAGTCCAGCAGGGGGCGCTCGCAACTCCCCGTCAGGCCTTTGCACCTGGGGCAGCGTTTCGCTGGGCGCTGAGTTGAAGACCGCCCGCGACTTAGCGACCTAGCTAGCAGGTGTGCAGGCCTCAGGCTGCACCGCAGTTCTGCGCCTCCCAGGGGACCCGCCCCTCCCTTCGGCCTTGGGAGGCTGAGAATGTGAAGTGGGGAGACGCTTCCTGGGGGGCCCCCTTTCCCCTGTCAGGAGGCGGGGGGACGCGGGGAGCCAGGTGCAGAGGCGCAGGCCTGTCATGCCAGCCCCGTGGGAGGCTGAGGCAAGAGGATCCCAAGTCTGAGTCCCTGGGGCAACTTAGTGTGACCCTCTGTCTTATCCGTCTTTAACAGAAAGGGGGTGTAGCTTCGCCATAGAGCCATAGATATCATCTCTCGGTTAGGGTTAGGCCTGGCTCCCCGTGAGGGGTGGGAGGCCAAACACGACTGGTTTGGAGAGTATAAATCAGCTGCCAGAGCTCTGGTTTAAGTGTGGGTATCCAAGAACAGGAGTGGAGGTCACTTGGCCGGAGACCCTAACCAGAACATCAGAATTCAAGGTGGGGCCCTAATATTGCGTCGCGGGGGATGAAGGAGTCTCCAGACCTGGGTTTCAGCATTGAGGGATCCTGGATTTCTTTCTTTTTTTTTTTTTTTTTGTCTTTTTCATTTTTATCGGTACCAGGGATCGAACTCACGACCACCTGCTTGCAAGGCAGGTGCTTATGCCGCTGAGCTAAATCCCCAGCCCCTAGGAATCCTGGATTTCAAAATGTGTAGTCATAAACCGATGTGGCGCCTGCCTGGAATCCCAGCTACAGGAGAGGCTGAGGCAGGAGGATCACAAGTTCCAGGCCATCCTAGGCAATTTAATGAGACCTTGTCCCCCCCCCCCAAAAAAAAAGGTGGGGATGCTGGGCGTGGTGGCTCATGCCTTTAATCCCAGCATTCGTGAGGCAGAGGCAGGAGGATCGTTGCGAGTTAGAGACCAGCCTGGGCTACAAAGTGAGCTCAAGGCCAGCCTGAACTGCATACAAACCCTGTCTCAAAAAGACAAAAAAAAAAAAAAAGTGGGGTTGTGGCTCAGCGGTAGAGCGCCCCTGGGTCCCTTCTCCAACACTCGCACGCACCCGCGCCCAGCCCAGGACTCCGCATAGACCGAACCCAGCCTCCGGTGGGGAGAGGGTTCCTAGTTTAGAGATCTGGGGCGGAGGAGAGAGGAGCCAGGATCCCGGGGTGCAGATTACAGCACTGAAGTGAGAACTGAGAGAACGGAGCTTAAAGAGCGCGAGCTGCAGAATCTTTCCCAGGGTGGAGGTGACAGTGACAGCAGGGTCCCCGTACCGGATCAGGGTGGCCCCCGAGGGCTCCACGGTCAGCAGCGTCAGCAGCAGCGGCCACAGCAGGAGCGGCGACATCTCTGGGCGCCCAGGCTACTAGGGGGCCCTTTTCTCTGCCCCAAGACTCCGCCCTGCCCACGTCTTCCCCTCCAGGTTTCGAGGTGACAGGGAGGGGGCCAGGGCGACCACAGTCCTGGAGTAGGCGCGGAGTGTGTCGGGGGGGGCCCCCCGGCTTCCCGCAGGGGTCCTGGCTCCAGGGCCTGCTTTGGGGGCGGGCAGCGGCGGCTCCGGCCCCACCCCGTCCCTCGCTTTTAACTTTCACTTCACTTTTCTGAGACTCATTAACCACAAAAGCTTTCTTCCCGGTGGAGAGGACGGTTCAGGCTTGCGCAGGCCTGGGGGAGGGGAGGGACGCCTCACCCTTCGGGTGGCACAGTTGGCTGGGTGGGTAACGTGTTTTTCTCCTGGGCATTAAACCCAGGTCTTTCTCCCTGAGTTGCATCCCCAACCCTCTTTATTTTTATGTTTTGAGACAGAGTTTGGCTACCTTGCCCAGGCTGGCCTTGAACTCCTGGACTCCAGGAATCCTCCTGCCTCAGCCTTCCAAGTACCTGGAACCTCTAGGTGCTGGGCCAGGACCTCTGACTGAAACACAAATGCACGTGTACCCTAAGCCCACCACCATCCAGAAAATATGAAAAGAATTCATGGTGCCGCTGCACCTCCCTGAGCCCGGCCCCTTCTCTCTGACAAAGCGTCTCAGATGTAAACATGTATCAGCAATCTGGCTGGCAGCTGGGCACAGTGGTAGGTGCTTGTAATCCCAGTAAGGGGGAGGCTGAGGCAGGAGGACTGCCAAAAGTCTGAGGCCAGTCAGGGCTCCACAGTGGATGTGTGTCAGTTCTGCAATCAACATATCTGGCCTAATTTTCTTCCTGCCACATCCATCCATGCCCCTGTCATCCAGCAAAATATCGCTTTCATCCAAAGGGTTAAAAAATGTTTTCTCCTTGTTCCTGAAATGTCCTGCTTTCATTGATGTTACTGAGCAATTTTTTCCCACCTGTGCCTCCGTCCTTGGGAATTTCTTTTATCTTTTGCACACACACACACAGACACTTCTCTGCTCTTTAATGAATCATATCTCTCTGCAAGATGATTACAAAAAAAAAAAGTTCGCCTTGCTCCTTCTGCTCTGTCCCCTCCCAAGAGGCAGCGACTTCCACTTTTTTTTTTTTTTTTTAGACTGGGTCTCACTATGTGGTTCAGACTGGCCTTGAGCTCACTTTGTAGCCCAGGCTGGTGTGGAACTTGCAACGACCCTCCTGCCTCAGCCTCCTGAGTGCTGGGATTCCAGGCATGAGCCACCACGCCAAGCTCCTCTTTTTTCTATTTTTTGGGATAGAATCTCTATATGTAGTTCATATTGGCCTGGACTTATTATGTAGCCAAGACTGGCCTCAAACTCCTGGTGAGTCTTCTGCCTCAACCTCCCCAGTGCTGAGAGGACAGATATGTGCCACCACATCCTGCTACTTTCATGTCCTTTAACTTTTACTTTTGGCATTGACAGTAGTCTTAAGTAAGGTGTTTGCATGAACACATACACACACACACACTCACACACTCACACACACACTTCATACTGGAAGTCGAACCCAGGGCCTTCACACTAAGCTACATTCATAGCCCATTTTTGGTTTATTTTTCTTTTTTGTACCAGGGATCGAACTCATGACCTTGCACTTGCCAGGCAGGCGCTTATGCAGCTGAGCTAAATCTCTGGCCCTCCATAGCCTGTTTTTGTTGTTGCTGGTTTTTTGTTTTGGTAGCTTTTTTTATTTTTCCCCTCGAAGTCACCAACAGGGACTTTTTTTTTTTTTTTTTTTTTTTTTTTTTTTTTGAGGCAGCATCTCAGTAAGTGCCACAGGCTGGTCTGGAACTTGTGGTCCTCTGGCCCCAGCCTCCTCCAGCAGCCTGCTTGTGTTACTGTTTCTGGATTTGTCCATTCTGTTATCGATTCTTTGACTTCTCACTTAGGAAAATAACGGATGAACTCTCTTCCTGCCCCTTCCCACACTCCTAACATGCGCTGCCCCCTTCCCCGCCTCTGCAGCCTCATTATAACAACCGTGGTCGGATGGATCACCACTTCTCCATAGGGAAGTGCCTGTGAGACTCACTGTGTGGGAGCCGGGTGTGGTGGTGCAAGCCTGTGGTCCCAGCACTCTGCAGGCTGAGACAGGAGGGTGCCCCAAGTTTGAGAGTGGTCTGGGCTGCAGAGCCAAGAGACTGATCAGAACAGAGTGGAGGGGTGGCTCCCACAGATCACAGATGGGGCATCAGGGCAGGAGGGGACCTGTGTAGGTCAGCGACTGTGATCCTAGGGTCACCTGAGACATTTCTTCTGATCGCTGCTAGTTTTCCACAAAAGAAGAAGTGAGAGGCCCAGGGACATAGGTCAGTGGCACAAGTTCCTGCCTGTCAAGTTCAAGGTCCTGAGTTTGATCCCCGGTACAAAACAAAAAAAGAAGTGTGAATAGAGAGGAAGGGCTAGGAGGGGAGAGGAGAGGGGAAAGTGATGTCTCAGGCCTAGGAGAAGGGGGCTTGTAGGCCTCCCAGCTGCTGGGGCCAGCTGGGCTCTTGCATTTCAGAGTCCAAAGTGTAGGCCTGGCCCGCAGGAAGCAGCAGGCGTCAGCCAGGTGGGAAAGGGCAAGGAGTTCAGATGGCCTGAAAAGGCCATGGTCAGAAGCCAGGCTCCAGCCTGGCTGTAACTGCATCACAGTGGGAGGCCGAAGCTTGAGCCCAACCTGGGCAGCTTAGCAAGTTAGGGAGATGCTGCCTCAGACTTAGAAAATAACAAAAGGGCTGAGAATACAGCTCAGGGCAAGGGCCCTAATGTGCGTGTGTGTGTGTGTGTGTGTGTGTGTGTGTGTGTGTGTGTGTGTGTATGTGTGTGTGTGTGGGTGTGTGAGAGAGAGAGAGAGAGAGAGAGAGAAGCAGAAGAAAAAAAGCAGGGACATAGGCACAGCAGTGTGGCCCATCCTAATCTCATTTGGTACTGGGAATCGAACTCAGGACCTTGCAGTTGCCAGGCAGGCACTTTTGCTGCTGAGTTATATCCCCAACTCTTTTTATTTTTATTTTTTTGAGACAGGGTCTTGCTGTGTAGTTCAGGCTGGCGCTGAACTCACTATGTAGCCCAGGCTGGCCCCAAACTCATGGCGATCCTCCTGCCTCAGCTTCCTGAGTGCTGGGATTACAGGCATGGGCCACCACTCTGGGCTGAAAAAGCCCTCCAGTGCCCCTGCGCTGGGGGAATTTCTGGGACATCGCAGAGAGGCAGTGTTTCCACCCTTCCCAGTCCCTCTGTTTTTGTCCCGGCCTGTCTGGACCTTTCCAAAGTACTGGGTTTGCAAGCCTGCAGATTTCCAGTCGGCCACACGGGGGCGCACTGAACCTATTCCCCACCCCCACTCTCAGTATCCCCCGTACCCCACCCTCTCCGGCCGGTTCAGAAGCTAAAGTCAGCTACCCGGTCAGGCTCCTTCCGCGCTCGCTTCCCGTGGGAACCCCACGGTTCCCAAGACCCTGAACGCGCCTTGCTCACTTCCTCCTTCCCAGCACTCTGGGAGGCTGAGGCAGGAGAATCTCAAATTCGAGTCCAGTTTGAGCAACCCACAGCAAGACATTTCCTCAAAATAAAAATGAAAAAGGGGTGGGGGTGTGGTCCTGATTTAGTCTCCAATGCTGCAAAAATAAAGAAGCCAATTTAATGTTTAAAAAGGACCTACACTAGCCTAAGGTAATTTTGGCTGTATATCTTTAACATTCTGGCTCTTCACAATCACAACCTTCCAGGCAGCTGGAGACCTCAGGAAGGCAGGGGGATTGCAAGTTTAAAGCTGGGCTGAGCAACTGAGACCATTGATGAAATTAATTAAAAGTAAAACGCAGGGAGGTACCTCAGTGTGAGGTGCTGGCTTCAATTCCCAGTACCACACAAAAGTAAAAATTAACCAGGCATGGGGGCTCACGCCTGTAATCCAGCATTCGGGAGGCTGAGGCAGGAGTGAGTTTGAGACCAGCCTAGGCTACAAAGTGAGCTTAAGGCCAGCCTGAACTGCGCAGCATCTCAAAAAGACAATAAACAAGCAAACAAATAATAGTATGTAGATGTAGTGGCACATGTGTGTAATCCCAGCATTCTGGGAGGCTGAGGCAGGAGGATTACAAGGGTGTTTTTGTTTGTAAATTCCTTGTGGGAAGTTGGTGCATAACACATATTAGCTCCTTTTCTCACCCCTTCTCCTTCCCTCTCTCCATCCTCTTCTCCTCTGAGTGAGAGCTGTTTCCCTAGGACCCAATAAGTCCTCCCCAAACTGTGTCCCTGAGAGAAATGAAGGCCTGTTAACTAAACTTGTATGTGGTTTTCAGAGGAACACAGAGGCCAAGAGCAGAAACAGCCTGAGTTCATCAAGTGATCAATGGCTAAATATTCAGCCACAAATAGAAATGAAGTGCCGACACACGCTACAATATAAAGGAACCTTGAAAACAAGCTAAGCGAAGGATACTGGTTATAAAGAACTCCAGGTTCTTTTTTCTTCTTCCTTTCACTTTCTTTCTTTTCTTTCTTTCTTTCTTTCTTTCTTTCTTTCTTTCTTTCTTTCTTCCTTCCTTCCTTTTTTTTGAGACAGGGTTTCACTGTGTGGCCCAGGCTGGCCTGGAACTCTTGGCAATCCTCCTGCCTCAGCCTCCCCAAGTGCTGAGATTACAGCCATGCACCACCATATCCAGCTCACAGGTTTCTAAACTCTATTTTCTAAAACTATTTCTTTTTTGTTATTTTTATTTTAAAGAGAACCAAATCAAGCAAAACAAAACACAATAGGGCTGGGGATTTAGCTCAGCGGCATAAGGGCTTACCTGGCAAGCGTGAGGTCGTGAGTTCGACCCCCAGTACCCCGCCCCCAAGAAAAACACAATAAGGCAAATCAAAGCAAAACAGTGTGACACAGGACTTCAAAACGAGATAATAGGAAAGGAAACAATGGTAAGCATAATGCCACTTGTAAAACTGTATTTCTAGAAAATCTCCAGAATAAGGGAAGTCCTGAAAGGTTGATTCATGGCTGCCAAGACCTGAGGTTGGAAGGGAAGCAGGCGACAACTGCCAAAGGGCACAGGGTTTCTTTGTGAAGTGACAAAAAGATTCTAACATTGATTGTGGTGATAACTGCCCACCTCTGAATATGCTTTATTTGTTTTTTGCGGTTTTGTTTTTTGAAT